ATTTTATCTTCCAAAGACTAAAAACTAAATGACTTAATATTTGACCTAAAAATTTCATTGACTAAATGATTTGAGAAATTCGTATACTACCAATTGGGAAATTGAAACCTCAAAACATTTTTAAATAACTTACTTACACATAAACTTCTCTCTCGAAAGAAAAAAAAAAGTTCATTAAAAATAACACTAGACATTTTATCTTCCAAAGACTAAAAACTAAATGACTTAATATTTGACCTAAAAATTTCATTGACTAAATGATTTGAGAAATTCGTATACTACCAATTGGGAAATTGAAACCTCAAAACATTTTTAAATAACTTACTTACACATAAACTTCTCTCTCGAAAGAAAAAAAAAAGTTCATTAAAAATAACACTAGACATTTTATCTTCCAAAGACTAAAAACTAAATGACTTAATATTTGACCTAAAAATTTCATTGACTAAATGATTTGAGAAATTCGTATACTACCAATTGGGAAATTGAAACCTCAAAACATTTTTAAATAACTTACTTACACATAAACTTCTCTCTCGAAAGAAAAAAAAAAGTTCATTAAAAATAACACTAGACATTTTATCTTCCAAAGACTAAAAACTAAATGACTTAATATTTGACCTAAAAATTTCATTGACTAAATGATTTGAGAAATTCGTATACTACCAATTGGGAAATTGAAACCTCAAAACATTTTTAAATAACTTACTTACACATAAACTTCTCTCTCGAAAGAAAAAAAAAAGTTCATTAAAAATAACACTAGACATTTTATCTTCCAAAGACTAAAAACTAAATGACTTAATATTTGACCTAAAAATTTCATTGACTAAATGATTTGAGAAATTCGTATACTACCAATTGGGAAATTGAAACCTCAAAACATTTTTAAATAACTTACTTACACATAAACTTCTCTCTCGAAAGAAAAAAAAAAGTTCATTAAAAATAACACTCGACATTCAGTCTTCCTACAATCAGCTCTGTGAATTTTGCATGAACATTAACAAGATTACTTCTTCATACATTTAGACGCATAAAAATAATAAAAAAATAATACTATTTAATAGGAATGTTGAAATGATTTTAAAAGAAATTTCAAACCTTAATGATAAAATCCGTCTTTAAATAACGTGAAAAACAGGTTCAGTTAGAAAAAATAATTTTATTATCATGCAAAAAATTTCCAGTGTCATTAAATTTAAAAACTTAATCAGGGTGCGTAGCCAAATTATTCAACAAAGAAATAAGCACCTTTTAAGGACTTTTTTAAGCACTCAAAAAATATTTTCAAGCACTTTAAAAAATTATAATTAGGCAGAGTTGGAAAGTTTTTGACAATCGACGGTTTTATCTTGTTTCAACAGTCATGTCAAAACAAAAACCTTTTGGCGTTGTTTTTGACAATTGTCAAACAATCATGTAAAACAAATGACGTTTTGATACGCTACGGACTGACTATACGCCGAAGTAGATTGGGGTTGAATTAATTATGAAAACGTTGAATAGAACAATGATGTCGTTTTGCATAATTCGAAGAAAAACTCAACATAGTAAAGGAAAAATCTCATTTTGAGAAAGGGAAAATTAAGCACTTTTTAAAAACACCCAATGTAAAAAGCACCTTTAAGGCCGAAAATAAGCACCTTTTAAAAATGCTACGCAGCCTGTTGTTAAAAATTTGAAGTCATGCATAAAAATTCTCCTTTTTGGTAATGTAACACACTAAATGCCTTTTTAAGCGATTTTTATGCAGTGAAAATTTTTTTAATTAAAATTATTGTCCCAATTATGATTTTTCTTTTAAAAATTTTTTGAACATTCAAAAATTTATGTTAAACATTTGTGGATGTTTCCACTTATTTAGAATTTTTAGTAAGGCAATTATACATCTAATCAACCAATTGCCACATTTTCATGCCCTTATATATTTTTGGCTCTTAGGCAAAGCTAGTAAAATAGACAAATACAAAATTTGAGATTATTTAGACTTTTTTTACAGTTGTAACCTCAACTCTTAGCTGTTCAACTTAATTATTTTTTCTTCATGATCCAACAGTAATCAGATCAAAATTTTCAAATCTAGTTTATTAGATATAATTTACGTACGACTAAAATCAGCTATGATGCAACTCCTGATGAGCCAAGGTCACCACTGCCTTACCGTTTTCTTGACCTAGAGTTCCGAGGAGCAGAAATTCCAGTTGAGTGGCCAGACTCCAAATATGTATAAGGCTACTATATCATAAATATCTATACTTTTAAAATAAAAAGGACTATTAAAGGAAAAGTAAGAACCAGGAAGCTTTGTAGAACTTTCGTATAGTACAGTCAACTACATCAGAAAATAGATTTAGAAATATTGCAAATTTAAACATTGGCTCACTTTTTGCAAACAGTAAGTTGTATTTGTATAAAGCAGGTTTCTAAGTGGTGCTCCACAGAAACCTAAGTTTCCAAGAGTTGGTACTTTTTATAGTGTGATAATTTTTGAAACTTCTGATTATATCAAGGTCCAAGCTATAATTTTATCTTTTGGTTGCCTTTATGAAATTATTTCAAGTAAATAGCCAACAAGATAGAAATGGCATTTTTTAAAGAAAATATATTCAGACACGTAATTGCTGGCTGAATAATCTAAAAAAAATTTTATCCACAAAAATAACTACAAAATCTAAAGAAAGGAAGAAAATTTTTCGATCTAATAATACGAATCAAATATGGTATCTAGTGCTTTAAATAGTACTGCTGAAATAAGAGATCTTAAGTTTCCATGTTCATGGCTGCCAACATGGATAAGAAAAAAATCCAGCAGATTTTATATTATTTCAAGATTGTTGCACAATGCACTTATTATTTTACACACAGGGAATTTCATGGTCGTCAAAAAAGAAAATTTACGATATTCTCCAGTTACAATTGACATTAAAAGTTAGTTGAAATGTATATTACGTTAACTCATAATTTTGAATAGTAAAAGGCATAAAACTCAAAAATAGTTTGAAGAATTTAATTAAAAAAGGCAAATCAGAATTAAAGAAAACTGAACATATACATTTTAGAAAGAAAAAAAATTTAACTTTTCAAAAATGACATTTCAATAGGGATTTTTAGAAACTTACTCAATTTCAGGATATTTTTTAAAAATTGACTAAATCCAGAAATTTTATTAAACTAGTAGAAGCTGGCGAAATCCAGTAGAGTCGTATGTCATAATATATTAATTAGATCTAATTGTAGTCAATTCAGGGGTAATTCTAAGCCAGTCAAAATTCCGGGAAAATTTTGAGTCAAAAAAAGTATAAATTGAAAGAAATTTAAACAAGGGATTTAATCTCAATATTTCTTAGTTTACTTAATATATTTAAAATTTTTCGAAACTTGCGGGTCACTGTTAGCGAAAATTCCGGAAATCCAGAGCACAATCAGCCCTGTCAATTAAAAAAGGGGCAAATATCACATTGATTAAAGAATTCTGATTTTCAACTAAATTGCCATGTTTACAGATTTAGCAAAAGAAATATGAAATATTTAATTAGCTGGACTGAGAAAACTGTCAAATATAAATTAATTCACGGATGTCTTCGGAAGAAACACGAGTCAGCACATTTTAATCATCATCTATCATTAACAAGCAGGGTTTGTGATTTTTTTATTTATTCAAATAGGTACATTGTAAGAACTTAATGATTAAAAAAACGTTATAAATGTTTAATCAAAATTAATATTATCAATATTTTAGAAGCTTTCTAACAAGATTGAAATTTAAAGACTAGATCAAATAGAGAATTTAAAGGATACTTCAGGGCTCTGTCTAGGTTTTTCTGTTAGATACATATTATGAAAATTTATTCATAACTTGTGAAAATTAAAAATATTAAAAAAAACACAAAAATATGGATTTACAGTTTCTTACGAGATAAAAAAAAAATTTTTAGGAAAAAGTATTTTAAGAAATTACCGCTTTTACTAAAATTATATTTGTGAATGTACTGCTTAGCTGTAGTAAATTTGGGCTTGGACAGAACCCAGTTCATTAACTATTAAAACAGTTTCAATTAGCAAACCATAATTTTAATTTAAAATTTAGATTTTTCTTTTGGTTTTTAATATGACAAAAAAAATGTAACAGATTGATGGAAAACCTGATAATGTCAAAGATACTGCAAACATGTTATGAGAAAAAATACCAGTTACCTGTAAATAACTCTACAGCTTCAAATAGACTTTGAAAGGGAAGAATAACACTATCAGGAAAAAATATCTTAATTCAACACACTTTTTCTTTCTATTTTTTACATATTAGGGTAATTTCTTTTTAATATAACCTCAAGCTTCAGAAATATACATTTTACACGAATAAAATATAATGTAGATTTTTAATTCCATTATTTTTCAAAAATTTGAATTTTAACTAACATTTTATTTGCAATTTCAAATGTTGGAACTTAACACACACCAAGTACTTTCGTTAACTAAAATTAATTAATGCAGCAAATTTATAATAAATTTTAAAACTAAGAAAAGAAAATAATAAAAGTATCAATAATTTTAAACAGTATTTCTTAACCTTTAAAACAAATATATATATAAAAAAGGCAGTTGATCTAAATCAATTTTCAAAAAATAAAATCACAAAATTTAATTCAATAACTAAAAGACTATGGAACTAAAGATAGTACATTTTAAGTCGTAATTATTTACCATTGATAAGTGGTACTCAATGCATTTTCTAATAAGCAAGAAAAATTTTAAACTTAGCAAGAATCACTAACTGAAAAAGGAAAACACCATTTATGTACTAATCTGGCCAACCTTCCATTCCTTCAGCAAAAAGATACACAAAATCAAATTTGCAAAGCAAACATTTCAAAAAACTGCAAAATATCCCAGCATATTTAAGTCCTATAAGTTTAAATTTGCACACCTAAAATTAAAACTACTGTTAACTTTGAAAAATTTTAATAAATATGAAGTCATAAGCTAGAAATGCTACATTATTAAGCAATTGAAAAAATTTATTCAACAGAAATTATACAAAAACTTTTTACACAGAAAAAGAAATTCATATAACTAGATGTTAAGGTGAAAATGAAAACAATGCTTTATGATTAAATGAGTCCAAGTAATTTTACCTGAATGAACATAACATATGAAGTCCACAACTGATTCTTAGAAGCAGTTTCAACAGTTTATCACAAAACTACATTATAAATTAATAGTCACAAAGCATAGTTCGGAATGATCTTAATCCACCTCTTCAATTGTTGGTCCACCAGTACTGCCTCCGCCAGGTGCAGCTCCAGCTCCAGCGCCTGCACCAGGGAAACCACCAGGCATGCCTCCAGGAGCACCACCAGCAGATTGGTACAGTTTTGTGATGATAGGATTGCAAATGTTTTCAAGTTCTTTTTGTCTGTCATCGAATTCTTCCTTTTCGGCAAGCTGATTGCTGTCTAACCATTTCAAAGTATCATTAACTTTATCCAAAACCTTTTTCCTATCGTCGTCTGAGATTTTGTCTTTAAGCTTTTCATCTTCTATTGTTGACTTAATGTTGAATGCATAGCTTTCAAGAGAGTTCTTAGCAGCAATTCTGCTCTTTTGTTTGTCGTCATCATCTCTGTATTTTTCAGCATCTTTAACCATCCTTTCAATTTCTTCTTTAGATAATCTGCCTTTGTCGTTGGTGATAGTGATTTTGTTTTCTTTACCAGTGCTTTTATCAACAGCAGATACATTCAAGATACCATTAGCATCAATATCAAAAGTTACTTCAATTTGAGGCACGCCACGAGGAGCAGGAGGAATACCAGTGAGTTCGAATTTTCCTAATAAGTTATTGTCCTTTGTCATGGCACGTTCACCTTCATATACTTGAATAAGTACTCCGGGCTGATTATCAGAGTAAGTGGTGAATGTTTGGGTCTGTCGGGTAGGGATTGTTGTGTTTCGCTTAATCAGAACAGTCATGACACCTCCAGCAGTTTCAATTCCAAGGGAAAGGGGAGTTACATCTAACAGAAGCAAATCTTGAACTTGTTCAGACTTGTCACCATTCAAAATAGCAGCTTGAACAGCAGCTCCATAAGCAACAGCCTCATCGGGATTAATACTCTTGTTCAATTCTTTACCATTGAAGAAATCTTGAAGGAGCTTTTGGATCTTGGGAATACGTGTGGACCCTCCAACCAATACAATATCATGGACTTGAGCTTTATCTAGTTTTGCATCTCTAAGGGCTTTCTCAACAGGCTCAAGGGTGCTTCGGAAAAGGTCAGCATTCAGTTCTTCAAATCTGGCCCTTGTGATGGTGGAGTAGAAGTCAACACCTTCGAAGAGAGAATCAATTTCAATACTTGCTTGAGTACTAGAAGACAGGGTTCTCTTTGCACGTTCACAGGCAGTTCGCAATCTTCTTAGAGCTCTTTTGTTTGAGGTTAAGTCTTTTTTGTGCTTTCTCTTAAATTCTTGGACAAAGTGATTGACCATGCGATTATCAAAATCTTCACCACCCAAATGAGTGTCCCCAGCAGTGGACTTTACTTCAAAGATACCATCTTCAATAGTAAGGATAGATACATCAAAGGTGCCACCACCCAAATCAAAGATAAGAACATTTCGCTCACCAGTTCCTTTTTTGTCTAGACCATAAGCGATAGCAGCAGCAGTAGGTTCATTAATAATTCGAAGAACATTAAGTCCAGCAATAGTACCGGCATCCTTTGTGGCTTGCCTCTGAGAATCATTGAAATAGGCAGGAACGGTAACAACAGCATTGATTACAGTCTTTCCTAGATATGCTTCAGCAATTTCCTTCATTTTAGTTAGAACCATAGAAGAGATTTCTTCAGGGAAAAAGGTCTTATTCTCACCCTTGTATTCTACTTGAATTTTGGGCTTGCCTCCATCGCTGACGACATCAAAAGGCCAATGTTTCATATCAGATTGAACAGCAGAATCATCAAAACGTCGCCCGATTAATCTTTTAGCATCAAAAACTGTGTTACTGGGATTCATAGCAACTTGATTTTTGGCAGCATCTCCAATCAATCTTTCAGTTTCGGTAAAAGCGACGTAACTTGGAGTTGTTCTATTACCTTGGTCATTTGCAATAATTTCGACTTTTCCGTGTTGAAAAACACCAACACAAGAATAAGTTGTTCCTAAATCAATACCAATAGCAGGAGTAGCCATTTTAATGTATATTAGATAATTTTTTAAAGCTGAAGTAAAGTACTAGCAGCACAGCTACAACAGGCGACCAAAGTCAGTAAATGAGGACGATTTTTGTGAAATGTCCGCCTTTTTAGGAAAATAAGAAAATTCTAGAAGCTTCCACGATGTTCTACCAATCAGAACACGAGGAAATAGATAACTACGTCACAGAAGAGCGACGTTCTCCTTTAGGAGTGGGAGTCTCATTGGATGTATATGCTACGTAAAAGTGACGTCAGATCTAAACTTCATTTGGCGAGAAATCGCTAGAGCATAGCTCCATTTATCAAAATTATAAAATCAATAAAACTTGGTATTTCATGATTTCAATAACGTAACTCAAATAATTTTACGTGCAAGATTTATTAAAAAAAATCCCAAAATCACCCTAAAAATTTAAATGAGATTCAATCATGATTTTCCAAAAATAGTTATTCTTTAATTTCATTGCATTTAGGGATACTGCCATGGGGGATTATTAAAATTTTTCAAGTATTTTAAGATCGAAAAATACTATTAATTAGATTTGTTCTTCTAGATAAGTGTATAAAAAGAAAGATTAATTGTATTTTTTCAGTAAAAATAATTAAATAACATAAAGAAAATTCTTTATTTACAAGCGGCATGTGGAATTTGGCGTAAATTATTAGGCGGTTCGTCTGCCGGTTCGCCAAATTAGCCAAAGGCTAGAGGTAGCTTCCATTTCTAGATTTATAAAGTTTTATCAAAATTATTTCAAATAAAATTATTCAAAAAAAATTAAAACGACAATTTTTTCATATTAAATAAAATAACTTTTGTCCGAAAAATCAATAAAAATATTTTTTATCATTAAAATACAAATATTATTCAAATGCATCAATCAGAAAGAAAGCCAGCCCCCATTCAAAGAACTTCAACTACAAAGAACTAAAATTTTAGAAACAAAACAAATAAGCGGGAAATAGCTATTTTGTTTTAAAATGAGCGAAAAGCTGGTTACACATAATTTACCATGGTATAATATAATTTTATACTTAGCGTATTTAAATATTTTAAATCTTAATATCATTTCAAATCTGAAATTTTGTACATTTTTTTTTCCTGCAGGGTTGAAAAGTATCGACCTGAAAAATTGGATGACCTAATAGCACATGAAGATATTATCAGAACAAGTATTTAATATGTTGTTTAATTTATTTATAAAAATTTTTTTTTTTAAATTTCATACTTTTATTCTTCTAAAAATTCAGGCATACCAAAAATGTACCGTCTTTTACAACATCATAAGCATTTTTAATCCATTATTTTCTTTAGACTGTTAGGATAGTTTTTGGTCAAGAGTAATTATTTAACATATATATTCTACTCGTTCATGCATACGCAGATTAATTTAAGAACTATGCTAAATATTACTCATTCTTATAACTTCATATTGGGCCCTGTGGCAGAATTTTTTCTGACTTTCTGCGACAAACCTAACTAGAACCAATATCTTTCTGCAAGATATTTTTATCGTTATAAATGTATGTGTAATGAATTTATAATAATAGATGAAATTCGTGTTTATAAAATAAGTCTACATGCATAGAATAAAACTGTGTAGATTTTTTTTTTTAATTTCATAATATAAGTTTACATTTCTTAATAAGTTTAAATTGTTTAAGTATAAATTTGCATAATCTTCGATAATAACGAAAAGTTATAAATGTATAGATCTGCAGACAAAAATGCTTACTAGAGCATAAATAAAGATTACCCAGAACCTGTAATAAGATAGAACTTATAGAAATAGCTAAGAATGGACAAAAAGATTAAATTTATAAAACAAGATAACTGAATTTGAAGTATCAGTTTAAAACAGTATGATTTAATGTTTCACTATAGTAGTTATATCAGGTACAGAAACAAATCAGGTGAAAAAATTAATATTGAAGTTGAGTAATCAAAATAATAAAATAGTATTGACTATAACCGAATTCTAAAAGCAAAAAAATTAAAGCAATGTTTGTTTCAATTTTTTCTACATCTAATTAATTTTATCTAATTAATTAGATTCGATTAATATTGTACTGACTTATTGAAAGATTTTTTTTTTAAAAAAAGGAGGTAAATAAAACTTTTTTCGTGATCAGATTAAGTTCAGAACGAAAAAAATACACAGCGCTTGTGATTTCGCACTGTATTGTGTAAATATATAGCACTGATTCCACACGAAGTATGCAGAAGCAGTTTCCGACTCAATATGCTCAAGTCTATTCAACATCTCGAAACGAAATAGTCTTTATCAGTACTGAAACATCGGTATTAGAGCCATATTCATTGGATGCGATTTTTTTCGCATGCGTATGGAAACCTGTTTGAAAGTGACCAGTAAATATTTTTCACCAATCTGGTTTTCATTCGCATGCTAAAAAATCGTAGATAGTGAGATATCTTTCAGGCTTTATTTCATTTATCGTTAGATTGCGTTTTTTTTTTTTTTTCGACGATTTAATTCAAAGCATATAGGCATTTTTAGATGTTGTCGACTTCCATCTTATTTCTTTTTCGGAATGCCGCCTTGATAAATCAGTTTTCAAATTTGTTTTAACTATTGTGGCTTCACAATTGCAACAAATAACCTTTTCGCTAGACATGATTTTTTTAAAAAAAGAATCTTTTTACGCATGAAATTTTCCACATAAGTGCAAAAAATATAAAATGCTCTGTTCTCATAAAAAAACACAAAGCAAATTACTGCGCCAGCGATAGAGGCCGAAGTTGGCAAATTTCCAAAAATAGCTTAATAAAGGGGAAAAAAATTCTCCCCTTTTTATCCAGTAACTGTTTGTGTTGGAGATTAACGGAGAATTACGAGCGCTTTCTCCTTCCGCGGTACGCTAGAAAAAAAAATATTTAAAACAATTCTGTAAGAAAAAAATTTTGCAGAACCATTATTGCTTCTGCAGAAATTTTTTGTTTCTGAAGAAAATGTTTTTTTTTTTGTTGGTAAAACAGCTTCTGTTTCTGCAGAATTTATTTTGAGAACTTTTGTTTGTGGCAAACCAAAAATTTTTATTTCCCAAATAAAAAAAATTTTTCTGCAAAAACTCAGTCGCTTTCTGCGACAATGTCGCTGTGTCGCCGTGTTTCTGCCACGGGGATATTGGGTACAATGTATAAAAATTTTACTTTAGTTAATTAATAAAGAGAGTTTTTAAAGAAACAAGTTTAATATGTAAAGATCACGATACGGAAATCATCCCTTTGAAAGCATCAATGACATCACATGCAAATGTTATTATTAGCTTAACAACTGAAATGATTAAGCATTATAGAAATAGAAAAGGCAAAAACGTGACTAAACAGCTTCAGTTCAGTACTAGTGAAGATGAGGATTTCATGCTCTCAGAATAAGTGAAAAATATTTCTGGAAGAAAACCAGTAATTAGTGATCTGTGTAATGATAACAGTGATGCTGTTGTTTGCAGCTTAGACGATTAGTACAATTGACAACGAAATATTTAAGGATAAGAAAAAAGTTCATCTACAGAAAAGTGGTGAAACAAGATTATATATTAGAGATTTTGCTGGTAAGAGATATGTTGTTGCTTTTGTAGGTTGCATTGATGGAGATGAATATGAGTTTTTATTTTTTAGAAAAGTTAATCAATCTTCAACATTTATTTATCTCAGAAATGAAGACAAATCATACATAGATTCAAATGACATTTTGTTAAAACTTAAAGAACCAAAGCAAAGCGCCTAACGTTCTGTAGGTTTGGTATTTGATTCTGAACAATTGATTATTATTGAATATAAAATTTTTTAATTGGATTTGCATGCAAGTACTTATAACTAACAAAATAAAACTTTACCATCAAAATTAGGAGACAAAAATTTATTTAGTTATACTATTTTTAGAAAATTTCTACATAACTCTTCACATCTGTTTAATTGCCCCAAGGTACCCCACTAGGAAGTATAGACCTTGGGACAAATAACAATGTAGCTAAAAAAAATTAAATTTTTTCTGAGACAAATACAAAATCAAAACCTAATTAAAAATGTTTTCAAATGTTACAAGAATACCAGGTAAAATTTTGACAATAATTGATCAAAATTAAAAAAAGAAAGTAAAAAGGTGAGCCACTCCCCTATAATAAAAATATTTGATTTTTAGAATGATTGCTTAAAAGCTCGAAAGTTAATGAATTGAAAAAATAATCTATGTACAAAAAATATATATCTTGAAATGCTTAATAAATTGTTAAAAAGTATTTTTTTGAAATCTTTATATTGTTAGATTTAATTCTTATTACTTTATTAGATATAGAGGTGCGCCAAATGATTAGTTATTCAGCTCATATCAAGATTTGACAGAGCCAAATATTAGAATATATGTTTGTCAATATTTAAATTAATTCCAAATACTGTTTTAAATATTGTTCTTTTATAATTCTTTTTAGTTAATAAATTCATCAAGGAAGATAGATTACCTCATTTGTTATTTTATGGCCCTCCTGGAACTGGCAAAACGTCCACAATACTTGCCTGTGCTAAGCAAATATATTCTCCTGCAGAATTTTCAAGCATGGTCTTAGAGGTTAGTTTTAAACCATTGTTTAGTGAAACCTAAGCATTATTTAGTATTTAAAATCTATATAAGTTAAATTATTTTTTAGTAATTTAAAAATTAATTTTAAATAGAGTTACGGACAGTTAATTGAGTGCAAACAACAATTTGACTGATACCAGAAGAAAAATTTATACTGAAAGAAAATAACTTATACTAGAATAAACTTTTATTTACTTAACTTCTGGTGTACACCTCCATATTTTGACTATTGTATTGAATGAAATACTAACAATCAGAATATATATTATTGAAATAAGAATTTAAAGTTTTTCCCAATATTAGTGTTTATAAGATCTTCATAAAATTATTTTGTCCTAATAAAAAAGGAGCTATAAATAAGATTTATATTTTGTGTGTTATTGCCTATTTATTAGTTTAAATTTTGACTTATCTTTTTATGATACTCAAAACAGAAAAGCTATTGTCTATTAAAGGAATTATCCTAGAAAAAATCATTAAAACTTAAAAGTTAGATTGATCATGTAAACTGAATATTAATAAAAAAATACATCCAAAATAGTTACCAAGAACCATCCTTTTCCTCGCTAAATGTTATACTTTTCATAATTAACCATCCATATATTAAGAGAAACAAAAATTATATTTGAAATAAAACTGCATTTTACTGTAAAGAGTTTTTAAATCATTTTGAAAACTTTTATGTCGAATCAATATAAATTATTGAAATATGTTAATTATCTATTTTTTTAAAATATTTGAACTGTTCTGCATATTTATATGTATATATGAATTTGCATTGCTGTTTTTAAATCACCTGCAGATTTAAATGACCTAAAGTTTTATACTTTTAGTTAAACGCTTCTGATGATCGTGGCATTGGTGTTGTGCGAGAACAAATTCTTGGTTTTGCTAGTACCAGAACAATATTCAAGTAATTTTTTTTAATTGCATAACAAATAACTTATAAAAAAAAATGTCATTCATAAGAAGTATTTACGAAAACTACATTATATGGTTAAAATGTTTATTATTTTTTTAAAATTATTTTGATTTTTCTTAATCTTTGATATTGTTAAAATTTTTATTTAAGCATTCTTTTCTAGATTGGAATCCATTTTCATTTCACTTCCTACAATTAATTTTTAATAGATATGTGTGTAATTTAAACTTTACTCTTTTCTTAAATTTATATTTATAAAAAATTGCATATTTTAAAAGTTTGTTACTAGTTAAGTCATGAAAATAATGTTAAAAAATAATAAAATAAAAAAGTTTTAAATGAGTAATTTTATTTAAATATCACCTTAGCGTGATAAGGATGATATCCTTATCACTCTTTGTAAAAAAAAAAATTTAAGTTTTTAGTAGATATTTGAATGTATTAAAAAAATTCACCTATAATGTATATAATTTCTTATTAATTATAGTTTTATGTAATAGATTGCATGTTTGAAAAATCTTTTGTTTGTGTAATATTGTGTTTTAGCTAGAAGCTCTATTATTACTTTATTTATTTGTTTATTTATTTTTCTATTTATTTATCTTTTTTTTTTATACAGATCTTTTTTGTTAGCTTCAAATAGAGAGATTTAGTAATGTTTACATGTTAATAACTGTCATTCAGTGTTTATTTGTTGTTCTGTTCATGAATGTTAAAATTTTAGCTCTTAATAATTGCAAACTGTTGCTTAATTATTTTTAAAAATGCAATTTTGTATTATTTTTTGTTGTATCAAATTGTATTTGAAAGTGTATTTTATTTAATTATGAGCTTGCCTTACCACATCTGTTATGCTGACACCTGTATTAATTAATGTAGATCTGGTTTTAAATTGATTGTTCTTGATGAAGCAGATGCTATGACAAATGATGCACAAAATGCCTTAAGGAGAGGTGAGTTCCTAAGGGTCATTTTATATATATATATATATATATACTGTTAAAATTNCAATTCCTATTTATTTCTTACATTACCTATATATGTATATATAATATTTATATATAATATTTATCAATGTGTTTAGATATACAGGTTTCTAAGTAATTCCTGATTCTAATATCATATTTCCAAGTACAGGTTGCAACCATAATGGTTTATGAAAAAAAAATATATTTTCTGTGAGTAAACATTCTTATTTTTAGAGAATGTTCTTAATTCTCAAAATAGATGCAAACTTAAACAGATAAGTTTAGTTAACAAAGTTGTCTAAAACGTATCCCTTAATGTCGCTTATTTTTTGTCATATTGCTATAAAAGTGGCACTTAAGTTAAACTAAGCTGTAGGCAACTTTTCTGTATCAATTTTGTCCACGGTTTACTTTAAAATACTTTAATGTGTTGCCAGCTTGATTTTAGTTAGAAAAGAGCTAATAAGAAAATAATTATATTAGAAAAATAGTAAATGTGAAAGTAACTTTATTTTACACAAAATGTGTTAATGATAATATTAATCATTTAATATATTCATATAGTAAAAGTACGCTATAAAAATATTATAGAACTGAAATACATAAAAGATATGTTAATTTGATTAGTTGGGGCAGGTTGAATTTATAAATTTGTACAGTTTTAATGCAAATATTTTTGAATAAAAGCCCTGACTAATAATCATGTCAAGGTGTTATGTTGGTTTCTTTCTCTTTTAGTATCACTGGTGAAAACATAAGCATTTTCTTTTGCTAATGTTCACAGTCTTTATTAACTCTCGATTTAGTTGTTAAAACAAGGCACCAGACACTTAAATAGTTTACAGAAGTGAGAATATCATGGATATAAAACAAAGAAAAAAATAATGATTTTTAATTTTGAAAGTTTGACAAGTCATAAAAATTTCTTTTCAATATCTATTGAGCAATTAATATGAAAGTTTGCTTTGTCATCTGAGCTTTCTGTTTATTTTTATCTGTATTCTTCTGTTTTTATTTAATCTCTCAAATCATTCTTAATAACCATAGAGAATGAATTCTTCTGTATTTTTGATTATTAATAGTAGAACTTCCTGAAGGAAACAAAAAACCTCCATTCAAACAGCTGAAATATTTTCAAAAACAATATTTTTGGCATTAGAAACTTTTTAAATTAAAGGCATTATTATAATTTTTTTAACTGCATTATTCTATATGCATAAAGCCAAAGTTTGAAAGGAAAAAATATTTTATTGTTATAAAAAAAATTAGATTCTTGAATTAAAAATTAAAGATGTAATTTTTGGCAGATTATCTCTTTAAATAAAAAGCTGATAGATTAGATCATGCTAATTTAGCACCGAAAATGTTTCAAAAATTTCCTATCAATCCCAAACAAATTTTAATCAAAACTCTTTTGTCTTAGATTTAAAAAGCAAGCCCAAGCTGCCATCACTCACTTAAAAAGTTATATTTCGACCTTCATTTTTCTATGCTGTTATCAGAGGAAAGGAAATAAAATTTTCCCTTTTGCCAAACCATCAAGGTATAAAAGGGTTTGAAATAATAAAATATGCAATTTTGTAACAAAAATATGCAATGTTTTTGAATATTTTTAATAGTCAAGTAATTTAATCTTGAAACGAATTGATCATTCTGTTTTTAATGACTGGGTGCATTTAATAATGTTTATAGAGATCTGATTTTTTTTTTAATTTAAAAAAATGACAGTAGTCTTATCTGTATATCTGATTGTGTATTCTTATTTTTTTTCAGTGATAGAAAAATTCACTGAAAATACTAGGTTCTGCTTGATTTGCAATTACTTGTCAAAGATCACACCAGCCATTCAATCAAGGTGTACACGTTTCAGGTTTGGTCCTTTATCAAACAAACAAATTTTGCCAAGGCTCGATCATGTAGTGGAACAAGAAAAGTATGAATTTTTAGTCGGTAAACCTTGTGTTGGTATGTGTTTTAAAAATGTTTTAATTATGAATTGTCTTTTTTTTTTTTTTTTCAGATTAAATGTAACTGAGGATGGAAGGAAAGCTTTAATGGATTTGGCACAAGGTGATATGAGAAAAGTTCTTAATGTTCTACAGGTTTGTATTATCTGTGTATATATGTATCTATACATACACCGAGCCGGTGGAAGACGTTTTCGTGTCCCGGGTTATACGGAAAACAGCGCCTTACTTTTGGAAAAGGAGGCTGCATTTAAAAAAATACCTTTTTTCCCCTTGGTGTAGTCATAATGCTGCAGAAAATTGCTTTTTATATTTCAAATTACAGTATTTCTGCACGAATATTATAAAATCCATATCAACCCTGACTGTTAATTTAAAAAGACACAAAGAAAATAAATAACAATTAAGGATTTCAAGGCTAAAAAAGTAAACTGTCAGTTAAACTAATAAGAATATCAACTCAGGTATTCCAAAATAAATATCTATAAAAAGTAATATTTTTAATGACATACAAATAAATAAAATCATAAACATTAAAACTTATTTTTTCATGCCTTTGCAAACACAAACTCAGATTCTTAAAATCAATTGAAACTAGAGACTTAACATCTTAAATAGAAAAAATAAAAAAGTAATTATTTTAATTGAAAAAGTTCAATTGGCATACCTACATTGGAAAGAACAGCAGTTAAAATAGTCTCAAATAGACAAAAGTGCACTTATTAAATTGAAGATTAGATTTAAATTGATAATTTAAAATACTTCTTTTCAAATTTTGTAAAATGCTAACTGCCTCTGTTAGCAGCTGGTCCACATTTTTAAATAAGCTGAATTTAAAGTATTTTGAGATTTAAAATCATACTATCATATTGCTCAATTGAGAGTGGCTTTAATTTTTGTCTCTAACATGATCTTTGGGTATTGTCATGAATTTGTTATTAAGATGTTTCGTACAATGTATGCTAATATTTAAAAAAAATTATCCTAATTATCTCAGTGCTATCTTTGATGGTTAGTAAAAATCAACTTAGTAACTTTGTCAAAATCAAACTGCACTTATCTTCATTTTTTAACTAAGCCAACGAATTTCATTTGTAAGGGTTTTTCGCAAAAGCGTTAAGAAATTTATAACAGTTAAAATTCGTTAAGTTAAAGGAATGCACAGTTCCAAAACAGCAAACAATACATTTTAAAGCAAAAATTCCATTAATAAAAGAAGCAAAAACCAAGTAATTGAGTATTTAACATTTAAAAGTAAAAATCAGTCTTAATTGGTACTTAAATTACATTATTTATTAAATAGGTAATTAAATTACATTATTTATTAAATAAGTAATTAAATTACATTATTTGTTGAGTTGGTAATTAAAATGTTCTTTATCTTGCCAACCAAATTTTCTTTCCTAATGTGAGACCAAAGAGTTAAGACTTAATTTTTCTAAATTTTAAAAGTGTGTACTCTAATATATTATTTATGTATAGAGTGCAAAAAAAAAAAGAAAAAATTAATAATAAATAAACTGACCATTCTGAAAAACATTTGATCTAATACGAGGCCTGTCTAAAAAGTATCCGACCTTAATTTTTCCTGCGCAAAGCAGTGACTCTAAGGCGGCGCCTTAGTGTACAGTGGAAGGAGGAACCTTAATGCACATAACTGAATTTTTTCACCGTGTTCACTTGTGCAACTCGCTGGCTGGTGGTCGCCAAGTAAGGTGCTGTTCGTAGTGTTCGTCGGATTTAGTTTTCTCGCAAGATGACTGAACGAATTGAGCAAAGATACTGCATCAAATTCTGTCAAAAGCTTGGTGATTCTCAAAGCCAAACAATTCGTAAGATTCAGCAGGTGTTTGGAGAAGAAGCGATGGGTGTAACACAAATTAAGGAGTGGTTCATCCGATTCAAAGATGGCCGCACATCAGCGGAGAGTGAGTAGCGTTGCGGCAGACCCCAAACAGCTCGGAGTGCAGCTAATGTTGAGAGGTTGCGAAATTTGGTGATGGCAGATCGTCGTTTGACAGTGCGGGAGATTGCAGAAGAGGTTGGAGTGAGTAAAGATTCTGCACATGCAATTTTGCGTGAAGATTTGAACATGAACCGAGTGGCTGCAAAATTCGTACCCAAGTTGTTGTCGCCGGAACAAAAAGCACGCCTCTGCACATTCATCCCAATTGATCCACACTTTCTTAGCCAAACATGGAATTACAACCGTTCGCCAACCTCCCTACTCTCCATACCTGGCTCCTTGCGACTTCTGGTTGTTTCCAAAATTGAAGACGCCACTGAAAGGATCCCGTTTTGAGAGTAGAGAAGAGATAATGCGGAACGCGACGACGGAGCTGAACACCATTCCAAAAGAAGACTTCCAGAGGTGTTTCCAGCAGTGGAAGGATCGGTGGGCTAAGTGTGTGCAAGCACAAGGGGCCTACTTTGAAGGGGATTAGGGTCCCAACTCCGTCAGGTATTCGAAATATTTTTTCCGGCCAAAGGTCGGATACTTTTTAGACAGGCCTCGTATGATCAGATCTTACAAGTTCTGAGACTCAAACTTAATGAGGTGACCCCAAAATGGTCAATTAATTAGTGCCGACACTATCTTAAGTTACAAAATTTTAAAAAAATACTTTCTCTGAATTAACATACTTTTTTTTTTACACGGATTCAATTTCTGACCCCCAAAATATATGGGATATTTGCAATCTGGGAAATATTGCCCAAATAGTATAGCCAGAACCGCAATCCGAAGTTTAGACCCCTTAATGTTGCGTATCTCAACAAATGTTAAGAACCTTTTGAGAGAATTGAAAATCTTTGCACACAGTTATAGTTTTCGATAAGTTAAATTATAAACATACAACTTTTTTAAGATTCAATTTCTCTGAAATCATTCAACCAATTTTGCTCAAATTTTGTATACCTGATTTTAAAATTAAAGTATGTTTCCTATCTTTTGTTTATTACAGTGTGCTTCATTAGCATTTGATGTTGTAAATGAAGAAAATGTTTATGCTTGCGTTGGACATCCCCTAAAATCGGATATCACAAAAATTGTCAACTGGTTACTGAATGATGATTTCGTATCTGCCTTTAATAGTATCCTTCTTATCAATTGTTAATTTTATTTCAATTTAATTTATTTTATTCTAATTTTGTGTTAGTTTCATTGTAAGTTATTTACAACATTAACACTATATTTCTATAAATATATTCCTCAATTGTCTTCAAAATAATCAGCAGCAACTGAATGATTATCTTAGGACAATTTCAGCATAGGTTTGTGCAAATATTACAGTTACAATAATCTGATATGTAACAAAGAATATTGTTTTATAACTTTTTCAGCGAGCAAATCAATCTGTTGGCAAATTTTGTTACTAAATTTGAAACTAGTTAAGCAGAAAGTAACAAACTGTACATTTCTATCTCCTGTTTTTCTTTAATTGTATTTTCAAATCATCGGTCACTTTTGGTTGCCCCTGATGCATACATAAAATTATAAAACGAACAAGTAATATACATACCAAACTAGATTTTTTTTTCTTCTGAAAAAAGTTTTTTTTTTATTTTTTAGTTAAGTTTTTTTTGCTTTTAAATTCTTTTTTCTCTTATTCATTATGACTATTGCTAACTTTTATTTTAAAAATTACTTTTTAGTAGTATTTGTTTTGCATTATTTCATTTTATTATTGGGTTATATATAACTATTACAACTGTTGCATTACAATTGTAACTATTACAGTTGTAACTATTGCAATTGTAACTGTACATTTTAAATAATTGTAACTATTTAATTATGAAAATAATATTCTCCTTAAAAAAAGTTATTCTTGTTTATTTTATTTGTGGCATATGCCTAATCTTGATTCTTTACTTTCTGTCATTTTTTAACATGTCTTTTTTTTTCTTTTCTTTTTTTGTCATTATTCTTAACTGAATGTTTAGACATTAATAATATGAAAACTTTAAAAGGATTAGCTTTACAAGACATTTTGACTCAAGTTCACTTGTATGTGCACAGGAGTAAGTATTTTTAAATTATCTGATTCTTTTTAAATTTTACTTCTTTTTAATTTTACTTAATTGTTTTAAAAAAAAAATGCTTTGCAACATTGTGCCTTCTGAAATGAGTTATTAATAATATGTGAAAATACAGTCTAATGTTAACGTGAAAGTATCAAAAATTGTTTTCGAAACCCATTTGTTGTCATTGGTATGATGATAATAATAAAAAAGTTACATAACATACCATCTTAAAGGAGGGCTTAATTTTAATCATAAAATGCTTTTTATTATAAACAAAAAAAATTTACATTTTGCAATTATTTAAAAATAAAGTGTGTTAAGTTCATTATTATTCATACATAAAAAATAGCATTAAATGTTTCTTTAGCCAAGTTTGAACTCAATTCAGTGAATCCTTACAGATAACCTTGAACCAAAAATGATTCATTATTTTTAAATTTTGATGGAATAATCATGTATTTCTATTTCTTTTGAAAAAGAAAAAAAAAGCATTAGGATATTTAAATTAAGGATGCATATTATAGTTTTTTAACTGACTGCGCTTTGTCAAAGTCTTTTGGCTATAACATAATTTGCATTTTTTGCTTAGGTTACCAAAGTAATTGTTTCTCATTTCCTCTTCAAAAGGATTGTTTTTAATGACTCAATGAGTGCATTCATACTCTGTTTTATTTAAACTGCTTTGCTCTTTTTAATATAATCCTGAATGATGAAATAATATAAAAATAGTGGAATGTGAAGTATGTTATGAGTTTTATTCTAGACATTTTGCCTTCATTTGAAATCAAATTATCTTGCATAAATTTTTATCGTTTATACATTTTCTATGAAATGGATTAATGTTTTTGTTCACGAAATTTTTATTTATGTCAAATGTTTTACTGTTTGTATATAAAAAATATTAAAAAAATGTGTAATTATCTCTACTGTCCATATTTTTATGCAAATTTTGCCACAATTATCTTTATTAAAAAAACTTTCTGAATTTACTTATTAACCATTACAAATTAATAACGTCATATTCATTATCGAATTCTTTTCTATGAACTGAAAATTTCTATAATAAAATGTTTTTAACTCAGAGATGATTGTGCTCCAGAAATCCAAGGTACAGAATTTTCAAGAAATTATCGATCACATTTATGCATAAAAAAATCTTGTATATTTTATTTAATAATATTAGAACTAAAATTTATGCTTGGCATCTCTTTCATTTGAAAATATTTTTTCAGGTAGACTAATAAATGTGATTAGAGATCAAAGCAAACTTATACATAATTATTAGTTTAAATTAACCAGTTATGAACTCTGAGTAAATGCAATAATTAGGTATTATCCAGAATTCGGATTTGTTCTTGTAATTCTTCTCTTCCTTTAGAAATTTTGTCTCAATGAGTGCTTCAATAAAATTTCCCATTAAGAACTATTCACATATGTGTAAAAAAGGGGGGCTTTCAGTAAATAAGTAGCAATAATTATAGTTTTTGACGTTAAGGAGTACAAAAAAGACTCGTGAACTGTTAATTAGTGATTGAGTCTATCTGAGGGACTTAATATGGAGAAAGCATTTATTGGTTATTTATATTAGAAAGTTGCTTTTCAATGAAGAATTATTTGTAATATGATGTATCCAAATTTGGGGATTATCTGTTAAATGAGATTTCACTTTATTTATTTTATTATTATTAGACTTACTCTTTTTTTTCTATATATTTCAGTTGAATTACCAGATAATGTGAAAATTCATTTGCTAGTAAAAATGGCAGATATTGAGTAAGTATTATTATTTTGTATAAATATAAATGTTTGTGTTATTAATATAAATGTTTTTTTTTTCTCTTTTTTTTTAAATTCATCTCTAAATTGCTTTCATATCTTTACTTGTATTTTAGGATAATCATTAAACTGTTATAAAACTTGATCTTGTCTTAATTTATCAATTATGTTAAATAAATTTTTTATATTGTGACTTGTGATTACATTTAGTAAAAAAGCTGAATTGAAAATTGCTTTGATGGATTTTGTAAATTCATAATCTAAAACTGAATAGTTTTTGTATAAAAATATTTTATTACAAAACCTTTTATTTATGTATTGACCAAAAAATCTTTTTCTTTTCTGCAACATAATTTTTTGAAGTAAAAAATACAATGCATGCATTGCAAATTAATATTTAAATGGGAATAAATCAGAAATATTTCTGAATTCTGATGAATCATTATTGAAGTACTCAAAATGAGCAAAGGGGGTTAAATCATCAAACATTTAAATAATAATTTAAGTCTCCTCTTGGCCATAGCTTTTTTACTTGGATTCTAAAAACAGCAATATATTACAAGCAGTCTTTATTGAACACCTTGTTTAGCGAACAATATTAAAAGAATTTGATGTACTATAAAGGTTATTATAGATCATAATAAGGAAAATATCTCTTAAGCATGCTAGTAACGTTACTTAATGATGACAGTATATTTTATTGACCTTTTAAAACTATTTGATTTGCTTGATAAAATAATTTATTAATGAAACAAAAAAAAATTATTTTATAAAGTGAAACTTTTTTTCTTTAATTTTAGAGATAATTTAGCTGCTGGTACTAGTGAAAAAATTCAACTCAGTGCTCTGATATCTGCCTTTCAAGTTGCTAGAGATATGGTTCAGTGAAGAATTTGTATATTTATTTTAAATAAACTTTTGTATTCTTAATAATCATGTATTGTGTATTTAAAATGTTTCATTTTTATTGAAGGCGCATTTAAATAGGAACACTTTATTTTCTATTATATTAAGTGTTTTGTCAGGCAAATTACTATTTTTCAATGATAATTTGCATTATATAAAATGAATAACCAAGCTAAATCTGATACACTAAAGTTCTCAATGTGACATAATTATCAACTGAGCAATGTAGTGAGGAAAATTCCAAATTTATTTTGACTCAGTTTAATAAATTAGCAATTTTCCCTCTAAAAAAAAAAGAGGCACCCTAAACTTAAAAAAAAATGTTTCAGAAAAGTATCACTGTGTATTAAACTAAAATATTAGACCAATTGCTTTACTTATGTTACCAACTAAAGGATTTTAATTTAATTAGATAAATGAGTTGTTACTAGACAGTTTGGCAATTTCTCAATACGATAAAACTACTTCCAGATAAATTTTGTTTACCCCAAGTAATTTTGAAATTTTTTAAACCTATGCAATACATAATTTGAGTCGAAGATATATAGTCTTTTAAAAAAAATTACTAAACAGTTCATTACAAGATTTATGTCTTCTTTCCTCAGTGAAGCATAGTCTTAAACTTAGTAATAAAACAGGAAAATTTTAAATTTTGACTGAACAATCTTCACTTTTTAGTGAAACCTATGTAAATAGTTTTCTAAACCCTTAGTTTATGCTGTATTTATAAAAAGATGAGGCAGATTTATTACTGAAATTAATGTAAATTTTTTATTATATATACAGTGGAGCATCGTTTATACGACGATCACTTATACGACGTTTTAGTGTGGTCCCAAATCATTCCTATTCATTTTAATGTAAAAATATATCGTTTATACGACGCACAGAATCGGTTATACGTCGGTTTTTAGATTTTGTTCACGCTTATTTAATTTTTTATTTTTTCTTGTGTATTTTAAAAAAGAGCGGAATTTGCCAACATGAATGATACAGAAAAGGGTGCCAACGAGAATGCTTGGATGATGACCGTAATTTTTACTAGATGACTGAAAAATCTAGACAATGTTATAAAGAGGCAAAAACGAAAAATGTTGCTATTCATCGACCAATGTCCAGCGCACCCAACGATATTAATTATTTTGAAAAATGTAAAAGCTCTCTTTTTTCCTGCAAATTGCACAAGAGCGCTTCAGCCATTAGATTCTAAAATTGCATCATAAAGCAGTAAGTTCAACTCGCTATTCAAAGCATTGTAGAGACTAATAGCAAGAAAATATAATTAAAGGTAACATACATTCAAATTGCTCACTGTAATTTTTCTTCTTTGGTTATTTGTTTGTTTTGCTTTGTCTAATTTAGAAATTTATGTAAATCAACACGTTAAACATTAAAATTAACTGAAAACAGAGATAGTTTCAGTTTTAGAAGTAAAAATCGATTATACGACGTTATCGTTTATACGACGTTTTTCGGTGGTCCCTTCAGCGTCGTATAAACAATGCTCCACTGTACTTATTTCTAATTCCATAAATTTAAAACTGGTGAAAAACAAGAGTTCACTATGACAAATTAGAATGCTAAATAAAAGGAAAACTATATCTTTTGACTTATAGTATGATGTTTTCTCCCATTCTGTTTTGGATATTAATATTTATTTCAGAAAATCCTGTCAGTCAATATACTTTAGAAATTGTTAAATAATGTTTAGTGAGCAAAAAAAAAATATATATACATATATATATATCTGAATAACTTTATCAGATTTTCTCACATTTAGTGTCAATCTAAATGATTTAAAGAAATTACGATGCAAAAAGAAATTTCAAAAGTAGCACATGAAGACTTATTGAAAATTTAAAATATTAGAAAAAAATATTAATGTGGTATTTAGAATATAATTAAATCATCATTCTCTCCCACTCATAAATAACTGTTATGCACCTAAAATGTCTAATTTTGTTTACATCTTCAGGAACTAATCCTAGTGCACATAAGTTAAATAAATCTGTTTAATAATTATTTAAAATAAAACAACCTTATGAATGGCATTTCTTTACCTTTTTATATTTTTAGTATGTTAAAAAATTGGGAATTTAAACATTTTTTTTTAAAAAAAGGCTTTTTTTTACCACGTTTATATAAACTTGCCTTCGTGTATGTCTGTCCGGGTGGAATTTTGTAATCGATTTTAAACTAACTTCCCAACTAGCCACAAACTTCAAATTTGGCGCATAGTTCAGAATTGGATGACAATGCATGAAAATGAAGAGAAAAAATATATACAAAGTAAAATAAAATTAAAATTTAAAAAAAAATCATTTTCGAGATTGTCTTTTGTCGATTCCATTATTTCAAATTAGTATTACATGTCAGGTGAAAAGATTTTTATTGTCGGAGTATTTTTATTGGCTGAAAAATCACGTGGTAGGATCCAGTTTTTCCTCATTCATTTCCAGATTGTTTTGGTTGTCATCAGCATAAAACTAATGAAAGTCGTAAAGGTATTGTTTTTCTATAAAGATTTTTGTATCCCTAATTTAAAATGAAAGTTCTATTATTTTAGTAGTGGTCTTGTAGTAGTCTTGACTACTCTTGACTAAGAAAAATAATCTAAATAAAAATATATATTTTTAAAAACCACGTTTTTTGTAGTGAAGAATAATAATTAAAAAGTAATAATTTTTAAAAAATATAAAATAAAAATTAAAAAAATTATAATTTAAAATAAAAAAATTCAAAATAAAAACAATATTTTTAAAGACCACGTTTTTGTAGTGGAGAATAATAATTAAAAAAAAATTTGAAGAACAAAAAACGTGGGGTGAATGAAATACATAACAGAACATATGAGCATATATATACACATTTTCTATACACATGCACAGCTACTTACATATGCATATACACAAACATATTCCACATCTACATTCAGATACAATTACAGATATACATACACATATTCTCAAGAGCACACATACACACACTAATATAACATTACTGTTATGTATTTCATGCACCCCACGTTTTTCGTTTTTCAAATTTTATTTTAATTATTATTCTCTACTACAAAAACGTGGTTTTTAAAAATATTGTTTTTTATTTTGAATTTTTTTTGTTTTTAGTACCAAACTGAAATGTGTTTATCAGGATTTACTATTGATTAAATTACTACTCAGATTCAAAAATGTGCTTTCTCTAAATAAACATCTTGCCGCCCCTTCCCCCAAATTGATATAAATTTCTAACCAAATATTATTATTGTTTTGACCTATTTGCAAAATGCAGACCTCTTCTGGTTGTCATAAATTTAAAAAAAAAAAACTACAAAAATGACTACTACTCGAAAAGTTACTCATAGATTTTAATGAAACTTGCGCAAATAGTACACAAAAATAATGTATAAAATAACAGTAAGAAAACAGTAGATAAATATTTTATTGAGCAACAAAAATGCAAATTAAATTTTTTAATGGAAGAAATTGTAAGGGGTCTAATAATAAGGGTTGATAAATAAAAACCGCCTCATAGCTGTAAATAAGATTAAACATTCAGTTAAGTATATTTTTTGGCTTTAGGACTTTTATTTTTAGAGAATTATAAGATATTTTATGAATGATGAATCTCCAAACGGTTTTTAAGCACTTTTTTAACCTCATACAAAAAATTATGAAATCAAGTCCGAAAACAGTAAAAATCATCGTTCGAATTTCCTGTATTATAATAATATTGTTTTAAAAATATCAATTTAAAAAAGAAAACGCGTGGTAATAACAGCATTTGAAAAGAAGAAAGAACAACTGATAATTTGACGATAAAATCATTAAAAATAAAGCATGTTATAAGGGATGATTAAAATCGCTGATTCGAAAATCGCAATTCGTTATATTACCTTATTAAAAATACTAAGATTTTTCGAAACCCCGTGATAAAGTGTAGCAAACTGTTAAAAAAAATATTATTTTTTAATAAAAATGTCAGATTTGAAATGAAATAGGCACAAATAAAACGCACGTTTAAATGCGCGATACGAATGGCATAAAAATATCGGGATCTACATAAGCATGTGGAAATGCGTACAATAAGTATTAAAAAAATAATAGAAAAAAATATATTTAGAGCAACAATGCGATTCTTAGAAAAACGAGTATTACTCAGAACTTAGTTACGAGTTAAACTTCGAGAAATAGTTCCTAGAGTAAGCGAGTAATTCGAAATTCACGCATCAAAATTTTGCCGAATTAAAAATATTTGGATTATTTGAAACTTAGGAAAATCGTATCGATTACCACCGAAAAAGCATTCGAAGAACTACAAGGATTTAAAATGACGCTTCAAAAACATAAATGCGAAACATAATTCCGATATTTTTTTTATTTTCCAAAAAAAATAATAATAATAATTTTTCCTATGTCCAGGTGCTGTCGTGGAAGCATATTAAAAACTAGCGGGCCGCAGATTATGCATCCCTATCATAGTGTATTATTTCTTGATCTTGCGCCCCCGCACCGTGAGAGTGTCATTTACGCCACTGTAAAATACGGTTTTACAAAAATTAGCATATATATGTAACGAATAAATGTGATGAGTCCGTTAATGACCTTCAGTATGGAGTATGATCACCTTTCGTAGTATTATATCACCAGTGGCCCTCATCCCCCACCCCCAAGCTCTTGGGCAAATTCTAAATCCCCCCAAACTATTCGTTTTATTTAGTATGAAAATCCCCCCCCCCAAGCTTTAAGTGGGCGCATCGTGCGCCCACCTTCCCCCCTGATGTTGGGCCTTGTATATCACATACAGCTATGTGTGATGCTTTCAATTATGCGATCTCCGTTGGAAGTGCGAGCCATTGCTCTTGCAAAGCAATTGCCAGCATGGCAAGGATCTGAGGAGGAGGACTGAAAGCAGCTAAGCTTTCTAAAGTATCCCAAAAATGCTCGATAAGATTCAAGTCCGGTGATCAAGCTGGCCATTTCACGCGCTGAAGATAATCATACACGATGTGAGCCCTGATGATGCAGCGCAAAATCATCATCTACTGCACCATCATCAAAACTCACATTATAACATCAAATCCCGGAAAGCATGTAACCCCACTGAAACCTTGTGTCGGAATTTTCGTTTTATTGTCACAAAAATGTTTACACTAAAAACCTTTGTCCAAATGAAGCAAAAATATTACAACTTCAAACCTTTAATCCTGAAAGGATAAAAAATCTTTTCTTAAAAATATTGTCACTAAGGTTGAAAAAAAGCGAATAGTAAATCTTGTTTTAGTATTTTTATCATAGTTGTCATGATTAGGTAAACAGAAATACAAAGCAAAGAGCTTTTTCCAAGAAAACGGAATGATGCAAATACAAACCTTTCGCACTACAATATTAATAAAATAATTAAAAAAATATGCAAAAAAAAAAAAAAAAAACTCATAGAAAAATATTTCTTGTCGATGAGCTTTTTATGCTCAACTCAGCTGAAACCTCGATTTTCTAGTATGAGAATTGTTATTTTTCTAAAGAAAATGAACAAATAAATTCATAATGTGATATCCTTTTTCGTAAATCATCTAGATAATTCTTTATTTTTTTTAAAAAAGAACTTAATTTGCCAACAATTGTTTTACAGGGTTGTTATGGATCCAATAAATTGATAATATTGGTATTAAAATATTTTTTTAAGAATTTAGATTTTTAAAATCCATTATATCGTTTAGTGTTCTGAATCTGAAGAGATCGCCTGAAAAGAGAAAACTGTAATATGCCCGCCATCCCAATCATTTAAGTCCGAGACTTTATCCCTTAATGATTATAATTATGGTTTTAGTGTTTAAATAACTAAGGAAAAGTAATCACGCAGTTATTCCTTTAGTTATTAAATTTGAGTTAAACATTAAAAAGGAACATTTTTTGCTGTGTCCATTTTCTTAAACACTATTAGCTGTGCCTATTTTCTTAAACACGCGTTTCGAGTTGTGTTTATTTTTTTTAAACACGCAATCAAAGCTGTGTCCATTTCTTCAAACAAGCATTTTGAACTGTTTCCACTTATAAACACGCATTTTGAACTATGTTCGAATAAAAAGATCATCAACGCTTTTCTTGTTTGTTGAATTGGGTTGAATTGTATTGCAGATTGTTTTGTTTGGCACGATTCTGTCGCCTGCCAACTCAAAAGTTTAAGTTTTTTTTTTTAACAAGCACTGTTATGGTTTTTTTCTAATCTTGTTTTAGTTAAACAAAAGTTTTTTTGTTAAGGTGGACTTACAATTCACGCCCAACAATTTCACGGATTAAATAGCGTACTAAGAGTCTCGAAAATTTTCACGAAATTTAAGAGTCGTGTTAGCCATAACCTAAAATGATTATTTTTGTAAAATTAGTTTTTAAATCTTTTTAAATGCATAGAAAGTATTTGTTACATGTGATTTTGTAGTTCTATTTTTAGAAATTAGATGTCGTTATAATACTACGAAAAGTGGTTTTCACTACTTGCGAGAACAGGTTGCGAAAAAAAAAAGCATAAATTACTAATTTATATTTTCATTAATAGAAGTTTTTTCGTTTTAGTTATTAATTTTTTATAACTACTAAAAGTATTAGTAGTTTTGTTTTAACTATTAATAGTTTAACTATTAATTGTTACCTTTCTTCCAAAAGCAATTTTAATATATTTTGATCCATATTTATTTTGTGAAATTACTCGGGAGAAAAGTCGCTACCTATTTTACCAACAAGAACATTCCGTTTTTTCCGTCGTTCACGAACGCGCTTGAAAGTGAGTTACTCAGGATTTGTATGATTTATGAACTAAGTGATCATTGAAAAGTGTTGAAAGATAAAGATCGAATTTTACGGGTTAGATTTTTACTGTGGACAAGGACATGTAAAAAAAATTATGGAATTTGTAGGTAAGATTTAGATTTTTATTCATGATTACTTTAATACTCTATCTTAGTGACTTTAATAAATACGACAAACATGAAAACAAAATGAATTTAGTATTATTAATAATAGTGATGATGTTGATTTAAATAAAATAACTATTTCGCAGTTTAACCTTCTTGGTGTTTTTGTTCAACTTAATTTGAAGTCAAATATAAGGTGAATAATTAAAAAAATATATTTTTAATTGCTAGTAATCAAATTTTATAGGACGTTTAAAAATTTTATTATTTAAGTACTGCGAACTTATAATACCCAATTTTTGATTTTAATGATAAACTGAAATAAATATGCATGTTAATTTTGCCAGTATTCTCTTTTGCTGAATTAAACTAGCTGCTTAATTATAAAATAGCAGCTTAACTTTTGATTAATTAAAAAAGTACAGTATTCGCACTTTATATCCGTAAACACCTTTTTTACATTCTTAGGTACAAGTTGAATTCCAACTCGAAAGAGTATTTTTCTATTTTGGACACACAATTATTTTCAGTCATTTTTATTGATTAGTTGTATAATTAAAATATCAACTATGTGGTATCAAAGTAGTTTCGTTTTAGAGATGAGCATCATATGAGAAAATTTCAGTTTTGGCTAAATTTAGTAATATTTTATTTTGTATGGTTATTCAAATGCGACTTATTCATCATTCCTTATGAAAATTATAGTCTACTAATTGATAAATAAATTCATCAGTCTTGACTAAATTTTCTGATTGAATTTTTGAACAACCGGAACAATTTTATCATAATTTCAAATGAGCTTTATTATTTAGCAATCAGGATTGTAGGTAATTTATCTTTGTCTTTTTTTCCTCTCATAAATTTAACTTAAAATTTGTTTCAATATTTTTACTTCAAGCAGTAAAAGCGACACAATAAAAGTACCAAAAAAATGGATATCAATTGAACTGGATCAATGAAAGTCAATCCTTCGGAAACAGTTCCAAGCTCAAAATAATAGAGTTCCCTGATTCTCGATCGAAATAGGCTACAGATGGCGTAGAGCAGAAATCTCTATCTATGAAAACATTTAACATGCTTTCTCCATTAGCGTGTGGAGAGTCATATAAGAAAGAAGTATGCTAGTTTACGTCTTGATTTTCAAATAGATTAAAACTTATAAGTTAAGAAACTATATGGAACTGTAAACTGCATTAATCATAGTTCTAAAAGAAAGCATAATAGAAATTTAAAAAAAAATATTTTGACAATTAAATACGAAAAACATTAAGAAAAGGAAAAATTACGTAGTACATTCCTATACAACTGAAAAGAGAAGTAGAGGGAAGAATGAAGAGCGAAAGGCATGGAAGTGGTCTTGCCTCCAGACGGCGTATTTGAGCGTCACGATTGCTTATAGCGCTCCCTATAAATAATTTCACTATTGACAGTTAAAAGTTTTTAAGTTTTACTAAAATAAGCAGCCAGAAGTTTCCCAAGCAGCAAACATAAAAGTTTCATTAATGGCAACGTCATTGACATTTTAGAAGTAAACAAATCTGTTTTTCTATATTGCGTTTTCTTTAAAGAGTACATATAACTTTTTATATATTGATTTCAATACTTCACATATATTGCTGTATTTGTACTTACATTATTTTTGTATTATAGAGTTTTATTCTAAAATATTTTAGAGATACATTTTATTCAGATAGAATGTGCACGGAGGAACAAATTTTCTGAAAAAAGTTAAAATACTTTAAATTTCATTAATTGTTTATTAGACATTTATATAATAAAAATGAAGCATGAATTAAAATTTGATGAATTAGTTCCAAACCGTCTTTAAACACTTGAAATAAATTTATTATAACAAGATATTGATAAAGAATAAAATCGATTTTATTTATAAAGATTTTGAGCATTGCCATGAAATATTTCCATGGGATATTTCCGCATCGTGATTTGTCATGCAAACTAGAATCGTCAAAGTGCCAAATAGAATTTAATCTTGAAATATTAAAAAAAAAAATAATAATAACATCTAGATGTTGAGGCTACAAGTTATACCTTTTGAGTTGGTTCCTATCTGTGATGTTTTTTTTAGTTTTTGATGGCCGCTGCCCGGAAGTTGCCAAGACGTGCGGAAGTTGCGATTATTCTGCCACAGATCACGATATGGACATCTCCCTTAATTAATTGCCTTTTAAATAGTTGCATTTATGAGCATAATAGCATTGTATGAATTGCAAAGCTACAAAAAATCAAAAAGAAAAAAATGTCCCATGTCTTCAGTGGAATATGTATTTCAATTATATGTACTTTTCACGTTTACTCAGCACATGTTATTATTTTTTTAAAAGAATTATTAATTTTTTGAAAATTATGCACGTAAAATAAAGAAATACTTTCAAATAGTACCAATTTCATACAATTTTAATTGATGTGTTAGTTCTAGTCAATAGGTAATTAACATTGTAACAAACAATAAAAAAGTTAAAATTTAAGTGACAAATTGGAATTATTATTCTCGTTTGACATATTCTTTAAAACATCTCAAATTAATTTTTTCATGCTATTTATTTAACTGTTTTATTTAACATTTAAGTTTATACAGGGTGGGATGATTTGTTTTTGAACTTTCATTTTTATCAATTTTAATTTTATTTTGCTTAGTATTTCTAATATTTTTACCTATTTATTATTCAAAATCATTATCATCAACTAATTATAATTTGCTTGCATTTTAGTTTAAGAAGAATCTGTTTTACCTCACTTTAAAGTGCAGTATTAATAATTTCATAATGAGTTGTGAAGAGTTACAAGAGGTAAGAAAGTAAGCTTAAGTAATATTATGGCATATTTCTTTGTGAGAAATTAGAATTCAATAGGTGAATTTGCAGAATAGTAATTTTAGTTGGTAATATTGATAGTACATAATAATTTGATACAAATTGTATTTGAGGGGAAAAAGATGCATTATAAGAAACTTCTGTGTATTATAAGAAAGCATTATAATACACAGATATTATAAGATGCATTATAAGAAATTTGTTTTTTTTTTTTTTTATATAATAATAGATAGGTTAATAAACATTTTACATGTCATTGATTTAAATCAAACTATTAAAATCAGCTTATTGAATCAAAATTCTAATCATTTGATTTAAATCTAAATAAAAAAAATAATCGAAACAATGATTCAGCTAATTAGTCAAGTTTTCAAAAAAGGTTTTGAGGACTCTGTCCTTACATTAATGATATAGTATTTTTCAAAATAAATGAAGCAATTGTGAATCAATTTTGATATTTGTATTACAATTAAGTCAGTCTTTTATAAATAATCAATTTGGACCTAATTATTTAATTTTTAAAATTCTCTAATATGTTAAGTATTAGCCGTTTTTGTTTTATTAATAGGTTAAAAATATTGATTACTTCCCACCCACTCAATGATTCAATTTGACTAAAAATCCAGTATAAATGGAAAAAAAAAATGTATTTTTGTATAAACCATAATGCAATCAAGGTATAAATAAGAAAAAATCATGATATTTTTATAACCTTTATAAAGATTAATTTATTATATATGGTAAAAATAAAAAAACAAACAGACATTTTATTTAATATGTTAGTTATTTGTAGCAATCAATCATTTATATCTGCCAGCTGTTTTAGTAAGTATGTGTAATAACTGTTTAGTGTACATAATAACAAGATTAATCACTGAAACATTAGGTACATTTATAATTTTAGATTTTTTTATGTGTTATTGATTTATGTTTATTTAAGTATGGTGAATTTGTTGATTTTGTCATTATAGAAATAATGAGCAGTATTCTTGATGAACTTTAAATGTTTAAAGTTATATACTATGTGTAATAAATAAACAATAATACATAGTATAAATATTAAACTGGTGAAAAAGTTTAATTGCTTATTGAGCAGTTACATTAGCAACAACTTATTCTAACCTGATTCATTATTTTCTACACCTATTATTAGTTCTAGAGTTAAAAATAGGTTTATGCATCGAATATTTTCTAGTTTTTCAAATGTTCAAAATAAATGTATGAATGTGTCTTATATTATTTCGCTGTATGACGGAATTGCAAATTTCTTGTATCGTTTCTCTTATTTCTTACTATATATATAAATTTGCCGCTTTTTTAATTTTAGGAAGAATTTGAAGTTTTATCCTCGATATATGATGGAGATCTGAATTTCAAACAAATTTCTAAAACTTGTTACCAGTACAAAGTAAGCTAGAGATTTTTTTCATGAGATTTAGTGTATTCGCTATATCTCGAGAACTTTTTAAGCAAATAGAAAATTTTTTGCACGCAATTATAAAATTCGTTCAAAGATAATACCTTGCATAAAATAACTTTTGGTAAATATTTATTATGTTTTATTATTTTATTAAAAAAAATCTTGAATAAGGTATGTTTTTTCAGAGAAATGCGTTTTTGTGTCTGATTTCGTAACTTAAAATATCGTCTGTACTTATTAATTAGCATATTTTAGGTCATCTTCTCCTATTAATGTGAAGATCTGGTTCATTGGATCAAAAATTATTCAGGGTGGTTCGTTTTCTTTTCCTGCACTGTGCATCTATTATAAGTGTTTGCTTATAGTTAAATTCAATTACTAAAACGTAAATTATTGATAATCAAGAACCCAAATATAATGTTGAATATGAGGAATAAAAATATGCTTATGCAAAATAGATTGATTTATTATATTAAGTATATTTTAGTATATTTTTTAATTATATTTTAGTATTTTTGCTGCTATAAAACTGTAATTCGGTCTTCAACTTACTTACGGTTAACTGTGTAAATATGCAAATCTATAAAATATAAGCATTTTGAAGTAGTGATGATGGTATGAGGATTTCAATCAATATGTTGTCACTTTGAACCAATAAATATGTTCCATGTTTTACTCTTCTTTTGTATTTACTTGTTAATAATTTTTGTAAGATTTGTATTTTTTCGTCAATTTTAGATAGGAACTGATGATGATCCTAAGTCCTTTTTACTAGAAGTCCTATGGGTTGAACAATATCCAAATGTTCCTCCAAAGATAAATTTAGATGCATTTTACAATAAGAAATTGTAAGAAATGTTTTTTCTTCAGTGGTTGTTAAATTTTAATAAGCCATTAACATTTGCCATTTTTTTTATTTGCTTTTAAATAATTCATTATTTAAATTTTAAATTCTGAACGCATTTAATATTTTTTAAAAATATTTTTTGTGATTGGAAATATATTTATATTAATAGGTTTCTTAAAATAATTTTTTGTAAAATGGAATTATAAATACAAATGTATTTATTTTTGAATTTAAACTAGTTTGTAAACTTTTTGATTAATATTTAATGATATGCTTTTTCTGCATAATCTCTTACACCTGTTTTTATATTATCTTTACCTCTTAATAAAAATCCCAATCTTGTTGCATTGCATCTTTTTTCTTCACTAAAATAGTTTCTTTACTATAATTTTTCCAGTGAAAAATTTTATGATATTTTCAATGAGCTAAATTTAAATAAGTATTTTAATAATATATGCTTCAAATTTCTGATATCGCTGTGACTATAGAATTAAATTTTAAATCAATAAAATATGGCATTTAAAAGCACTCTTTTGCTTTCCTTTATTGTATGCAGAAAGAATTTAAATAGAATGCAAGTGAAAGCAATTGAAAAAATATATATAGTGAGGCTTTCATGGAGAACTTCAGGCATCGGTCTCGGCTGGTGGCGGGTACTATGGTTGGGAGAGTAAGTCACTTTGAATGGGGGTGTTGGATGAAAAATTTTGATTTGAATTTAGAACTCGTCGATATAAGAATCTTTGCTTTGTGGCCTAGTGGCTCCTTCATTCCTCCAATGTACCCCATTGGAAATGTGTTTTCTTTTGTTACATTGCAGCAGAAAACCCAGACTTAGTCCGCAGTTCTCCTCAAACCCAAACAATAAATTATGTATATATTGCTTAAATAATTTTTAAAATTTTTTTTCCTTGTTATATTTAAAATCTGTTAGTAGAATAAGATCAGGACTCATTTTTAAGACTTCTTTACTTTTTTAGAATCCTTTTTTTAAGCTTGTTTTCAAAATTAATATACAAGGAAGTCTTTTTTATTGCAAAAAGATTTATGTGTTATATTGATTTTAAAAATTATGCATGCAATGTATTTAAGAAATGTTGTTTCCTAATGTTTATTAGCAACTTTGTACAGTATTGTAATGTTATAAACCATACTAAATAGTTTAGTTATCTTAATTATATTCTATCTTATTAATTACATTTCATTGAATAAAATATTTATTTGAAAATCTCCTCTATATAAATAAAATCTGTATTTATTTTCTCTTAGAGTTCCAGATGTAAAACAGAAAATTATATCTGAACTACTAAATCAGGTAAATGAACTGTAAAATTGTTTCAATATTTTATGAAATATGTTTACAGCTACTGTTGGTTTTTAAAATATATTATTTTAAAAATGAAGACATTTTACAAGTGTTATAATCAACAACACACCTATAGTGAAAGATTTCTGTATCAGTATCTGGTCACCAAGTTTTGGTTACAACTGGATAGTGATACTCGAGAAACTAAAAGAAAGAGGCAAATTCAAATAGTACAGCTTGTAACCTTTCCTGGGTACTATAATAAATTTTATTGAAAGTACACGTACTGGGCAGTTGCACTCAAAGATTTTGGTTAGAACAAGCTCCGATATGGAAATATTCTCAACTGTAGAAGCATAAAATTTGTGTTAAATATTTATAAACAAATATAGTCAAATTTTTATATTTATATTCAATATTTGTAGTCAAATCTATCAGAAATTTGATGCTGTGTTGTCAGTAATTCATGAGACAGCATATTCAAGGGATGCTATTATGATAGCCTGGGTTCAAACAAATTAAAATTTACAATATTATAATTAATTTTATATGAGCATTAACAACAACGATTATATTTATTTTTTAAAAATGCATATGTCAAGCAAAAAGCCTAAAATCTTTAAAGATAAATAATTTATTAGCCATTGTATTAATGTATTTCTTATAATTTGTAATTTTTTTATAGCTTTTATTCTCTTGTGAAATAACATTAGTTCTGTCAAACATTATTCCTCTATTCACATCCAAATTATTGAAACTTTTTTTAAGTGTATTTTTTCCTTTTAATGGGTTTAATTTTTTATATTTCTGTATAGTGATTTTTCCACTGATTATTTTGTCTGATTTTTCTTTCATTTTTGTGAGAGATATAATTATAACCTTGATTACTTTTTTGACATTGACAATACATAAAATCTTTGTAATTTGACTAAGCGTCATCATGTTTGGCTGTTGCATTATAAAACTTCTGAAACTTTTTGAAATAACATTGAAATTAATTTTAAATTCGAAGTTCCTGAACAAATTGTTAAGATGTTCCTTCCAAAATAAATTGTCCTGAACAAATTGTTAAGATGTTTCTTTTTTAGATATTTAATGCATTTATTATATGCATTGACGCTTATTTGTATGTACTCGCATAGCGCAAACATAAAAATAACTTATGGCAATGAATATTGTATTAAAGATGTGAATTTAGTTAAGACTAATAAAAAAAAATTCTTGAATCTTTAGAAGCGTTTTGTCCCTACATTTTATTCCGTACTTTGAAGTATTTTATCTACCATATTTAAGTCTTGTTTTATATACTTAATTTGTTGATTCATACTTATGGTTTGCTTTTATCTATATTTAATTTTGTTTACCCTAGTGCAGGGATGGCGAACCAATGGCACGCGTGCCATTTATGGCACGCTACACAATATTTTGGGCACTCCACCGATCACAATTGTTGTTAAACTATGAAGCATTTGTAACAATTAAATTAAAATTCACAAAAAAGTAAAAAATAATGCTAAAAAAACAATTAATAACCATAAATAACAAGCTAACAATAAATAACTAGCAAAAAAAATTAACAGTCCTGTTTAAACAAACATCTTACAACCTAATATAAGTTATTAGTCATCTAATCTGCAACTACAGAAGTCACACTAATGTTACTTGAAAGTTGAATTACGCGTATAACTGACGTATTGCAAAATGTATTTTTTCTCACTGTAAATAAAGAGTTTTCAGTTGATAGTATTTAGTATTACAGTCAGACCTCGATATAAGGTCATCCGCATATAAGGTCACTTTTCTAAAGTCCCGGCTCACTGAATAGGAATTCTTTGTTACAAAATATCGGATATATGGTAAAGTTTTAAAAATCGTTATCGCTTATAAGGTCATTTTTATCTGAGGCGAGGGAAGCTCTTTTCTAACAAAAGCCTATTTAACTTCCTTACAAGGCAATTACCCCTCTCGAGTTCTAGGAAAATGTTGCAGCCAACAAACAAGCTACAATTTCTGAAATTGTTTCACAAGTTGTGGACAGTGAGGACAATGACAGTGATCCTGTAGCTATAACCCATGTGGAAATTTCCAATGCAATAAATGTGTTACGAAATTTTTTTACAAATCATGAGGGAGCTGAGTAACATTTTGAGAAGTTACAAAATCTAGAAAACATTGTTCAAAAAGTGAAACCAAAAACAAAACAGACCTGCATAAATGATTATTTTAAATAAGGTAAGATGTAATGTATGTAACATATGTGCACTTTGAGGAAATTTGTAAACAGCTTTATTGTAAACTAATTTTTTTTTTAAATCTCACTTTCTTTAATTCTTTACTTATTCTGTTAAAATTTATTGACTTAAACATTTAATTTATGGCTGATCGTTTTCGTTTGTATTAACATTTTTAAAAAGTCTTAATGTGTACTATTTCCAAACCGCTAATGAATCGGTTAAAAGGTCACCCCGCTTATAAGGTGACTTTTGCGATGTCCCTTAGGGTGACCTTATATCGAGGTCTGACTGTATTATTTTCCCAATAATCACAAAGTCAAAATTATTTGATGGCACGTCTATGACCTCATTAAGCAATTTTTTAGAGAAAATGGCACGTTGGTGTATAAAGGTTTGCCACCCCTGCCCTAGTGTATAAAAAAATGAAAATTGCTTTTCCTGTCATTATGGATATACAGTAGAGTCTTGACAATTCAAGGTAAAAGGGACTGAACCTACATTGAATTTTCAAAAACTTAAAATTTAAGAAATATCCAAATGAATGGAAACAAAGCAACTTTGAAATTTCAGTACTTAATTTTAGGATATATTATATTTAAAGAAAATTCACTTACATTAGATGATGAGGGTACATTTACTGCATTACACCAAATTACAATATTCATTATATTTTAAGGCACCAGGTACTTAAAAATAATTGTTTAATTTTTTTAATATTTTATAACACACTGTTCACTCGTGTTTCAGTGTTTAATATACAAGTTTTGGGTCAACATTCAGTAGTAGTAATTGCTCCACGTGTTGTGTCTGCGTTGGTCATTGTTCGCAAGCAAGGCTGTTTTTTTTTCACTTGCTGGAATTTATTGGAAACTCAAACAATCAAGATTTTACTGTAATTTGTTTAACTAGCAATTAACGCATGGAACAACGATTTGTTCAAGAGCAAAACTGTTTCCCTACTGTTCTAAAGGCCACTGTTCTATTGCATAAATTTTTAAAGTAAATTAAATATATAGTCGTTATCTGAATAAAATAATTTTTCTTTTAATTCTTGCATATAAAAATATGTTATGGAATTTTTTAGGTATTGTTTTTGATTAAAAATTAAACACACTACTATTATTACTTCTAGACACTTTTTAAGTTTACACTCCAAAACATTTTCTGTTTGCAACAACATTTTTATTTCTTGTTATATTTTTAATAAATTTAGGCTGATATGTGGCTTGGAACGGCTATGACTTACACTTTATTTGAATATGCTAAAGATAATGCTGAAGAGCTAACTAAATTTCAACCCGATACTGTTGTTTTACCTGAAAGCACACCATTTATAGAAGAGAAGAATGTTATTGTGAATGAAGAGACGGTAATGTATAAATTTAGTTCTCAAAAATTTAAGTTACCTTTTAATTTGATACTGATTAATCCTCGTTAAAATAAATTTTAGCGTCATTGACTTAATGATCCAATATTTTACATGCCTTTGCATAATTATTACTGTAAACCTCTACTTATTTGTCTTGCTTGCAAAAAAAGTTTTATTAATCAATAAACCTCTCACAGAACACTAAATTAACTATAAAATTTTTGTTTAATTTTATTATTAATAGAATATGCTGTTTTAAAAAATGTTTTTTAATTACAAATTCTACATCTTCTATTTCACTTACCTATCTCTAAAATGGTTTTGCTATTGTTTCTTATCTCACTACAAAACAGAATTTTTTTTTTCAAAAGCTAAAATTATCCAATTAAAAACAAACATTTTTATAACATTGACTTTTCCTCAAAATACTTTACTGTTTGTTAATGGTCGCCAACATTATTCACCGAAGAAGTGAATATGATCTTATTTTATCTCAAAGAGTTAAATTACTCAGTAAACACTTATTTAAAGCTAAAAAGCAATGTAGTTCGATTATCATAACAATTTTGGTGAATTCAGTTGTGGTTTAATACTTTTAACAAATGAACTTACCACAAGGAATGCAGTTTGAATACATTAAGATGTCCATTATATTCTTTTTTTTTATTTTTCTGTAACTATAAAAACATATTTCATGTTTTTTGCCTATGGGATTATTTAAAAATATATCACAAAATCTTTCATTTCTTTAATGATATAAGAGTTATAAGGTAGCGATACAAAATTTTTTAGGGACAAAAATGAAAATATTGATGTGTACGTCGGAGAAAAATATTAGTCAAAACAGAAGTTTAGATATTAGAGTAAATCATGATTACTATAAATAAAAATTATGATAACTGATGTCAGGTGCAGGTTTTTTTTATTTATAAAATATTATGTCCTGTGATTTTTTTTCCCTACACTTTTTAGAAAATTGGTCAAACAAGTTTGTTTCTATATTTATGTTTACTTATAATATATGTATTAATATGTTACTATTATGTTTATAGAGGTTACTGACTCTTGTCAGTAACCTATTTAAGTAAATGTGATTTTTGTTAGTAACCTGCTAGGAGTTATTAATCAAAGCTTATTATTTTTGTTTTAGTATTGTCTAACATCAAGAACTTAATTGAATTGATATAAACTTTTAATTAATTTTTTGTAACTGCCCAAACTTAAGAAGCTTGTTGGTTCTTAAATGTAAATTATGAGTTTTTTTTGCGTCACAGTTGAAATAAATGTTTAGTTTATAAATAAAAGGTTCATTAATTCATCTCAGTTTTAAATAATTCATTTATAAAATTTTTATTAGAAATTTTCTCAAATATAGATTTTTTTTAAAGGTTTCTTCTTCCAAGAAAGAAAAAAAACCAAAATTAAGTAAACAACAGAAAAGGAAATTAGCAGAGAAACTAGATGCTAAAGGAGAACGTCCTAGAGGCTGGGATTGGGTGGATATTGTCAAACATTTGAGCCAAATAGGACCAAAGCCAACTACGAATGATGCAACATCTTAACATTTTAATGTTCATAGTGCCAAACGTGTACATTCATATCATAAATTATATTTTTAAAAATATCTGTTAAATAAATTATATTAAGATATTATATTGTTATATTAATTTAGGCCATGGCCCTCTATGGGATGTCACGCCACTGAGTTTAGTAGTATTTATTTAAATAAAATGATGTGCTAAGTTTGAGAGAAGAAAGTCTGCAGTAAGTGCCAGCCACCATTAAGCTTTTGATTTAACTTAGTGGTGATTCTTCTCATTCAAATCATTATGCAGCTTTAATATAGATTCTCATGTAGTGAACTAGTTAAGGAGAAGAATACTGCTCCAAATGCGACTATTTATGCAGGAATATCAATAGATAACATCATACAAAAAGGTATTCTATGAATTTTAAAAATAATTGGTATTTTAAATGAGAGCTTTTTAAAATAAATTAGTTGGCAAATCTAAGTCATGTGTAAAATATGAATTAACAGGCATTTTTTGAGAAGATTTTAACTTGTTTGTGTCAAGTATAGAAACTTCAAAAAATTACTCAAATTATTTTAAAATTCATTCATGTGACAAATAAAAAAAGTTAGAAATTTTTTTAAAATAAGGAATAAAAGTTTTTTCTGGATGTAAATGAGATAAAAATAATAAACAGATAAAAATGAGAATTTTTGGTAATATTCCACTTAATTCATTACATATAAGTTTTGGATTATCATGTGACACTTCTGTTATAAATTATTTTCACTCCTGCTATACAAAATCAATATAAAAGAACTGAAATTTTCCATTCCATATTATTGTAACAATATTCATATACAATATGTTTCTCTTTTGTTTAAAACTCCAAACATCAGCCACTATGGGCTTATAAAGGTATATATAGGTTAGCCACACATGATGCATCATTACATAGTTGGGTCATTTTCAAAAATCTTGCCCTTTTGTTATCCCATGATTTAAAATCATTTTAATTACTTAAATAAAATTCCAATTAACATTTTTAAAAATATTGCCTGCATAATATTTTTATTATGTTGAATACAGTTGAATTGCTATGTCTCAGTCTTCTTTGCGAATAAATAGCGAATAACTACAGTAATTTGCAATGTAAGAATATTTAAAATCAAGGTAAGCAGAATTTTAGAAGCAGGTCTTATTTATCAAAATTTTGTAGCTGTGCCACTATTTCCTAACAACTCTACACACAGAATAATCTTTGATTAAATGTAGAGATTATCACCAACCAATTTAAAAAATTACACCAATTTTTTAAAATTTAAATTAAATATATTTGGAAATGGTTTATTAAAACTGAAACTAATTCAAAATCTGTTTCTTCTTAAAAATTTAACAATTGTTCATTTTACTTTTATGTGCCATTCTAAAAAATATTCACCATTAGAACTATTCAGAATAAATGATTTTATTTGGTAAACTTCAACAAAGCAGTTTGATAACAACACATAAAATACAAAAATTGTCATTCCAAAACCTATCAAAATCAGAACATGCACTCCCCAAAAAATGAGTATTAATAAAATAGATTTTTTTTTTTTGCATAGAACACATAATACTAATTTTAAGAAATAACACTTTTAATCTTTTTTCAAAAAAACTTCAATTATAAAAATGAAAGAGAAAAGTGAGAATTGTCTTTTAAAGTTAATACATTGCTAAATCAAATTATGCACTAAATTTTTATAAAAAATAGTAAACAATCATAGTAAATTGGTCCCATGCATCAATTGGAAATGTGATCTTGTAAAAAAATTTCAAAATAGAACTTTAATAAATTTGCTTTACAGGATTATTTTCTATAAAATAAAACTAAAGTATAAATTATTAGTACAAATTAAAAATATTACTCTTTGGTACTAACATATTTTATAATGTAACTGAGAAAATAAATTTAATTAAAATTACGTAAGGCTTATCATTCTAAAATAAATTGATTCAAAAACAAAATAATTTCATAAATTACTAAACTCTACATAAAACCACCATTTTGATTGAAAAATGAAATAATCACAAGCTTTTATCACAGATATGTTCTTCCTGCCAAGAAGTAATATTTCATAAAAACAGTAGAAAAATAATTGGATTGGAAATTAATCTTCTAGCCTTTGATAACCATCTCCAATATCTCTCCTTACAGGAATTTCTCCAGGAATTTTAATGGTAGATATTTCAGGCTATATAAGGAAAAAAAAAACTAAGTAACTCACGGCAATAGTTATGAATTAAATAGAAAATACATGTATAAAAAGATCATTCAAGCTTTTGAAAATTAAATGCAAAGAAAAAATTATGAATTCTGTAAACAGATGATGCAAATTATGTAACTATAGTTACTTGACTCATATATGTATATTAGTCAAGTCAAGTCAAGTAGGAAAACAGTAATTTAAGAATTGTAGAGGAAAAAAATCGAAAAAATCTTCAGTCGATAAAAAATAGGTAAGAAAAAGAACTTATCAAGTGTAAAACAGTTATTATAAATAAAGTAAAACCATTAATATTTTTCATAAACATGGAAAACATTTTTTAAAGTTAAATTATTGCAAAAATTTAAAATTTTTTCTTCTAAATTTTAGGAATTTTATAAGCTTTAATTCTTATTTTAATAAGTAAAGAAATTCCTTTTTAATAATGAAAAATCAGGTTAAAATCCAAAAAATCATTAGAAAACAGTAAAGATTGGTTAAAAGAATATATTTCTAGAAGAATGCGATAAAATGGTAAAAATTGGCAAATCAGATTACAATACTTTTTGCAAAGAAAAACAAATATTAAATAGCTGAAAGTTATTATTAATAATTTAACAATTACATAAAATAATTGATGATATTTAAAGGCTTATTTGGCAGGAAAAATTAAATGTGGGATTCTTTAATTAGGACATATTACCTCAAATTTTTGTTAAGAATCTTAGGTGACCTATCAGGCAGATTAATGTTTTATTAGGCAAAGGTTTATGATGTATTTTTTCTTCTTCTAAAAACATTAGGGCATCCAATTTTTCTTGGTCTATTTTAAAACCTAACACATCATCAGTGGTAAATAATGCAGTTTAGGAAAAATATCAACCTATTTTTCGATTCTCATATGCATTTTAATCATCTTACAAATTTTTATAGTTTAATATCAAATTATTGAATCTAACATTCATCTTAGAATAAATGTTTAATAAACATGTTTAAAATGTTTGGCTGAAATTGTGCTGTCAGGTGGAAATGTGTCAATTTCATGGGTAAATTAAGTCTGGAATCTACATTAAAAAAAATGTAAGGTATACGAAATATGAATTTATAGAGTGTACTCAAAAATATTTTTTTCTTAGTTAAAAAAATAGAATTTTACAATCAAGCAAAAATGTCACTATGTCACTCGAAAAATAATTGTTGATAATGTTTGAAATTTGCAATTGCATGCCTGATCTCAGCCACCAAATTATATTTAGTAACAGCAAAATACAACCACAAAGAGTTAATAAATTATAATAAAACATTTTTATTATAAAATAATTTCATGCTATTAAACTTTTCCAAAATGTTTTTTTCTTCTACTTATTCCAAATACAAAATTTTTGATACTAGAGCTTATAAATTATTTTATACTATATGTAACATTTAAAAAATCTCATTCAAAATTTGACGCTTTATCTGTAAAGAGTAAGACGGACAGTTTAATGAGACACATAATTACAAATGCTAGTACATATGTCGTACTCTAGCACTTAATGTAGTAAAAAATTAGAGAGAAAATTTAAAAATAAATAAATTAAAAATTACCGAATTTGCAGGATCATTTTCAGGGTCTACTTCTTCAAATTTCTTTGATTTGAAAAAAGTACGTTTTTTCACTAAATACAATACTATAACATCACATATCACTACCACCTGAAAAAAAAATTGTTAGATAGAACATTTCATCAAAAATATAACAATTGTTGTAGAAAACGCAATGTAAATGAATCAAGGTGTTATAATTAAAGCTAACTATCACTGTTAAAAAATGTTTTTGATAGAATTAACAATAATGAAACACTTTCTAAAGATAATTTTTAATAGTTTATTTGAAAATATGCAAAAAATATTTTAGAAGACATTCAATTATATTATAAAAAATCTTTGTTTTTTAAATATCCATTTTCCTAAAAGAATACTTTTATTTTTTAAAAAATGAAATGATAACTGTATTATGAAAAATCATATTTTAAAATATATAACATTTCAAAGAACACACTTGATCTGAATGTTTAAAAATTTTTCAATTCTGCAAACTATTAATTTATTTAATAAATAATTATATTTCTTATTATTAATAATTTATCAAAACTTATTTACCAAAGCAAGTAATCCTAAACCAGCACCAACATTTTGCAACAGAGGTATGATTCTAAATTGTCCAGCTTGTCCTACTACAGTTATTGCTAAACGAATACCAAATAATTTATATAGAGTTCGTCTATCATCGCTAAAGTAATTGGCATATCTGCAAGAAATTTTCAGTAATAAATAATTTGATATTGATTAGTTAATGTTATTTTAAAACTTCATCACTTAAAACAAACAAGTATGCTTTAAGTATACATATTTTGATCAAAGTACTAAAATGAATCAGTAATATGTATTGTCATGTTTTTATATATTTCTTAGTTTACTTAGCATTACATATTTCTTAGTTTTTAAATTTTCTTTGATTCTTAAATGCGTATCAAGTTATTTCTCAAAAAATTTAATAACTAATTTATTATTCAAGCTTGTCACACAATAAGCAGATATCGAATTCTATTTTTAAATCTTCATTAGCTGTTAAGACATTAGCATAAAAATGCATTCTATTATAAAAATTAGAATAATTTTGCAACGTTTTTTAGAATTTTAATTTTTTGAAAAATTACTACATAAGACAAATATGTATGCATTCTGTTATAAAAATTGCAATAATTTTGCAACATTTATTAGAATTTTAATTTTTTGAAAAATTACTACATTAGACAAATATGTTGACTCAACATGGTTGACTTTTTGTAAAGCTTGTTTTTAATCAGGGTTCGTGATTTTTTTGATTTTTTAAAAAAAAAAAATCAAAAGAATCAGATTTTTTTGATTTAAATCGGATTTTTTTTAATTTAAATCAGATTTTTTTGATTTTTATTCAAATACACCTAAAGAACTTTAATTTATGATTAAAAAAAGTTATAAATGTTTAATCAAATTAACTTAATATTAAAACTATGTTGTAACAATATTTTAGAAGCTCTAACTAAAATAATTTTTCATTATAATACATGGCTTTGAATGCATAGCAACCATTTTGAAACAAATGCATGATTAAAATTTAAAGACTAGATGAAATAGAGAATTTAAAGAATACTTCAGGGGTCTGTCTGGGTTTTTCTGAGAGGTACCTATTTTGTGAAAATTAAAAATTATATTAAAAAATCAACACAAATATAGTAAAAATATGGATTTATCGTTTCTTACGAGACACAAAAATAAAATTTTAAGAAAAAGTATTTTGTGTGATTATTCTATCATTTTTCCTAAAGTTGAATTTGTAAAGGTACCGTTAAACGGTAGTAAATTTGGCTTGGACAGACCCCTGTACTTTAACTATTAAAACAAAGTTTCAGTTAGCAAACCATAACTTTAATTTAAAATTGTGATTTTTTTTTTTTTTCTCTTGATTTTTAAAATGACAAAATAAATGTAGCAGACTGTGTTTATAAATGTAGTTATTCATCAAAAAATAAATAAATATTTAATCTATATATTTTTATATTAAAATATTCACTTTTAATTCTATATCAAAATAGATAAGTTAAGCTAAAAAAAAATTAGAAAATCTATGTACTCATTGGAATTTTTTTTCACAAAATTTCTTTATAGAAAATCAGATAATGTCAAAGATACTGTAAACATATTATGAGAAAAAAATACCAGTTAATAACCCTACTGCATCAAATAGACTTTGAAAGAGTTTGAAAGGGAAGAATGACACTATATTAGGAAAAAAACATCTGAATTCATCAGCCCTTTTTTTTTCTTTTTCTGTTTTTGGCATATTAGGGTAATTTCTTTTTAATATAACCTCAAGCTTCAGAAATATACATTTTCCACCAATAAAATATGATGTAGATTTTAATTCACGCTTTTTCATTCAAAAGGTAGAATTTTAATTAACATTATTTGTATTATTTTTTGAAAAATATTCATGTTTATTAATTACTTTCTACAGCTATGCAAGTCTATATTAAGACAGCATTAAATGTTTACTTTAATCTGTACTTTCAATCTCAAGAATCAAAACATTTTTAAAAATGTAATTTCAAATGTGTTGGAATTTAACACACACCAAAAAAGTAATTTCATTAACTAAAATTAATTAATGCAGCAATTAATTAAATTAAATTTTAATGCTAAGAAAAGAAAATAATAAGAGTATCAAAAATTTAAGACACTGTTTTATGACTTTTAATATCAATATATATAGAGAAATTTTTTTTTTCCATTTAAATCAATGATTTTTTAAAAAAAATCATTTGATTTAAATCATGATTTAAATCGTGATTTAAATCAAGCTGATTTAAATCAACAAACCCTGTTTTTAATAAATCACTTTCCCTTTATTCCAAAGTGATAGTTAATTTTTTTAAACTTTTGATTTGTTCCTGTTTCGCTTAGAGGGAACAAGCTTTGCCCTTCTCCCTGTGTCTACATGCAAAGAAAAACTTTACAAAAATTTGCAATGAATATATTTTATTACCACGGTAATCTCACTGCCAAAAATTTTTTTTATAACATTTATACATAAATCAAAGCATTCCTTATAGTTAATACACTTCAAATTGCTTTTTATTTCTTGCTAGAAAAAACATTATATATTATTTCTCTGAGATCAGGATAGGATTCTTTTCTATGAAAATGAATATATTTTTTAAGTTCGTATTTGTTTTTTTATTTATTAAAAAAAGTTTACACTGAAGTTAAAAAGGAATTATACAAGTAGAGCCTACATCTTCTTTTCTTTTTAATTGGAAGTCGTTTAAAACAGATGCAAAGAAATTTTTTAATGAAAGTCAAAATTGACTTTCAGAATTTAATAATAAACAATTAAACAATATTTCATTTATGTACATGCATAAAATAAAGAACTTTAAAAATAACACACATTATAATATTATGAAGCAAAAATAACAACAATCATAAAATTTCATTGTTCTTGCTGCTGCTTGTTAATGTAAAAAAATGTATTTAAATTCTATTTTTTATTTTTTGAATAAAAAATTGAATTCAAACAGACTTTTTCTAGTTTTCATGTTACACTAAAGTGAGAAAGTGATGTCTTGAAGAATTTGAATTTTTAAATCTATGTATGTACTTTTTTTGAAGCTGATAAAATGTCAAAAAAGTGATGAATGAAATTGTGTAAGCTTAGGTAACAGTGGGCCAATTAGATAACAGAGCTTTTGGACAAACAAAAGTTCGAACAAACTTAAAATTTTAATCAGTTTGGAATAAATAAAGAGGAGACATTCTTTCTTGCTCTTTTTGTTATAAATAAGGGAGTTTGTATAGAATTCAAATGCAAAACAATGCAATTCTAATACACTGTTCAACAAATGATGTAGAAAGCAAACTTATCGTTTTAATACAAGATATTTTTCAACACTATAACGACGTTATTGTAGTTTCAAAACGACATTTTTTATTTTAGTTTCATTTTCTGAAAGACTTAAAATATTGATAAAATAATTATTATTAAAGAAAAGAATTATTATTAAAAAAAAATAATGATGTCACATGAAAATTATAACTTGACTTAATCGAAAAATCAACAGTTAAATTATTATCAACCGTTAGCAGACAAACGATAAATTTCTTAAAAGTTTAAGAAATTTGAAGCAGCTGTCAAAAGCTGTGTGTTATGGAACAGGCCAAATATTTTCAAATTCTGTTGATATTAACATAGAATTTTTGTCACAATCATTGAAACAAAGCAAAAATACATACAAAAGATAAGGGGAAATGGTTTGAATCCACTACATTAATTAAAATAATTTAATTATAAGTAAAATAATAATTTTAATAATTAAGTGAAAATGATTTATTTCACCTGAAGTTCCACCCTGGAGCTAATTTAGCTTCTGGGTCATCTAAACGATTGAATTCATATTTAGGAAAACAATATTTTTTGTCAAAATCAAGATTGCAGTCCCATTTAATCACCACAGCAATAACACCACCCTGCATAAAAATGAAAATATTTTGTAAAATTACGTAACATAAATTTAAGCATAAGCTGCACAATGGTTTGGTTTTAACTTTATGTTAATAAAAAAAAAAAATAAAAAAAAAACAATAAACATATAAAACTGAAATTTTTTATAAATTCCACAAATTGAACACTTAATAATATACATCACACATTTTGTAAAATTTCTATAAATAAATGACAGATTTATTTAATTTTTTATGTATTTTTCAAAATACATTTAATTTTCAACAGAATTAGACAACCTTTGATACAGTATTTGATATATCAGTTAAGACATTTTTAGCTTATAGTATTATTTACTATACATATTTATCGTGTTGTTGACGTATGCCTGTTTAGACAGAGGGGGTGCGATTGTTCTTGTTATCCAATGGCGCTATCTATGGCCAAGAATTCGACTTCTGGCATACCCATATGACGCACCCGTTTATAGGGCGGACCCATTCATCCACATATCGTAATTTTGACCTGAATCAGAGAACGACCGATCTCTAATACAGTACCCCCAGAGGTATTGATTTGTTATGGGAACATGGAGGACTTTTGCAACTCGACAGATTTAACTTGCATCAGTCACTTTACTACACGGGGAGTCTTCGGCCGGCGGGATTCGAACCCACGAACTCTCGGACATGGGCCCAGCACCCTACCGACCAGACTATCCCGGCCCACATATTTATCTTATAATAGCCAAATAATAAAGAAAAAAAATTTCTAACTTTATTAACTAAAACAAAATTCCAGATAAAAATATAAAACTTTTTGTATATGAGCTAGATTTAACCCAAAACCAAAGATATGGCTAGTCAACAATGTCTTTTAATATATTCCATCTTTTTTTTAATTATAAGAGAACAAAAAGCTATTTAAATGTTATTAAAAAACACAGGTAATAGTTTTTAATGAATCTTACAATTATAATTTCTTCCCCACACTGTTGTAGCTTCTTTATCATAACAATCTTTATTTATTTAATACAATGAAATTACAGATGTTTTATAAGTAGACTCAGTTCAGAATGAATTAGCTAAATTTATAATATGTATTAAGTTATTTAACTCACTGGCGGCCCAGCACATTAAAGTCATAAATTTTTTAATCCAACCAAATGGTAGTGCAGTGCACATAAAAAGTCTCGCTTTGTTTTCTAACTACAATTTTTCCTGCACTTACAAAAAGCCTCTATTTTAATGTGCTGAAATCACCCACCAATTTAGAATAAAAAAAGGAGAAAAATGATCCTTCATACTTCCTTGAACTACAGTTCTATAAGTAAGTGTGAACATTTAAAACAGTAAGTGGGTTAATAATTGTAAAAACTTAATATTTACTTTAAAAGCAACATCATTATAATTTTCTTGTCCACTCCATTTAACAATATCACCAAGTCGAAAAATAGGACAATCAGGATATTCCACAGGATCATACAAGCAAGTTTTCAAATAAGAACTATTTGAAGTATCCTTTATATTGCGTCTAAAAATATTGCACTATTTAGTTCGTACAACTATCATAGTTTAAAGTATCAATTAAAAGGTATAAAACTCCATGACTTTATAAATTATTATACCTGTGAATAGCATAACTTATTTTTTGCAATATATCTTTGATAGAAGAAAATAAAATTTATAATAGCAGATAGAAATTAAGCTGAAAATATAGAATTAATTACATTTTAAACAGCAACATCTAATAAAGTTAAATACATTTAGAAATAATTTAAGGGATTATCCGCAAATTAATGTAGTTTATGTTACATATTTTACATAAACAGGTACACATAAAATTTCCTAGCATACTAGTCATCAAATAAAAACTTGAAGCCTTTTAAAATTGGGAAATTCTTTTTAAATATTTTTTTTAAAAATAAGATATAAAATATGTTCCATTCATAATAGTACTAGCACTAAAAAATGAAAGGAACAAACTATTACTTTTTAAATTTTGGAAAATGCTAAGATCTAAACAGAATTAAAACTTTATATTGGTACTTATTTTCAGAAATGTACACACACACCAAGCACAAACTTAAAGAATTTATAAAAATTTAGAAATTTGAAAATTGGCAATCTTATAAATGCAAAAACAATATTACACAAGAAAGACTAATATATAAATAAAAATTATCCTTGATAAAAATAATATAATTTTAGAATTAGTAGTATAGAACTTTCTAATCTTTCAAAGTAAAAAAAATAACTTTATAAAAGTCGAAAATTACCTGATGCAGATGTACTGTTTCATCTTTAATCTAAATTGACTATAAAATCAAACTATTCTTTTAATAAAATATTTTTATAAATATTTAAAAAAATTATTCACGTTTTAATTATTTTGCAATTAATTTTAGGGAAACTACCGGGTAGTTACCTGAATTGAATGTAGGAAAAGAGTAAGAGCTTCATTTACTATACTTATATTTGAAGTACATTACATTACATATTACACTTACATATATTTGCATTTATATTGCAGAATACTGTACTACAGTACTTCTTTTTAAATTTAAAGATCCAAAATATTCTCAGCTTATAATCTCCTTTCCAACTTTTTTAAACATTGTATGAAATTCACAATCTGTATCAGTTCAATTTCATGTAGATTTCAATGGCATAGGAACCAGATCAATTTTTTCACAAATATAAACAACATTAAATATTACAAGTACATAAGTTAATTAAATAGCATTATAAACTAAATCTGAGGAAAAAAAAAAGGAGAAAAAATTGCAAGAGAATATTGGAGTCACGAAACTTATTTATATCCAATAAAAATTAAACTCCCAAAGGAACACATTCTGCATATTTAATTCAAATAATATACAAAAAATATTTTTTTTGCAGAGTTCAGTTTTTAACGAATGTTACATAAATCCCATTAAAATTCATAATTAAGAAAAAGTCAAAAGCATCATGCAAACATATTATGTAATCCTTTGATTAAAGTAAAAAACAAAATTTTTTTTATGATGTTTGATTTTACTCTAATAATCTGAAAGTTCAAAAAAAGCAACAAAGAAAAGCTATGCATTTGTAAAAGTAGTAAAAATAAATAAAAATATAACATAATTTTTGAAAATCGTCAAATATACCTTTTAGCATTTTCGAACTTTGGAAAATCCACAAAATTTTTAATTAGGACAGTAAAATCTTCACTGGCTTCTAAAACAGCTGTATTATTTTTCCTAAATGAAGAGAAAAAACAAACAATAAACTAATCATAAAGCTTTTTTTCATCAGACGAGGCTCAGTTGTAATGTTATAAACAACAAACATAACTTTGTCAGCATTGGCAAAAAAGTGACTGATTAAAATTACTTTTTTCTCAGGTAAATAAGATATGAATTATTTTTTCTTTATTTCACACAGTTCTGATATTTTATACAAAAATACCATATAAGTATAAATAAATTTAATATTATAAAATAATTTTCATTAACTTTTTATAAATTGATAATTACGGATGGTGATAGATATGGTGTGTTCTTTGCATTAAAATTAGAATGAGAAATGAATGCAACTGCAGTTTTTAGTAAAAATCAGATTTTATGGAAAAATCTCTATAAATTTTTTTTCTTCAGAATTGACAATATTATATGTACTTAGATTTTATGTTTGCATGTTCAGATTTTCAGAGTAACTTAAATTAACTATTTTAAAACAACTTTTTAAATCACAAATAGTAAAATTTATTAAAAACCTAAACATGTGTCACAAATTCATCACTAGGTCAAAGATAATATAATTTGTCACACCGACAAAAAAAATATGCAGTTAAAGAGTAAAAATATTTAATTGAGAGTAAAATTTAAAGATTTTCAAATTTTTGAAGAATATTGTGCAATAGTAAGAACATTAAAAATAAGAAAATTTTTTGATCATATAAAAACTCAACCAGAAATCCAGACCAATTCACAAAAAAACATTTAGGAATGAAATTTCTTGAAAACTTTTAGGGTGTCTAAAAAAAACAAATGTACACATAATTACAAGGGTTTAACATCTACTTCAGTTGGGCACCATGCTTGTATTTCACAAGTGTAAGTGCCTTTAATACGACTTTCAACACAGTTTCCAGTCATAACACCTACAAAAAAAAGGCATAAATAATTATATTTTAAAATTATTTAAACATATTTTAAGTACATAAATCATTATAAAAATTTTAAAAAAATTATATTTATAAAATTTAATATATACCATTGCCAGCAGTAACGGCATTTCCGGCAACACAGCTGTTGTTATCTTTATAACAGAGAGCTTCAGTAATTGAAGGATCCTTAAAATATTAAAAGAAACATAAAATATAAATTTTTTGATAAGAATTGTGATTTGAAAGTTTCAAATTAATTTTTGCATAACTACTGTACCTCAGGACAAGTTTCTTGGGTTTGATTTTGTGTAATTATTAAATTTGTTGCAATAAAAGTAGCTCCATTTTCCTGTAAATGTAGAAAAAAAATTATTAAAATGGTAACTAGAATAATTTATTGAAAAACACCAAATTTTATGTAACAATTATAAAGTAAAAATTTTTCTTGTATTTTTTTTAAAGTCTAAATATTGTTTAAAAAATCATTGAATTATAAAAATCTCCGAAGTGAAAATTTTTTGGAGGGGTACCTTAAGCCAAAAAAAAAAGAAAAAAAGTATTCAAATTGTAATTCAATTCTCTTAAAATTATAAGGAAAATCACAGAGGTAATAAAGTTTAAATTTATGTCATTAAAGATTATATACAATACAGATTAGATAAAGATTATATACATTGAATTAACTCGCAATGCAAATATAACATTTGTAAATGGTGTACAACCCTAATATGTGCTTATATTATGAAAGCAATCCATATAAATTTGACAGTTCACCGCATCACAAGGAAGCAGAAAATAGAACAAAGAAATAATAAAAGTTTCATAATTCAACAATTTAGATTAAATGAACAATAAACATTCCCACAATAAACATTTGAAACAATAAATTGAAAAGAACAAGTCTTTAATTAATGCATGCAAGTTATTGCCTCCCAATATAATTTGGTGACATTCCAGATTACCTGGAAGTCTTTATCTAGTCCCTTGCACAGTAAGAGGTGATCAGAGTTCAAGATACCTGAGTTACAAATTGGATATGCTTTGATGGAGAGAATTTTTATATTGTATAAATGTTCTGATAAGCAGTCACATCTTGTTTGGGGCCTAAAATTAGCTACTGCTTCTTTACAGGGTTGGTTACGAAGAGACTTTCAATTGTCCTGAATGTTTTCCCATTATTTGCCTTTCCATTTTATAGATAAATCGCAATTATTTATTTTGTTAAATTTATTAATTACATATTTTTATAAGTGTATTAGGATTAATGGTTGCTATTTCTTAGGGAATGGTTGTTTTGTTTTATTGCCAGAAGATTTCTTCTCATTACCTTCTACATTTATATGTAATGGTATTCATTCTATAACAATAGTTTTATTTATTTCCTTGATAGTTTTATTTATTTCCTTGTTCATAATCTTAGTATTAAAACAGTGATTGTTTGTATTGCTGATATAGAATACATCAAGAGAACCACTTTTGAGAACTCATTGGTTTTTGTTTTCAAGTTCTATAGTGACAGGTAAATTACATGGATCCCTGCATCAAAATTGATTATATAGCGACCCAAGGAGCACTTTGGGTAAATAGTTTGCAATAAATACCAGCGCTAGATCTGTTAAGTACCTTGGATCCGTCAGCATATAAACGTAACCAGTCATTTTTTTGTTCTAATATGTGTCATTAGTCATTATATAATTACTCAATAAAATATTTCTGGAGCCTGTTATCGTTCATGTCCCTATTATTTGATTCTGAATGTTCCTTGACTTCAAAACTGAGCTCAAAGTTATGTTAATGATGCAAATTTTTAACAATTTCCTAGACCCACCAAGAGTTTATTAATAATGACAAAAAAACAAAATAATTGCAAATTACAAAAATTTTAAAATATGTCTATGTGAAAACAATCTGTTTCAATTAATGAGTAGTTAATTACAAGAATTAACACAAAGCAACTGATGTTTAATGAATAAAAATAGTTAAACTTACTGATGGTGGAACTACAAAGTCTGCAACATCCCATATTCTTTTATACCATTCAGGATGTGAAATTTCTTCTTTGAACGCATTTTTAGAAAAATTTGTGTATGTAACTCCTTTAACTTTAGTTGTGATAGAGCCCTCAACATCACAGAATTCTTGATAACCTTTTTTATAAACAATTACATACCTAAAAATAAATTTATATAATACTTTATTTTAAAATGAAAAAATAATAATTTTATATAAAAGACATACACTTTAAAACTAAAGATCAGTGAATAAAAATAAAATATTTTCAATTGCAATTGGTGTCAAAATGAAAGTGTAAGAGTAGATACTTAAATTTCATATAATTTGGGCTAATTATACTTGGAGAGTTCTCTCTTACTTTACAGGTGATTCAGGTATTGTAGAATGGTTTTAAATGAGTATAGACTTAAAACAACTTAAATAGGTAGATTATAGGTTATAACACTATTGAGATAACAGGCTAAAATGTCTCTATTAGGTAGATTATAGGTATTAAGCCAGTGGCTGGGTAACATTTTCTTTCACAGAAATATAGTTCACTTAAAGAGTAAAAACAATGTATAAAAAAGGTGAGTTTCTCGAGAATTGCTTATGGGAATTGTTGCAAACTGCATAAAAATAAAATTAACCAATTTTAACTGCTATTAAAACTAATAAACAAAAAAACTAGAAGGATAGCTAGAAAAAGAAAATTGTCATTTTCAAAATATCTAGTTAATTTTGGCAAACAAAATTCCAAATTTGCATTTGAAATATTGTTAAGTTTGAAATGATCCATATATGTTGATAAATAAATTAAATTGAAAGAAAAAACATTTATTTTACAAAACAAAAATGAGTTGATAAAATAGTATAGCGATCTTAACTTCACATTGACCACCCTAAGTTTCAGAGTAGTGTGGCAGTACAGTAAAAATAAAATATAATATGCAAGAAAGTTAAAAAAAAATATTTATATCAAATAAGCTATGCTACTTAGACAATTTTCTAAATGGCAAATACAAAAATTTAAATAATTTCGATATTTTATATACAAGGACATATAAAGAGGAAAAAAAAAGCCTTAAAATCTGATCATTTTTAAAGTGAATTAAAAAAGAAAAAAAAAAACGGACACAAAAATATGATTTACCCAATGATATAACCAATTATGACAAGCTGGATTATGCGACTGACGATTCCAACAAATCGGTTTTTAATCTGTACTATTTTTGGAGTTTCATACGAAAACAAAGAATCCGCAATTTTATTACAGGTTGACATTTTTTTATGTGAAAATATAATTAATTTATCTTAATTATTAATTAATCGATAATATGAAACAGCACAAAGTACTTATGCGCTGAAAATTAAAAACAAAAAGATTATATCACGCAAGAACCACAAGTTTTAAAGGGAGAGAAACTGATAATTTATTTCATTTGTTTCAAAGATTAACTTCCAAATTAAAAGATAAAATAAACTAAGAAGATAAACTATTTCTATCTGTGGACGAAGTAGGTGGAAAATTTTGAAAACATGTGCTTAAAAACAGTAGTACAAGCAGTATATGCCAAATTTTGCATTCCGTTTAACTAATTCTATTGAACAAGTTGTTATTTTTTTATTTTACGAACAAAAACGGATTGAAACTTTTTAGTGTGTATTAAACGATTGATTTTTTGAAAACACTGATAGATAAACAAAAATAGTTTTTGTTTTTGTTGTCTGCTGTAAGGTACTACCGTTACAGTTACAGAAAGAAATAAGCATGCGCAGGATTAATTTTTTTCTTCTCCAAATTAACTTGGATTAATTAATTAATCCAATTAAATCATTTAAATATTAATTTTATGATTTCTAAAGCTAAAATAAGGTTTATCAAAATCCTTCATTTTCTCATAGTTTTCGTATTTTTAGCTGGAATTTACCTTAAAACCATGAGATGTTTAAAATCTTTTGATAGGATCTTTAATAAAATTCTTTTTCGGTGTTTAATTTAATTTTTTATTTAAACTTGCTGTTGCCGTTTCAAGCCCTCTCTCGTCGACCAATGATTTTGCTCATATTTTGGGGGAGTGTTGTTGATTTCGTTACGTCATCACCTCCTTCGTGTAAATAACAATCCATCCAGATCAAGATGTCGACGACGTCTGATGTTTATTAATAATGCGACGCAAACACATTCTACTTTATACCATTTATCTATTTTAATGTCTTCTGTTATAAAGTGAAGATCAATTATAAAAAATAATGCCACCAGGAGGTGTAATGCGACAAAAGGCAGATCAAAAATCTATGAAGGAAATAATTCATAGTGGTCATTTTATGGTATCTGATATCGACGATCCAGAAGTTCAGGATGGAGATGAGAGCCCATCATTAGTTGTTCATGAATCAGATTGTGATCAGGAATCCTTGCCGTTACCTTCTAAAGGATTTGATTTCGAAACAGCGTGCCAAGAGACTTCAAAAACATACACTTTTGGGTCACGAAGTACTCACTCAATATCAATTGATGCATCTCTAACAAAACTTTTCGAGTGCATGACACTAGCTTACAGGTAGTGCATTACTTACTCTAGAATTTGTTTCACTTATTTGAAAAAAAATATTGAATTTTGTTTTCAGTTAATATGAGGTAAAGTTTGTGTTGCTGCTGTTGCTGTGCATATTTGCATGCAAACCAGGATCTAATATAGATTATTAATAACACATACTTGATTGATTGTAATATTGAATGTTATAGATCAAATAACTGAAATTCTGTTCTTGAAATTTTTTCCATTGAGGCATATATAATGCCACTTTATGTGAATTAATCCCACTGCTGGAAATTAGCCAGTTCCTTTTATTTTGAGGAAACAGTTGTCATGAGTCTTACTATTGCGCATTAAATTCTAACAATTTAAATTTGATTTTAATAAATAGAAGATAAAATGTAAAGTATTTTGGATGTACAATGAGTTATCTATCCCTCTAGCTATTTATTCTAAACTTACTGCTGTTATACATTTTGTCTTTCCAATTCTTTTTAACTAGTTAGATCTTTTTAAATTGACTAATGAATATAGAGTTTGCTTTTAAAATGGTAGAACATCAATCTATTTTAAATATGTATAAAATATTATTTTTATTTATTCTTGGTCTGTCATTTATTAAAATAACTTGAAAGCGTTTGATCATCATTTTGCATATCTTAGGTAGAATAAAGATACAATAATTTTGAGTCTATGATGGTAGATCTGGGTGCAGACTGTGCAACTCTGTAGCTTAATCTTTTTTTTTTTTTTTTTTTTTTNTTTTTTTTTTTTTTTTTTTTTTTTTTTTTTTTTTTTTTAGGCTACATCTCCTAAAATTTTTTTTTCTCTTCTCCCGTTGAATAATGTTAACAAGGTTAGTGAGTGTACCTGTTTTGTGTAATTATTTTATTGGTTTGTAAAACATTTTGATATGAAAATTCAAAGTGATATGCAGTGGTTGACTGAATATTAAAATCTCTAGCAAAATAGGCAGCATGTAAAGGACTGAGTTTCTCAGCTTTTTTTGTTGCTGTTTATTTCAATTAATGCTGCTTATTTCAAGTAAGCTACAGCCTTAAAATATAAAGGGAAATTTTTTTTCTTCCTGAAACTAAGAGTTTATGCTTGTAAAATTGAGTGAATCTTTCATATCTCATATATATAATCTTTCTTTTCTTTCTTATTTGCATCAGTGAAGGCATAAGATTTTTATATCTAAAGCCGCGGTCGTAAGAACTATATTATTTTTGTAGTTAACTATAACTACAAATGTAGTTAACTACAACTATACTTTTTCAAAAAAAATGTAGTGACTACAAACTACATTGGAATTGTAGTAACTACTTCACTACTTTAAGGAGACTATCATTGTTGGAGAACTTAATTTACGCCTATGTTCGAAATTGTTTTGAATAAGAAATTGACTTACACTGAATAAAAGGGAATAATTAAGAATTATTTATTCATGTTTACATGAGCCACTTTGTTGTACCAAAATATTTTTTGTAGAAGTATATTTAGCCTTCAACTTTTTATGCCTTTCTCGACAGCGAACACTGAATTTAAGAATGTGAAATTGTCAAATAATTGCATCTTTTCAATTGTTTAATGCTCTTTTATTTCCTCTTTGAAATTACGTATATCGAAAATATGGTCCTTTTTTTTGAAATAACATCAATGTTTCATGAGTGTGCATTCTCATGTGAAAGTGTGACCAAATTGATTAATTATTTATTTTATGTAATGGCTACTTTGAATGTTAGTTATACGTTATTTAAATATGTAATCTCTGTTAAAGCTCAGCTGTAACCACAGGGACATTTTCATTGCATCCATTGACGGATACACAGAGATTTGTACCCATTACATCTTTTATCGACTGACATTTAAAGTAGTTGCCAGAAATTGCAACAAACTATTGTTTTTGTTTTGTACTATTCACTATACTACTTTTTTAAAGAATTTAACACACTACAGACTACTAAAAAAAGTAGCAACTACAATAGTTTCACTACTTGTAGTGCGCTACTTCTGACCACTGGTCTAAAGCATTACCAAACTGAAAGAATTTCCATATCGTGTTCTATACCAAAATAATTGCCATGTCTCGTGGACTTCTGAAAGTTTGAAAAAACTAGAGTTATTTTTAAAAAACTCAACCCACATTGGTTTTTCGATGTTTTTTTTCTTTTCTGAAATACCGTTCAGTTATATACTATATGTTTTTTTTTTTTATTAAAATGTTATGTAATAATTTAATATTACATGGTTACTTTATATAATAAAAGAATTTCATTTTTTGGTCTAGCCTTTAATTTGGAATATAGAAATTATCTCATAATAATAGTAGAGAATGATATTAAGAAAGAATGATAAATAACTATTAAAAGTGTTACTATTATATGTTTTAATAATTCTTTTAAAGGTAATCAATGAACAAACCTTGAAAAAATTTTTAAATTAATAATTTATAGGTCAAATAAACTTGGCAATGTTTTTTTCTTCCTAAAAATTTAATCCATACTTTGTTTTTTTTTTAATATGGAATTATTATGAGTCTCAATTTTTGTATTTAAATATACAAGTTAAAAAAAATTCTAAAACCTAACTCAATTTTAATGCAATTATAAAAATTTAATGTTAATTAACTTCATAGATATAATTAAAATAATTATGAAATTAATTAGAAAGAGTGATATTAATTATAGTTTAAATCAATGCAAACTAGATATTCCGAAAACGCCAAATTTATATAATCAAAAGACACATTCAAAACAAGCTGAATGCTTTTCAATTTATTTATCCATTTAATTTAGCTGAATTATATAATAATTAAAAATAAATTATCAAGTTAATTTATTTTCAATTGTTTGGAAATTTTTGTTTAAATGACAATAATTGACAATTATTTTTCTTTTAAAGTCTATTGATCTAGTGCAGTAAATTAAGAAACTCACATTGAAAAAACCTGGATGGTCTTTTTCAGGCTTGGCTTACTTTGGCAAACTGTAAACTTTCGAACCGTGGGCTGCGAGAAATTAAGGGAAAAAAAATTTGTGGAAAGGGACTAACTCGAAGGGTATAATTCGCAGCCTCTCCATGACAAACATTTAAGAATTTTTTTTCTTTCTTTTAAATTTGCAAGTTTTAAAATCCATGGTTGTTATAGTTGGTGTGATAGATCACGAAACAGAAATATCTCCTATAATATTTGAATTTTTTGAAGAATTAATAAATTTTTCTTTCGGTTATTCTAATTTAATTTTTTTTATTAAAAATAAATTTTGTTAAATTTCAGTTTTAGTTATATTCAGTTTTTCAGTAAATAAATATTATTTTGCGATGTCTGTGAAAATATATAAATAGCTTTTTAAAAAAAGTAACATACTAAAAGAAATTTAATTAAAAAAAAAAAAATTCTTGTTTTTTTGTAAGGAACTGATGTCCTTAACTGTTTTAAGATAATTTTATTTTAAAAGAACATTTACTTTTAAGTTAACTAAATTAAAGTATTTTGATATGAGATGTTTTTCATTTGCTAGTTTTAGTTCATTTTGTCATATTAAAAATTAACTGCATCTATTTTATTTCTGAGTTAAAATAAAAAGAACTAATTAATTAATTATAGAAATTGATTTACCATTGATTGATAAATTTTATGATTATTTTTCTATATTTGTATAAAAAATTGGGATACACTTTTTTATGATGCTGACTTTTTTAACTATTCCCATTATAATTTTTTTATACCTAGAATTATATAAAAGAATTTAAATGCTTGTATTTGCTGTTTAAATGTCTAAACTAATTTTTTTTAAAAATTTTTATTGAAATATTTATTTTTCTTATAATCATTTGCTATTTCAATTTTGCTTCAACTTACTGTTTTATTACTATGGAGCAGAATTACACCTAGTATTCTTCACTAAAAATGTTCATAATTACAAATGTTCTGCTGGTATTCAATAAAGTTAGCTAAATAGATAACTCCCACTAGCTAAATTATTATTATTTTTAAATGGAACATAAAAAAAAAAAGAAAAATTGTTAAAAAAAAAGAACCTGAATTTTTAAAATTATTTCATCATACATTGGTGTTATTTGCTATCAGAGCATTTGATATTCATTATTGGCGCTACTACAATCAGAACCAAATATAAAGTTTTAGTTTAGAAATAAAGGGGGGCGGAAAGGATAAAATATGCTAATTTCTAAATAAATGTTTCAATGTCAACGAGGTATCGTTGAGCAATTAGCAATGAGATCTGTACTAATGCATTCCTGCTTAACCAGAACGTACCGAAGTATATAATCAAATATATCAATGATATAAAAATATAATTGTTTCTTAGAATAAGGTTGATGTTGTTCCGCCATAATTATTTTAAGTTATTTTTGGAACAATTTTAAGACATTGTAAAAGCCTCCTTTGATTTTTATTAACATGGTCTTTTTGAAATAAATTTTTTTGCAATTTGTTATAGTCCTTTTAAAGGTGTGTCAGCTAGGTTTAATTTATAATTTAAAATTAATTATTATGTCTAAATAATTTGATGTTTTCCGGTAAAAGATTATCAGTTTACAAGATTTTCAATTAACAAGATGGCCTGCCTAAGTTATTGGTCTGTATCATTGCAACAACATCTTGTTAGAAGGTTGCTGAGTCTACCAGCATTGGTTAACAAACTACCAAGTGTAATTTTCTAAATGTTAAAAAGTCATGAAAGAATTCCTATTTTCATAATAACAAAGATCAATGTTTTTTTAAAAAAAAAGTCAAGCTATAAATTTTAACAAATTCGAAACCTAAATTAATCAGGGAAATACAAATTTAATTCCTGTTAAAAAAGAAAAAAAATGTTTGAATTTAATTAATACAAGTTTATATTTAATATACAATTATCTATGATAATATTTTGAATAAAAAATTAAGTTAATATTTTAAAATAAAAAATGAAAGGAATTTAAAGTAAAAAAAAAAGTCTCTGGGGTGCTGCTAGGTATTTATGTCTTCTATCTATGTCAAGTTTAATATTATTTAATGCATTTTTTGATATATTTATATGCTGCTATAATCATATTACTATGTTAGAAAAATACAATGTATTCCACAAGATTGGTTAACTTTTTTGATTACTCATGTATTATGTTTCTTGAAACACAAAATATAATATAATACTTTGAACAAAACATTATTTGTATAAAAAGAAAAACATGTTTTTTCTTTTCTTTTTCAAACTATGATTCTCTTGTTTGTTAGTTTATATTATGCAATAATGCTATTTTTATAAGAAACTATGTATCAAATGGTAACTCATAATTTAGACCTTTTTGAAGTTACGTAGATAAAAATCTTGCCATGGTTATTTTCTAATCTCTTTTTTTAATCTGTTTAGTCTTTTTTTGAAATGTGACAAAGTTGAGATAAGCTAAATTTTTTTGTCCACCTAGGCCGGAAAAAAAAAGGAAATAATTATGAAATAATATTCTGAGATATTTTTTGTTTTAAATTAAAATAGCTTTGTAAAGAATCATTATTTAATGGAAATTTTGATACTATTATGTATAATTTAATTTTTTTTTTGCCAGCTATTTATTGTTACTAATCAAATCATCAGTATTAATGAGTAAAATTTTATTATTTCTTCAATTTTTTTTTAGTGTATTAATTTTATTATTCCTTAAAATATTTTTTAATAAGTTTAATTTTTATTTTTGGTACACAACAATTGAAACATAACTAAAGAGCAAATCTATTTTAAATGTGACAATTATGACTAAGTAGTGTGAGTATCAAGTGAAAGAGATAAGTAAATGATAAGTGTATTCTAGTGGATCTCTTATCAGTTGGATGACCTTGTTAGCTAACAGGGAGACAAATAATTTCTTCCTTATCTATATTTTTTCCTTAATATTTTCCAGACAAGATAAGGCATATTCAATCCTTTTAATTTGTTTTCTATATTTCATTTAAGTAAACACATAATATATATAACTTTATATTTGAAATATATTATTGATCTTTTATGAACTGTTTATTTTAAATTACCTTTTTTAAAAAATTTGTTTTTAATAAAGAGCAAAATTTTATGAGTTTTATAAAACTATATAATGATGTTTTTAAAATTTTTTGTTGTTGATAATTTGTTAATAATTTTAAAAAAAATAGATGAAAACTGAGAAATTGTTGGAAATTTCTTTCAAAATGCACGATTTTGATGTTGACTTTTCGTCAAATTAGGAAGATTAGTTCTATAATTAAAGCTAGACCCAATTTTGTTAAGTTATAGGCAAGAAAAAACAGCATTGATACTACCATTTAGACTGAATGTAGCTCTTGCCAATTAAAAGAAAAAAAAACATTTTTTTTTTGAAGTAATACATTTGAAAAGAATTTTTTAATGTTAGATTTCAAATTCATTTTAATTTAATATCTTAATTGCTCAGAATATGCTATGCCATATAAAAATATTCATGCTGAGCATAAAAAGTTATATGTTGCTCAAAGTCATTACATAAAGTGAATAGGGCAAACCTTTTTAACTGTTTTGATTTTAATTTTTATGGTTGTCTTATAAGTAAGGTGATCTCCAAAGCAAGTAAAGAGGTTCAATTGGTTCTATTTCTAACAAGCTTTGCTTTGTGTATATTTGATAAAGAGAAAATCCCTTCTCAGGTTTTAGAACCAGTTTTTGTTAATATTCAGAATAATGATGAAGCTGTATTATGAGGAAAATACTTACGTTTTGACTTTAAACTTGGTCAACAGTTAATTTAGCTACGCCACTAAATGAAGATTTGACTAGTTGTCCATTCTTTCTCTTAAGATTAATTTTAAAATTTTTATTTATTTGACTTTTACTTTGCATGAAGGAAGGTATAATTTGAAATTGTTGAATTAGAAAATTTTTTTTTCATCATTTTTAAATGACTATTTATGTAAAGCTCTCAAACAAAATTTCAACTTTCTAATAGCTACAATAAAAATGTAACAAATAATAGCTTTAAAACTTTATAGAAAATGTTAAATTGCTCATTTTTAGAAATGTAAATCATAAAATGAAAAAAAAAAATTTTTTTTCCTCCATAATATTAGCAAAATTCTGGAGTCCTAAAAGCACAGCAAAAAGAAACTTCTCTTATTTTTCAAAATGTTTAGCTTAGAGGCCTGTAAACTCAAATAACAGTTTAACTCGATATAATTCTTTTAAAAAATTATTCTAAATGTAGCTGTTTTCATCCATCAATTGATAGTTTTAAAAGATTATTTGTCTTTTTAAATGTGAGTTTTAAGAGATTATTTGTCTTTTTAAATGTGATAAAATTTTAATTAGGAATATTTTTAAATGTGATAAATTTTAATAAAAATATTATAGCGAGATATGTTAACTTTGACTGACAAATTAAGATACTAAATTCAATATCTATTTTCATGTAATATAAGTTTTAATTTATAATGCATCCCTAAACAAAATTTTAAATAGCTATGAATCGTAATTTTTATATATATGACAATGTTAAGCATGAGTTCATTACTGTAGTTGAATTGTTTCGATGTTTACTTTACACAATAGTAGCTATTTTAATTTCAGATTACATTTTTCAGAATAGTTTTGATTCTTTAAGTGAAAAACAACATGAATGAAGCACAAATAAAGTACAAAAATGGGCATACTACAGTCAGACCTCGATATAAGGTCACCCTAAGGGACGTCGCAAAAGTGACCTTATAAGCGTGGTGACCTTTTAACCGATTCATTAGCAGTTCATAACTGAGCACATAAATAGTACACATTATGACTTTTTAAAAATGGTAATACAAACGAAAAAGATCGGCCATTAATTAAATATTAAGTCAATAAATTTTAACAGAATTAGTAAAAAATTAAAGAAAGTCAGATTTTTAAAATTTTTTTTAATTTAAAGCTACTTACAAATTACATACATACATTGTACATACATACATTACATCTTACCTTATTTAAAATAATCATTTATGCAGGTCTGTCTTGTTTTTCGTTTTATTTTTCGACCCATGTTTTCTAGATTTTGTAACTTCTCAAAATGTTCCTCTGCTCCCTCATGGTTTGTAAAAATATTTCGTATGACATTTATTGCATTAAAGGCTTCCACTTGGGTTACAGCTACAGTCTCAGGATCACTGTCGTTGTTCTCGCTGTTCACAACTTGTGAAACAATTTCAGAAATTGTAGCTTGTTCGTTGGCTGCAACATTTTCCTAGAACTAGAGAGGGGTAATCGCCTGGTAAGGAAGTTAAATAGGATTTTGTTAGAAAAGAGCTTCCCTCGCCTCAGATAAAAATGACCTTATCAGCGATAATGTTTTCTAGATTTTGTAACTTCTCAAAATGTTCCTCTGCTCCCTCATGGTTTGTAAAAATATTTCGTATGACATATATTGCATTAAAGGCTTCCACTTGGGTTACAGCTACAGTCTCAGGATCACTGTCGTTGTTCTCACTGTTCACAACTTGTGAAACAATTTCAGAAATTGTAGCTTGTTCGTTGGCTGCAACATTTTACTAGAACTAGAGAGGGGTAATTGCCTGGTAAGGAAGTTAAATAGGATTTTGTTAGAAAAGAGCTTCCCTCGCCTCAGATAAAAATGACCTTATCAGCGATAACGATTTTTAAAACTTGACCATATATTCGATAATCTGTAACAAAGAATTCCTATTCAATGAGCCGGCACTTTGGAAAAGTGACCTTATATGCGGGGTGACCTTATATGCGGATTACCTTATATTGAGGTCTGACTGTATAACTTCTGTACTTTATTTGTATTTTATTTACATTTGGTGTTTAGACTCTGAGGAAGGTTTCTTGTGTAGAAAACTGAGACTATAGCATGTCCATTTCTGTACTATATTTGTACTTTAGTCTTATTTTTCACTTTCACCTACAGGCCTACATAGTACAAAGTATACCCTATCTCTTTTGAGTTTTGATTCTTGTTTAACTATTTATGGTTTGCACATTAATTTGCATATTTTAGATAATGTTGTTTTCTCTTCTTAGGCTTTTATTCTTGAAGAAGATTCTGATTATCAATGCAATGTATTTTTTTATTACTAAAAAACATAGAAAACATAAATTATTTGCTAAACTTATTTTGTATTCATTTACAGTGGGAAATTAACTTCACCAAGATGGAAACAATTCAAAGGACTCAAACTTCGTTTAAAAGAGAAGATACGACTAAACAATATGATTTGGAGAGCTTGGCATATGCAGTGTAAGAGTGCACTATTTTAGTACACTGTATTTTGTCCCTTAAATGTCTTAATGCTGTTTACGACATTTTAGTGATATTATTAATATTATTTTGAAACTAATAATGCATGTTTATTGAGTATGAACATTTATATAGTTTGAGTATGAGCATTTATATAGTTATGCAAGTCTTCCTAATTTTTGAATTAAAATGCCCATATTATAGTTATCTGATAAATTTTTTCTAAGTCAGGTAAATTGATTCTATAATAACTGTATGAAATATATATTTCTATACTGGCCTTTCAAACATCTCTCTCTTTTTTTTCATTTTAGAAGAAGTTAACCTTTTTAAATATATTTTGCGTTATTACTGGTGATAAACAACTAATTAATGAAGCATTTAGACTAAATTTTAATTTTTGAATTGTATGTTTTATCTAAATCTATGATTTCGGTAGATTTTATTTGCTACTATTCCTTGTTTTTCGTAAAAGTTCATGAGTTTTTCTGTCTTACTGTTTCATATATCATGTTGCATTTATTTTTTATTTGTTGAAGATTAAAATGAAATGTTTTTAAATTTTTTACTTTACTTTTTATAACTATACTTTTTATTTTCATGACTATTTACTTGCCTCTAAAGTGATTGCTTAAGACAAAATTATTTTCCCTTATGCTAAAATAAATTTAATTTTAATTGGTCTTTATTATTTAAAAGAAAATGGCAGGCCATTTTTCAAATTGAGTTAGTTATCGATAATAATATTCTAATGTTATAATTGTTTTTTTTTTGTATGCTAATGCTAAATGATTCAATATTTATTAATAGTCATAGAAATGATTGTACTAGAGAAAATCTGGATTTCCGGATTTTTCGCTAACCGCGATCCGGAAGTTTTCAGAAATCCAAGGTCTAGAAGTTTCAAGAAATCATTGATCTCTAAACTAAACAAAACTCAGTGGCGCGACAGTCCATAGAGGGCCAAGGCCTACTGTGCCCATCTCAGTTTTCTTGACCTTGAGCTCTGAAGTGCAGGAGCTGATATTCCGGTCAGGTGGTCAGCCGAATGCGGAACCCCCAGTGTTTAGTTCCCAACCATGCTTGGTACTCATTTACCGACCCACTGAAGGGATGAAAGGCTGAGTCAACCTTGTCCGGCCCAAGGATTGAACCCATGACCTGTGGCACGGGAGCCCGAAGTGCTACCTCTCAGCTACCAGGCGTCAATCATTGATCATATATATGTCAAAAAATTCTTGTGTATTTTATTTAGAAATTTTAGAACTAGAATTTATACTTGGCACCTCTTCATTCGTACATATTTTTTCTTTTAGAATAATAAATGTGATTTGACATAAAAGTAAACTTATACGTAATTATTCATTTAAATTATTCTGCATATAATTTATTTAGAATTTCATGTTTTTAAAATATCAATGATTTAAATTTATGAAGACATTAATTTTTTGAAATGCTTCACTAATTATTTTACTCGCGAAATTTTCAAGATTTTTGAGTTGGGCTCTCAATTAACCCCTGGTAGTCGATAAATAATGCATATATGTTTAAATTAAAATAGACGAATCGTTTTTATAACTTTCAAAATAACTTTATAGTAACTACTGGAAACCTGGTGTAGTATCACCTTACTGCATTCTGTTTCTGTAACAGCTAGTTTAGGTGTTTTACTGCTTTTTTTAATTTTTTTTAAAGAAAATTTTTATTTGCTTCATGAACCTAATTTGTTTCTGACCATTATCGGACAAAATTTCATTATATTTGTGAACTTATAGCTCCTGAGAATAAGTTAAAATTTAATTTTTTTTATATAACTTGCTTTTAAGCGTAATTGAACTTTCATTTGTTTGAAAAATATTTTAGAAAAATCAGATAATCTGTGTTACTAAAGAGACTAGTTAGTTTGTGTTCTTTACAAGTTATTGTTACTGATGTAATGAATGTTATCTTTCCTTTTATTATAGTTGTAATGAGGATAAAAACAGACAAATTATGTCAGTTTGCCACACCTTTAGATGGAGATACTCATATGAAGGCAGAGGTATGTTAAAATATTCTTCCCTTCAAAATTCATGGGGCTGCTTCAAATTTTTTATTCTTCATAATTTTTTTGTTCAAAAACAAAATTTACTTATGAAGTTTATACAGAAATACACCTTAAATAATTTTTCTTTCTGATGCATTACATAATACGTTTATAATTTTTTTAGCTAATTACACTGATTTATAAACCATCCACCAGTTCTTCTGGGGATTTATCTTGTAATAAATACTTCTTCTAGGAACCTGAGGCACTCTTTTGACCTTTCCTAAATTTTTCTTTGTTACTTCTTTAATTTTACTCCTTTTTATATCAAACATTTAATCTGTAACATTTAAATTTATTTTATATTGAGTTTCAAATAGATCAGCTGCATTTTTTTTCTTGTGCCAATAAATTCTGTGTTTGTGCATAAAAAGAAACTGAGCTATTTTTTATTTATTTATTTTTTTTTTTGCTTTTTTTTGCTGCAAGATTTTAAATTTTTTTTTTAGTTTGTACTCTCAATTAGCTTTTGAAAAATTAAACTAAAAATAACTTAGTTTAAACATTTGATTCTGTGTCATACTATTATTAATGTTTTAAAATCTTTTATAATTTTTTTTTTTAAGTTCTAAAATGCTTCTAAGAATGTGCATTTTTTACAAGTTACTTCATTTATTTATTTTTTAAAAATTTCAAATCTATGTTCAGCAATTTTGTTAGAAAGTATGCCATAAATTTTTTAATAAGATTTTATATTTGAGTAAAATTATTGTAAAATTTATGTCTTATTTTACGGATAAGTGAGATAAAAATATTAATGATATTACCATCTTACTTAGATTCTTCTCTTTTCAACTTGCTAAATAAAGTAGAATAAAATAAAATTAGATAAAAATGAGGTATTTTGAAGCATTTTAAGAAAAATATGTATGTCTTAAATTATAAATAAATAATTTTTGATTAATTTTTTAAATTTATTCATAACTTGCCATAGTATTAGATAAAATAATCAGGTAAATCTAGATTTTACTATTCTAGTTGTGTTGTTTCCTTGAAAATGTTTATTTTTCAAAATCTTATTTGACTACACATTCTATTTTGCATTAGCATTTATTTGAATATCGTAGTTTAATTGTTTTTTAATTTGAAATTAAATAGAGAGCAAACTTTATTTTAAGGCTGTTGTTATCGAAGGAACTTACTGGAAGAGGAGAATGGCTAGCATTACGGCAGAGTATCAGAAATGGAGACTATTTTACAGGGAAAAATGTAGACTAAAATCAAGTTATGAAGCTGAAAATGTTAGTATTATTAAATATTTAGTAGTTTTATTGAATTAGCTCTAATATTAATATGTATTTATTGCTTGTGTTGGATTTTATATTTATTAGAGGCAGATTAATTGTTATTAATATTTTTGCAAAATTAACTTTTAATAATTTCTTGTTGAATTATAGATGGATTTTGATTTTGAAACAAGATGGCCTTCTTGGACCAAAGACCCATATTCACCTCTACAAAGTGCCATGGACGAAGATTTTCTAATGGATTTTACTGATACCTTATTTACCAGTTTCAATCCAAGCCAACCATTTGATTTTCCTAATCCGAGGGAAATTGGTAAGAGAATTTTTAAAATTTATTTTCAATTAATTAAAATTTATACATTTATTACTTTTTCGTATCTAAACAGATTGCAGTACATTTTGCTTTGTTTAAATTTTGTCATATTTTGTATGTGGTAGAGAACCTCAATCTTTTAAACATAATTAGTAAATACTGATGCAAAAATTATGAGAAATGTATATAATAATTATGAGAAATGTATAATTATAATTTGTGAGGCAAGGGATTAGTGTAAAAAAAAATTCTGATTTTTATTGGGTTAAAATCAGTAAGTTTTTGATGCCATTTTTTTGTAAAGGAGTTTTAAAAGTTTACCCAACAGATCTTTTCGAATATTTTTCTTTAGCTTTAGTGTTAAAAGTAGGGAAAAGTAAATAAGTGATTTATGCCATTTTTATAAAAATTGATGAATTGTTCTTAATTGAGGTATTGAAACTACCTAGTACTACCTTAGCTAGAGAATTCGACCATGCAAATTACTACATATGTTCGTATAAGCTGAGAGCATAATGGCTGTCGTATTCGCCTTTTAGGTTAGGCATTCTATACGTGATATAACAATGCTAAAGGTCACAGTTGATGGAGGGTTTGGATTAATTATAGTTGTGTGTATATTGTATTATAGTGTTGTACAAAATACATTTTGTTTTTGGTGTTTTTTTTATAAATTTTCATCTATAAGACCTTGCAAAATTTTATTTATGTTACCATAGCTTTAAGCACCATGGCGAAAACTATTTGGGTAACAGTTCATGAGCAAGTTGTTTGTTTTGCACTCATTTTTATTATTATTCATTAGTGAAAAATAATGCATTTTTAACTAAAATTTGATAATAACTACTCAAAGGTATTCTCCATATTGACCTGTTAGCTATTAACTGCATAGGTTGTTTCTTAAAACTGCATAGGAATTTCAAATAATTCCTCTATTATGTAACTTCCTGTAATTTGGAAACCTATAATTTTCAAAGCTTTATTCTAATTGATATTAATTGTAAATCTATATTTTGCATTCCTATAATTTGTAAATAATTTCCAGGTTTTTCCACTAATATCTATTAAACATTTAAAAAAAAATTAAAGAAAAGGAAATATTTACATATTTATTAAATTTTACTTAAATATTTATGTTAAAAAATAAAGACACAAATATTTCAAATGAATTATATATATATATATATTTGTCTTTTGCAGCTGCTAGAGCTAGTATTGCTGATTTTATTCAACCAGGACTTGTTCAGTTGCAGCCTCCTGTTGATGATATAATGGATACTCTAGAACCCCTTTCAGGTGTCTATGACTTAATTAAGAAAATCTTTGTTGTTATTTTTGATTTTATTCAGCAATATTGAAAAAAAAATTCTTTGTTAAGAATTTCTTATTCTATAAAAGGCTCATTACCAAAAGAAATTCTTAAAGTTTTTAAATATTTATTTATGATTTTGATCTTGTAACTAAAGAATAACTATATTAGATACTTTCTATTAAATAAAAACAATATTAAAAAGAAACATTAGAAAATGTTTTTTTCAATTTTATTTGAAAGCAAAAAATCTTTTAAACTTTCTGTTACATGTTATAAAGAGTTGTATTTTACAATGTATTTCTATATGTTTTAAAAAAGTTATTTTTTTTATTAGAATGTCAATGTTGGTTATAAAGTTCATAGGTTGTTTTATTTTTAAATTTAAACAAATCTAATTTTTACTGAACATATCAAAGATGTAATAATTTTGAAGGGAAATATATATGCTGTTCATTTATAATGCTTAAATCCCATTTTTACTATTGATGCTCTTCCTTTTTAATAGTTGATCTATAATGTATAAAAATCTTGTTTTCAAGTTGTGATCTTTTTTTGAATTTCATTTTTTTATAAATATAAATAACAACTATTTGAATTACAATGAATCTACAGTGATTTCAGTTTAGTTTATAGATACAAATAGTTCAAAAGTCATTTATGGAATTAAAGATAAAAGTGATTGGAAAATGAAGATACCTAATAATTGCTGATTTTTGAAAACTTATATAGGTCTTTCTCAATATCAGGATTATATTTCTTGTAAAATTTTACCTTCAGTTTTATTTAGCATAAGTGATTATTAAAAAATAGCATAGGTGAAGTACAATGCATAACCAGCTCTTAATTTTTGTGTTTAACTTTTTTGCTTTAATTTAAAAGCTAGTTATTGAAAATTTTTATATTGTGTTATATTGCAGAGTCTTGTTAGTTTAAGTTAATTTGATTCAATAACTGCTGTGATTTCTGTAACTTCAAACTAAGCAATTTATCTCATACTAAAATTAAGATATCTGAAAATATATTAGTCTCTTCACCTCCCCCTACTAAAAATACTTTTGGTAAATAAAAAAAAAATTGTACAGAAATATATTTGAAAATTAATTTATAACATCATATTTATAAGGATTGATGATAATAAAATTTAGTCTTTAAAATGTGTATCTAAACCTTGGTTTAGTCTGGACTCAGTTACTGTTTATTTTATTCATGCTCAATCATTTGTACAATTTGTACCATTGTACTGAATCTGCAGATTAAAATCATAACCACCAATTGAGATTCAGTTGATTTCAGAGGATAACCTTTAATTTTTTCTTAGATTTAATGATTCCCTGTATTTTTACTATCTAAAAGCTATTAGAATCATTTTAATTAACATATAATCCTTCATTAGAGTTAGATATTGCAGTTATTAATGGTATAGATTTTATTTTGTAACTATTTCAATTAACAATTATGTTACAGATCTTTTCACAGATTTTTTAAATGCAAGACTTCCTCCTCTACCAGAAGAGAATACATTCAATGGTGGTAGTTTACAAGACATAGGTTCGTCTACAGTTGAGCAGCAGGTATGTTGTGATATAACAGATTAAATTTAAAGCTTTGGACATTTCATAAATTTTTATTTCTATAATTTGTGCAATCTGAGGTTTCTCGATTCCTTTATGTATATACAGTGAAACCTCCTGTTATGGACACTCCTGCAAAACGGACGCCTCTCAATACGGACATATTTTTAATTCCCCGGGAATCTTCTATGAATAAACCATTGCGTACATTCTCCACAATGCGGACACTCCCGTAACCGGACGCGGACAGTCATTTTGGTCCTGAAACATTGTTTTTTATCTCTACAAACCAGACACTACTTTTTCTAAATAAATTGCCAGCTAAAAAAATGCAACTTTTCACCATTTAATGTAAATAAAACTTTTTGCCTTATCCATAACTAAAAATATTGTTAAGCTATTTCACCACCGAAAAATCAATCTTTCTCCTGTTACCTTGCTTTATCTTTGTAAAGAAAGGAGAGAAAATGGTACTGCACTCCTGAAATAATTCTGACATCGGCATGTTTTGATCTTTTCATCTGGACCACACAGGTTATGAGACCCCTCAAGTTGAAATGACTTCTCTCAATGCTTCTTCCCCATTGAAAATTTCTTTAATTTTCTTATCAATTTGAAGATTGTATTTAACACAACTGGGGTAAAAAGAAGAGAACAGAAGTATAATCTTTGAGGTGTTTATATAAATGAAACATTTATTCAGACACTTGATAGCTGCTCAATTGTGAATAATCATCTCCTTAGGTCGCCTTTCAGGTATGCATTACTTTTTTTTCTGTGAATCATGGGAGGTTTATTTTCCAAGAAGGTATTAACCCTGTTCCCTATCAAATGATAAGTAGGTGTAAGGGGATGTGAACCTAATAATTGAAACTGAGCCTAATGAGAGAGAAAGAGAACAGAAGTATAATCTTTGAGGTGTTTATATAAATGAAACATTTATTCAGACACTTGATAGCTGCTCAATTGTGAATAATCATCTCCTTAGGTCGCCTTTCAGGTATGCATTACTTTTTTTTCTGTGAATCCTGGGAGGTTTATTTTCCAAGAAGGTATTAACACTGTTCCCTATCAAATGATAAGTAGGTGTAAGGGGATGTGAACCTAATGATTGAAACTGAGCCTAATGACTGAGGACAGTACGCTCCTATTTAGTATCATATGTCTAACTTGAGTATCTATGCTAATAGGAAAATTATATTTATTTATCTGTAGCTACATCCAGAATTATGTATTTAATATCAAACTTCTTTATATATTCTTTTTTATCTTTCTTATTGTTTAAATAAATATTCTTGTAGATATTTACAGTATCCTTGTAGATATTATTTAATTATTTCTACATCTTTAGACTATTCTAAAACAATTTACGGTGTTAAATTTCGTTATTAGGGTACCCTTCTCGTAAACGGACAACTCTCATAAACGGACAAATTTTTTGGTCCCATGAATGTCCGCTTAACGGAGGTTTCACTGTATATATATTTACATAGGTCTGTCAATCAATGTACGTTTTATCTTAATTTCTTAATTTTTTTTTTAATTTAGCGTAACAAGTATCAGTTCAATGTTTCAATGTTCAATATGGCTAATGTTTATTAAAAAAAAAAAAAAAAATGAAATCTTTTTATAATGAGGGTTATTTCTCATTTCTGCATCTGATTTTTAGATGGAGGAATTAAAAAGACAGCCACAGAGTAGTTTTGTTATAGACAATATTATGTAATTGTCAATATTATGTAATGTAATTGTTTGTAGGTGTGAATTATCAAAATACAAAGTTCTCATTTGTTATTTTAGAAGATTTCTATAGTTGCATTGAATAAATGTAAAAAAAAAAAAAAAGCTACTATACTTGTCAACGTTAACACACATAAGCACAAAAATATTGCCTATTTATATCCTAAAAAATTTCCCTCATGGTTCAATAATGGGGCAAATAAATTTATCATGGCCTGAGAAAATCAGGACTGATTGTGCTACGGAAAAAATCTGGATTTCCGCATCTTTCGCTAACCGTGATCCGGAACTTTCCGGAGATCAAAGGTCCAGACGTTTAAAAAAATCATTGATCACAGAAGTTTCCGGAAATCAAACTTTCAATGGTGGAAAACACAGTTTATTTTATTTGTTTGTAAGGGAGAGTCAGAGAGATACTTTATATGCTTATATTCATGATTATTTATCAGATAATTTTTTATCAGTAAATATTTATTATAATCATAAACTCAAGAAAAAAAGACATACTTGTAAATTTTAATTACTTCTCCAGGCCATCATAGGTATGTGTAAATGGTATAGGTAATATATTTTAAGTAAACTAAGAAATATTGAGAAAAAGGAAAAAAACCTTGTTCAGTTTATTTTCAAATTTTTCAATTTAATCTCTTTTTAAATTTTTTATTTAACTCAAGAAATTTTCCAGAATTTTGACTTGGGCTCACAATCACACCTGGAAAATATTGCAGACATATTTGTATAAATAAATAAATAAAGCTCTCCTAATTATTTTCATTCATTATTGACTTATTTTTTCAAAGTTAAAATTTGTATAGTGCAGTAATTTTTAGCGAAAAGAGAAAAAAGTTATACTTATTGATTATTATAGTTTCTTCTTAATTTAAAAAAGTTACTATAAATTAGATAACATTTAAATAATCTCAATTATAGTCATTTTGAAAACTATTTCATGTATAAAAACAAATATCTTAGTTTTGCTTGAATAGACAGCTTGCTTGGAACTAAGAAAAGATATGACGGCAGAATTTAATATTTTTTGCATTTCCAAGTATTTTTCTTCTAAATTTTATTCTTTCTAATTTAACCCTTTATGTTATTCTTGCTGGAAGCATGTTGTGAATATCCTATAATATTTTAAGTTAAATTTAATATACAAGAAAGATAGAAAGAAAGAAGAAACTCCTATAAACAGCTATCAAATAATTTAATATTTATTGTTAATAGTTATTTTAATATTAATTAGGTAAGCTCAATAATTTTAAACTTTATTTAAAATATTTTTGTAATAATTATTTTTATTTACAACTACTGAATTAAAAAAAAAGCTCTTTAGGGCAACATTACATACTGTAGCTGTTATAATACTACTGAATTAACTTAATGCGGCATTTGAAAGATTTCCTAAAGTGAACTATTATTTATGTTTATTTATATTAATGCAATTTTACTTATGAGTTTATTCAACCTTTGTAAATTTTTTTATAAACTGTAAATTTATTATAAGCATTTTATAAAATTTATTACAAAAGTAGTTTTGTAATTCATTTTTGGTTCAATTATAAATTCATCTCATTTTGAACTATTTTTCTTTGATAGGATTATTATGGTAAATCACCATTTTTTCAAAAAGGCTACAATGTTTTCAACTCCTACAGTTCTCAGTTTTCGCCAAATTTATCTTCAAAACGCAGTTGTACATTCAAGAAACCAGCAGTGCCATCAGCCATTAAGCAGTCTCCCCAGTCTTATATAGCACCATCTTCGTTCTCAGCAAAAAGATTGGTTGAAAACATCACTCCTAGCAATGAAAGCAATGCAATATTATCAAATAATGTGCCTTTAATATCTTCTACTCAACCGCCAACTCAATCGGACTCTATGCAAAATTTTCTCTGCAATACAGTGCCGAATCAACCCTCTCAAAACTCTAGTATGGAGTCATTGTTACAAAGTGGTTTAGGAACTGATGTTACAACTTTGCAATCCCCTCAGCCCCCTGACAGTTTACAAGCATTGCAAGTGCCATCTTCTGATCATATAGTTAATAAGAGAGAACAACGTATGAATCAGTTCTTCCAGCAGCCTTCTTTTATTTCGAAATCTTTAGATGAAACTGATTTATCCCGGCAACATTTGCCACAACCCTCTTCCACGATGCAAGTGCCTTTAGAAACTATTCCTCAAGGTCATGTGGTTAATAACTTAGTTTCAAACTCCAATTCCAATGGCACAAATAATGGAAAAGCTCCATTTTATTATTCAGTTGTTAACCAAATGAACCAGACTCCTGTAGCAAATAATTTTAAGAATCAGAATCAGGTTACTATTGCAAGCAATACTTATCAGACTCTACAGCCTGTTTCTGTAGCAACTATTGTGAAACAGACGCAAGCTGATGTAACTTTTACGGAAAATTCAGCATATAGGAGACATTCTTACTCAACTGTACCCCAGCATGCACAAAGTTCTGGAGATTATATGGGTACCAGGCGGAGCCGACCTATTGCACCTGCAATTACCAATGCAAGCTTTGCTGTTCCTGAGGTTCCTGTAAGAGTTTTTTTATAATATTTTTTTAAAATGTTGCTGCATATTTACTGCTCATATTTAAATGCAATGCAGTTTAACCTAGAAAATCCAGATTCTAAGATTTCAATTTCTAAATTCTATTTACCTTACTTTAACTGATTGAGCTGAAGTGTCAAAGTTGCAGATCTAATAAAAAAGAGTATTTGATTTCATCTTAATTGATTTTGTATAGTTATCATGAAATATCTGCGGAGTAGTTATGCTTCAAAATTTCTTTTTGAAGCAGTTGAAAATTTCTTTTTGAAGAGTAGCAGATAGTTTGAAAAAATTCTGCCATAGGGGCTTGGAGAAACAGATTTCAAATTTGAAACTCTACGGAAGTATCTTAAGTTCTATTAAAAAACATGCAACAGAAAAAAAATTGCCCATACTTTAATTTTTTCTTAATTTCTGATTATAAATGTTTGTTATAGTCAAACAGACGAGCAAGATCTCGCAGTGTATCCTCTCCACAGTCTGGAAGTCCCAAATCCTTTTTACAGCAACCAGCACAAGCAGTTTCATTGACTGATATTAGTTCTCCTTTACAAACAGTTATTACTGCTGATTCAGGAAAAAGGCCAATAATTCAGAGCTCATTGGGACAAGGTGTAAATATTTCAAATTCTAATGTGCTGCAACAAAATCTTCTTGCTCATCTTTTATCTTCAGGTAAGTTAATGGAAATTTCTTTTGGATTTTTAGCATATTAATTTTTAGGATTGATTAATAAACTTTGTTTTAATCTTTTTTCTGATTAATTGGAATAAATAAAAATAATTAAATGTAAAGGCTTATTGAATTTCTGTTTTTTATTGAAAATAATTTAATTTTCATAATTTTATAATCAAATAATGTAATCGTAAATAAGATTCTTAAATTTTTTTTTGGGTGTCTTATAAAATTTTCTATTTTAATAATGTTATTGCTAATTGTTTACAATTTGCAACAAACAAGTTAAACAAAGAAAAAAAAAACAGTTTGAACCATGGGGTAAAGGAATCAAACCTGAATAAGGTAATCAAGTAAAAGAAAGAAAACTGGTGTGTGTGCAGTAGAGAAGAGTTCTCGGTGTGCAAGATTTAGAAATTAAAATAGAAGTTTAAAATTAAGAAAGTAAAGGATACTTGAAAGAATATTCATTAAAACATTAGAATTTTTCACAATTTGAGGTGATTCTCAGATCTTTTGCTGAAGAGCTGTGTTGGAAGACTTTAACTGAAGAAAACTCAAACTTATCAGAATTTCAGCCAAGTAGGATGGAAAATAATTTTTTTAACATCATTATTTTGAACATATCTTTTTTCTTTCAGTTGAGTACTTTTAGTTTGTTCAATTTATGCAAGATTACAAAAACAAGAAATTTGATTAATAACCCACCCATTAATATCAGTATCAGCATTACAATCTTCAAAGTTGGTAAATGTTAGTTTGCTTACAACTTTTAAGTCTAATTTATTAAAGTCAAGCAAATTTATTCAATTTGAGAATAATAGAATTCTGTGATAATAAAGTAAAACAATCAAGTTAATAAAGTATGAGTTGGTTACATAATTAATTTCCTATAGATACAATTAATAAATAGGGAAAATTACTATTTAAGTTTGAAATGTGGAAATGTTTTTTTTTGAAAGGGGACCATCTTGCTAATGTTAAAATAAGCACGATATGTGCATCAGAAGCCCATTCAAAGAATTTATGATGTGAATCTGTGGAACTATTTCCATAAATTTAAATTTGTCTGCTACCTAAATGAAGTCAGATGGAGATTAATATTGTAAAAATACAGCTTAATCTATCATACACGTAGCAGAATTTGCATGCATGTATAAGGTCCTTAAAATATATGTATAAAAACCAGGGTTTGAAAAAACCCGGGGCTTTTTGAAAAAACCATACCCGCCTGGGTTTTATTGAAAAAACCCGGGGAAAATTGGGTTTTTTCATTTAGTGCTCATAAATTTTACTGTGAAAATATTTTTATTTATTAAATAGTGTTGTATAAATAAACACTAAAATTTCATCTGACTTTTACCTGTAATAAAATTAAACTGGAATAAATATTTAATGGTCTTCCATGTTTTTATAATTCTGCTAATTGGTCTTGTTCATCATTTAAAAATTGTCCCTTTGTTTCGGGATCCAGGATGCATATGCTAATAAATGATGTGGATGTACAGCCTGATTGAATCTTTTTACAAAATGTTTATGGGGTTCTAATTCATCACACGACGTTAGTTAATTCATAAGTTAATTCATATTTCAACAGCTTTTGAAAGTTAAATGTTTTTTTGATTGAAGCTTTTTTAAAGCTTCAGAAACAAATGATATCTGTTTTTCCCAATTGATAGTTTATTGGTAAAGCCCAACATTATTTAATATTTTTGACATATTATTATTAGATTCATTTTGATGTTCAAGAACAATCTCTTCATATTTATGGTAATTATTGGCAAAAGTTTTTACGTGCTCACAATATGAATTCCACCTAGTATCATTTGGTCATCAAGCAGTTTTTTTTCATTTGCCCATCCATGTGCTTGATGCANACTTAATGACATGCAAAATTTGTTCTTTCACGTTTGGATAACTTATATCCCCAGCCAGTAAGTTCAAAATATGAGCAGCACATCCGTAAGTAATAACTCTGAATTCTTCATCCTCAACTTCACACTCATCAATCATTTTTCTCATTTTTTCAACATTGCCTGTATTATCCGTCACTAATGAACATACTGAACACTTAAATTCTGACTGGCACTTTTTAATCAATTTAACAGCAATGTCATAAAGATTTTCACCTGTATGAGCAATGCCAGAGGTGTCAATAGTATCGGCTAAATATGTGTTTCCATCTTTTGTTGTTAAAGTAACACAAATCACCGGTTCATTGTGAATGTTTGACCATCCATCTAATCCTAATGTGACAATTTCACCTTTTAATATTTCTGCACATTTTTCTTTTTCTTTTATGTATGTCTTCTCTAATAAGCCACAAGCAATTTCTTTTCTTGATGGAGGAAAATATTCTGGCCGAAAATTCTGAACCATTTTAATGAACTCTGGATGTTCCACAGTGTGAAATGCTGCATTTGTAGCGTAAATGAACCTGGCAATTTGTTCATCAAACTTTTGTTTTTGAGCTGGTGTTGATTTGCTAAAAAAATTGTCCAGAATTTTATCTTCTCTTTTCCTTTTTTGAGACCTGATTTCACTTGTAGTTGGTTGTATGGTACCTACTATAAAATTATATGAAGATTCGAGTTTTTTTTACTTTACTAATATTAAAAATTTAACCATATAAATCATGCAACTCTATTTGACAAATTTATGCTCACAATAAATTATATAAAAGTAAATGCGAAACAATAAGTTTTAGTGAAAAAAAATTTTTTTTTTTGAAAAAACCTACTTATCGTTCCAAGTGGGTTTTTTCAAGGTGGGCCCACCCAATAAAACCCGGGCGGGTTTTTTCAAAGTGGGCCCACTTGGCGAACCCTGATAAAAACTTTATATTGCATAAATTTAAGTCTGCTTTTATGTAACAATAATAAATCCATAAACAGTTAAGTCTGTTATCGAGTAACGGAAAAAAAATCTTTTATTTTAGTTCTTGTGGTATTTTCTCAGTTCAGCCTTATAACTTTTATTAGAAACAAGTTGAGAGATATTTCAAAAAGTAGTCTCAGCAATTTTCCCCCATCTGTTTGTTTGCTTTTTAAAAATAAAAGTAAAATTTAGGAGAAAAATAATCTTCCAATGCTGTAATAATCTGCAGCACCTGCTGCCATGCTGGAGGGTTTCTGCTACCAGAGTTTGGAATAAAAGTTATAATGAAATTTGTAATTTTATTTTTATTTTTAGTCAAGCAATTATTTTTCTTAAAAACTGTTTTTCATATTTTCTCCCTTCTAGGTTGTACTCAACAAGATCTTGGACAAACTTTGCTCAAAGTCGCTAGTGCGCCCACTACAAATGCTACTTCTTCTGTTACAATTATTAGACCCATTCTGACTACCACTGCTCCTCAAACATTGGTTTTCTCCCCTCTTCCAATGTCTACAATAAGTGTATGTTCATTATTTTTCAACTTGTTTTACTTTTGCACTTGTTGACGATGAATTTTTTTCAATGAAGGCAGATTTATAAAATATGTTTTAAGATTTTGATTTTTCTTTTCATAAACACGATTCAAAATGATTTAGACTATTGAGTTATCTGAAATAGTTATAACATATAAATTCTGGATAAAGTGTTGGCAAAATTAAAGTTTCTGCCCCTTTAAATAAATGTGATTGTTATTTCAATCTACTGGTAAAAATTTTCCACAAAAATTTTAATATTCAATAGATATGTGATGAGGATATTAAATTTTTTTATTAACAAAATTTCAAATTGTTGTTCTAAATTTGTGTATTAGCTTTGAAGTAAGTTCTTATTTGGAATATTATTATTATAATTCTTATAATTAATACAAACTTTTTATTTTGTTATAAGTATAGGCACATATTAGTTTTTTGTCTTAAAATTCTCATGCAAAAAATCTTCCATATTTTAGCAGCTATAATATTTTTAAGATTTTATTATTTCTATTTTTCGATTATTTGTAGTTACTATTTTCATGCAAACAGCAAATACTTTGTTGCAATTGGTAATTTTAAAAAAAAAAGTATTTCATATAATAGTCTTGGTTGGTATAAAATAAATAAATAATTTGATGAATTAAAATAAATTATGTTTATGAATAGCTAATTTATACTTGATAAATTGCCATTCTGTTTCCATTATTGATAGGAGTGTTAATATATTGAATAAAAAACTCTCAATTGGAAGCATGTCATGCATTTACTGTTCGCCAAGTGTTTTTAAAGCCAATTTTTACAATTAAGGTTTTTCTTTTCTTTTTTTTATTTTTGAATAGGATACTTAAAACTTAATAGTAAACTCATCTGTATTTTTTTTTAAATTTGTTATTTCATGTTTCAGTGATCTAATTGTAGTTTTTTTCCACAGTCTTCCAATGTAACTGATCTACAAAGAAATATTCTAGTTGGAGGTACTAATCAAATTCTTTGTAAACAAGATTCACCACCTACCTGTGTTCTTTCTACTCCTGATAGTCCAGGTAAATGTTTTTGTCATAAATTAATGAAATAGTTGATAATTTAGTTTTAGATTATCATTTTTAATTTATTATATGTAGGGTCTTCAACATGCAGCTCATCACCAGCTATATCTACTATGTATGATACTAATGTAAGTTTTTAACTAGCTATTAATGCAAGTTTAATGTATGGTTTCACTGCATTTTAGTTACATATTTCCTATATAGTTTTCAATGCCTTTTTATAGAACTGTGAAATGCTAATCTTCATTTACTACTACTATTTTATAAATTTTTTTTTGCAATGGAGCTCTTTGCAAATGCTATTCAGCACTTTTATATTACATATATATATGTATAGTACTTCAGTAATATATGTCTGTAATGTAAAAGAGAGTTAATTTGTTTTGTAGATTGTATATGCTAAATGTAGCTATTATTCATGCTAGTATGTTGTTTAACTCTTTTTATATACTTATAATTATCACTACATCAAATCGAATCCTTGAACTACGTCATTCTTAGATATTCTTCTCCATTAATTGAATTATATTCTAGAAATGTTACTCTTTTTTTTTTTTTTAATATTATTTTTCTGTTTAGATTTTAAAAATATTTTTCAATACTAAAATGCTGTTATAAATTTTAAAGAATAGGAATATTTGTGGGTGGTGAGAGTGCTAGTACTGTTACTTTTCCTTTCTGATTAAGTAAAATCTCTGCAATGCCTTAAATGTTTAAAATCTATGGTTTTGTAGTGCATTAATTTTTCTTGAAATGCTAAGATGTATCTGTATTAAAATATTTATGTAAAGTATTACGACATTATTTTTTAATCAAAAAACTAATTGGATTGTAAAAGAGTGCTATGGCTTTTTTTAATTTAAAGCAAACAGCTAACTATGAAGAATGATATTTTTTAATTCTTAATTATGTTATAAATAAATTTAAAGTGATTTTTTTTTATGTCTTAGTCTTCAACGAAATCTGTTAGAGTAAAATCTCCTGAGGAGAAAAATCAATATAAAGAACATCGCCGAGTATGCCATATAAATGCAGAGCAAAAGAGGCGTTGCAATATCAAGGTAAGTTAAATTAAGCAATTTGCTACTATCAATATCAAATTAGTTTTAAACATAATTTTAACCAAATTTTACTTTTAGTTTGTAATTGATTCACTTACCCAAAATAGACATTTTCTGTGATGCCTTTGGATTTTTGTTAAAACTACTGAATTATGAAAAGTTTTTCAACATTTAAAGAACAATTTCCTGATTTTTTTTCTTCTGAAGCTCATGTTTTTTGTTGACTAGTAAATCTTCTTAAACTTGCTAATGAGCTCCTTTGAAATTTAGAAACAAATTTTATAGGCGCTTATCACTGTAAGCTGTGAGGAGATCAGAAGCAGTTTTGGGGGAGAGAGATAGAGAATAAAATTTTTAGAGTGAGACATTAAAATTTTCAGACAATTAAATGACAATATTAAAAATTTATATAAATTAGAATTTTTTAAAAAATGTTCTATTTATGAAATAAGAGTTTAATAATGAAATTCATTGTTAGTAGTTAATATTGTGTTTGAATGGTATTCTTTGTAAATATTAGCTGTGTTTTTTAGAAAGATTCTGTCTTATTAGGTTTAGTGAAATAGATATTAAAGATTTGTTTCAATATATCATTCTTTCCTAGCGAAGAAAAATTATGTTTTAATTAATATTGCATTTTAATGCATATTGTATTTCATGAAAATATCTAAGAAAATGATGATTTAAACTATTATCTAATTTTGATTATATTTTTATTAAACAGAATGGCTTTGAATCTCTGCACAATCTTCTTCCAGCCCTTGGCCAAACTCCAAACTCTAAAGTTAGCAAAGCAGCTATGTTACAAAGAGGTAATATTATATAACATGTTATAATTTCTCTATAGTTTATTTAAATGAGGTGATAATATTAGTACTTGTAACTAGTCCTGAGCCTTTCTGCTATAGTTTAAATTTCATTTGTATGTAAGCTATGAAAGATTTTATTAATCTTTTTAAAATTTAAGATTACAGTAAAGCAACTTATATAAAAGAACATAACATTCATATGTTTAAAATGAAACATTAATCTTGCAGAGAGTTCTCAGGAAAGGACGGCACATTCAGGGGCATAAATAACACTTAAACTGTAGCTCTTTTATTTTCCTTGGAAAAGCTTTGTAAAAAAAATTAATGTTGAAATGAAATTAATGATTATAAAAATCTGAATATTTTTTCACCACAGTGTTTTTGTTTTGTATTATAATTTTAAATTTTTATGGTAAGTCTAAGAAAAGGCACACTTTTAAATCTTGTAGAGGGGTGCACCTAAGTCTATGTACACTACTGGGTGCATTGATCCACCATTTGGTAATATCAAAGGGACCCACCAATTCTATCACAATTCATAATTTTGCATTATTAATTTTTTTTGCAGTAATTTATTAATATATTTTGCAGGTAAATTATTGCCATTTATGTAAGAAATGGTTTATATTTAGAGAATAAAGTGCTTTTTTGGTTGTCTATTATGAAATAATAAAAATTGCTGGTAAAAATTTATGATATATCTTCTTTAAAAAGAGTGTATTTGCAATGTTGTTAGGATAGATTCAAAAAGTGTTTAATTTGCTCCTCACATCCTTTTATGTTTCTCTCAATTATGTGAATGTATCCTTTCTTCATGAAATGATGAACTCAAATTAATCTTCATTGTATTTTTGTAATTCACAATTTGTTGGGGATACAAGATATTGATATTATCAGCATTGTTGTGTGCTGTTGTATGTTTAAATATTCAATTTTCTAAGGAACTACTATAAAACAAAAGTATTCCACAAATGGAAAAAACTGTTGCTCTGTTCTTATTAAATGTTGGCAACCTAGAATTACATTAACAAAGTTTATCAGATAAATTAAATTATTTATAGTTAAGATAAAATTCACTAAATATTTATTATCTATAAAAATTATTCTTAAAATTTATCTATTGTTCAGATTAATATAGCAGGCACGTGATTTTTCCTCTAATTGGCGGAATTCTCATAATCTCAATACTGTTCAGCGGATTCCTGCTACTCAATATTTTATATTCAGGCAAAATTTTCTCGGAGTTCTGCTAATCTAAAATTTAAAATGCGTTACACAAAATCTTGTTTATGAGACAATTATTCTTCCTAATAAATTCTAAGACTTTTGGTTTTTACACAGAATTGCTATAGAAAAAAGCAACTTCGAGAACACAAGACTAAAAAAAATAAATTCTCTAATAACTTTGGCTAGACTGAGACAGGAACTACTGAGGCAAACACAAAAGTATTAAATTGACAATCTAAAAATTAATTCCGAAATGAAAACATTTCAAATATCGTTCGCAAAATGAACAGTGTTTCTCTCTAGTTTTTATTTCTTTTTAAAAATGTAGTTTAATGAGTAGCAACTTTTTTGAAAATTTCTATTTGTAACAGAAGAATCATTTAAACAATGTGATATATTTGAATTAAGTTTTAATGTGATATTACGACATGGAAATTTTAAAATGCAAATATCAGTAATTACTTTTCAACGCTCTTGATACCATCTTAAATTCGTGTTTTGATCATTTTTTTCTTTTGCATTTAATGCAATTGATTTTCTCATGTTTTTTAAAATTCTAATATTATTTTGAAAAAATTGAATTTAAAGTTTGAGTAACACTTTTTGATTATCTCGATTTGGGTTGATACCACCATAAATCCTTGTGGTTTTTCGATAATTTTATCAGCTATTGTTGCTACAAATTTTCTCAGTGTTTTACTTTTTTAAACTCTCTATATTTTTTATACATTATTATTACGACTTACAAAATTCAATTCCTGCAATTATTAGACACGTTTTGATGCGATGATACCACTTTATTTTGATCGACTTTTTTACAGTTGTGGCTGTTGGTATCCACCCATATTTTCATGTGATATTAAGAAATAAGAAATTGGATTCACACATTTGAGTAATTACTTTTTGACATGCTTGATTTGCGCTATGTCTACATAGCACTTTCGATCTTTTTTTTTTTGTTGCAATTTTTGCTGTTTATTTTTGCATTTTTTCAAATCTTGATATTGTCGATCAATCTCGAAATTATTGATACGGGAAATTTACATTGTGCTCCTAAAAAATCACTATTTAACACAATAAATCTCCAAGTTTTTGGTGGTTACCACTTATGATTTTCACAGATTTCTTATCTCAATATTTTTAGTACAATATTATTTATTACAACACATGAATATCAAAATGAGCAATTAATTAGCACCTTTTTGACGAGTCCGATTCATGTGATTTCGTTGTGAATACGCATGGTTTTCACATCAATCTTCTTTCAGTTATAGCTTTAAATTTCACGTTTTTTAAAATTTTGTTGTTGTTTTTTTTTTTTGTTGATGTGATGAAGGAAGTGCGAAAAAGGAGGAATAAGTACTTTTTTTTCAATATAGTTATATTCTTTTATATTTTGATGAGAAAAAAATGTATGAATAATTACCAAGAAATATACAATACGAAAATAAATTTTAGATAATTTCTTGTTCCAGCAATCACATATCTGATGTAGTTTTGATGCATAGCTTAATCTTTCTATAAATATTAATTCTATTAATAGTATAGCGTATAATTCTATAAATAGAAAAATTTTAGTATGCCTCTTTTAATTTTCATCCAATATTTGTTGAATTCATCCAATATTTGTTGCTTTTCATCCAATATTGAATAAATAATTAGGCAGCATGAAATGTTTGTGATTCTAAACTTTGCTGCAATATTCTGTAGGTTCTGTGAAATTTTTAACTTAATTCATAAGTTTATTTTTTAGCATTTGAGTCCAGCTGTTTTTATTTTCCTAATGTTTTCAAAATAATAATAATATTCTCCTAAACATCTCCATAGGTTTGTTTACTGGGCAGTCTGACTCTAATTGATATATCTGGGTTTAGTGTGTGTCATGGTATTTTTGTAATGAATTTTTTTTTATATGAAGTATTTTGTAAAGTATTGATAAGTCTCCCAAATCTGTTTGCTTGTATACTTTAGAAATACTCAGGTTATAGGACTTTTGAAGTATATGTGGTCTCTAATATTTCTAACTTAGAATCAAGTTTTGAAGTAATTTTTTGACAATATTATTTAAGGGGCTGAATATATTCGCACATTAAAAGTGGAAAGACAGCAACAAATTGAAGAAGTTGAACAATTGAAAAAAAGAATTGAAGAGTTGAATCAAGCTATTAAGTATGAAAATTCATTTTCTTAATGTGTTTTATCATATTTATTGATTTTTGTTAAGTTGTTATTGTGGTTATCAAAATTGGAACAATTTTCAATAATGCAGAATTTGTTTGGATTTAAGATTCTGAAAAACTTTCTTCAAACATTTTGGTGCATTTTAGCTAAAATTGTCCTACAGCTTAAAAGTTTTTTAGTTTTTTCAAATAAAAAAGAAGGTCAAAGTTAACTGAAATCAATTAAATTTGGATTTTAATTCAAATGATTAAAAATGGTTTTTAACTTTTCTTTTGTAGATTGTATATAAGCATTAGGACTTTCCAATTGTTTATAAAAAGGTGACAAATGTAATTCAAAATGTGTTAATGTTAATATAATATTATAGCAGCTTTTTGAGGTTACGATTTTACCCTGTAAAAAAGGTTATTTGAAGTTTTTCCATAGTTAGATCTTCTGATAAGTACTATTTACATACATATTCCTTTTCACTCCAAATTGGAGCATAGGGCTTCTATCATAGCTTTCCGTCTCACTCTATTTGTGGCCAGATGTTTGCCTCTCTCCATGTCTTTTTATTGTTTTCAATGCGTTTACAATCGTCCTTTTCCAATTATTTTTAGATATTCCTTTTTTTCTATTGCCTAGAGGGTTTCAATCAAAAACTTTAAATTATTTAGGTTTACATAGAGCATTACCAATCTATTACCATTTAAGTTTTTTAATTTCCAGAGCAATCAGTTTTTTTTTTTTAATAATTTGTTAAAATTTTTTTATTAAGGATTTCTGCATTGCAAATTTTATGGAACCACTTGATACACCAGATTCTTGTTAAACAGTTTTTAATAAATTTTTCATGTTATTTTTATTGCAGTACCATGTCTCAGATCCATATAGTAGGACAGATTTAACATTAGTATTGAAAATTCTAATTTTTATTGAATTTGTTGTTTTTGTTTTACCAGAATTTATTGAGAATAGCGTAACTGCCTCGGGCTTTGTTTATTCTATTTAGTATATCTTCATCAGTTCCTCCTTTGTTGTTAATTATACTTCTAAGAATATGTCATTTAATTTTTTAGGATTAATTTTCAAAATTTTAGTTTAATTTTGCTTGATAATAAGCCCCAATTTCTTTGCTTCTACGTTTAAAATGTTTGTTTGCATGTCTCGAGAGGTGTTGGTCAGTAAAAGTAAGTCTGCAAAATCAAGATCAGAAAGATATTTAACAAGAATAAGTTCCATCCTAAACCCCTTTTATTCTCTGATACTTTCTTTATTATCCAGTCAATAGCAATTAAAAAGATTGATTGAGAAAGTAAACAATCCTATCTAACACTGGAGTCAACCTTGAAGGAATCTGATTGTTGGCCGGCACGGATAGTCGTATATTGTAGTTTTTATATATATTTCTGATTATGTTTGCAAAACATTCCATGTTGCTTGTTTCTCTGTTGAAAGCCTTTTCAAAATCTATGAAATTTGAATATATTGTTGATTGCCATTCAATACATTCTTTGACTATAATCCTTAATGTTGCAATGTGACACATGATCTATTAGCTCTGAAACCTGCTTGCTCTAGTCGCAGATTTCTGTCAATTGCATTTTTCATTCTTTTCAGCCCTATTCTAATGAAAATTTTGCTACATACATTTAGCTAAGTGATTTCTCTCTAGTTGACACATGTTGTCAAGTCACCTTATTTTGGTAGTTTTATCAGCTGACCGTCACTCCAGTCATTAGGCCACTCTTCCCTCTTCATGATTTTATTTAACAGGTCAGTTAAATGTATGTAGCAAAATTATATTAAAGCTTTGATTGCAGTTTTTTAACTTTACTTGAAAAGTTCACCAGGTAGGTTATTGCTGCCAGCAACTTTCCCACACTTAAGCAATTTTATTGCTTGCTGCTAGCTGGGAAAGTTCTATTTAGATTGCGTCACATGAATGAATGCACATCGCATTTGTAATTTTTAAAAATTTTATTGGAGTCACTTAAAAGCTTTAAAATTTGTATTATGCAATATTTTTTAAACTTTAAAATTTTATTCAAGTAGATAACTTTTATTACTAAAATAGCTACTTTAAACAAAATATTGTACTATCTTGCTATACTTATAGTAGATATTGCATAATGTTAAATAGAGTTTTTAGTTATTGATGCTAAAGTTTTATTTTATTTAATTTTTTCTTTTCTTATTTTATTTAATTCCATTTTTCATTTATTCTATTAAATTTATTAAGTTAAGTTTATTTTATATTAAAGCAAATTTTGGTTTTTACAGTTTATATCAAAGTCAATTACCTGCTTCTGGTGCTCCAGTTCCTTGTCAGAGAACAAACAGAATGAAGGAAATGTTTGATGAATATGTTCGTCAGCAAACTCTTCAAAATCCTAAATTTTATATTGTATCCTTTTGAGAATTCAATTATTAAATCAAAGTGTCACTTTTTGATATGTTTTACAGTTGTTAACTCTAAATTAATTTAATAGGAAATTTCCGCAAGCACTTTTCTTGCCCTACTGTAGTCAAACCCTGCTTTAATGAACTGGGCTATAGTGAACATTTGATTGTAGTGGTGTAGCAACCGCATAACTAAGCTACAACAGCGCCACCATGTACAAGGCAGTGGATGCTCAGACATCGAACTGAATGGACCTTCCTTTTATTTCTCTTTTCTTAATTAATTAAATTTATGTTTGTTTGTCCGTGTGCTATTTGTGTACTAATAAAATATTTGGCACTAAGCTTTTTCCCTAATTTTAAACCCCCCGAGATCTAGCAAGGGCCACAGTGGTTTTTTCTGAACTTTACATTTAACTAATGTTATTTTATACGCTTATTGTGGACAGTTGAAAAACTGGTAGTTAGTTTATAGTGGACTTTAATTTCATTTCTTTAGCTTTAATTTAATTTCTTCGGTTTAATAAATGATGCTTTAAAATTGAATTGAATTTCTTCTAAGGAATGAAGAAGTCAATTATTTTTCTTTTTAACATTTGATTAATTATCTAGTGGTCCAGCTAATAATTTATAAAAAAAAAAATTGTATACTATCATAATCACTATTTCAAAAATTTTTTTTTCTTCAAATATTCTGTTTATAGTGGATTTATTGCTGGGTCTGCACAGAGTACACTATAATGGGGTTCAATTGTAGTTTAACTTTTATTTTCCTGATTTTTGTATATTTTAGAAAAACAATGCTTATACTTAGATACAAGTTTATTTTTATTTTTTTCAAATATTTTTTTAAAAACTGCATATTTATTCTGATACATAACAATATCAAGAAGTAGTCATTCAAATGAATTCTAGAATGAGAAGCAGCATTTAATTTTTACCATAAAAATCGAAACAATGGAGGACGGAAGCTCTACTTCCATTTCACATTTATCTGAAAGCATTACTTTAAATTAAAAGTGCCATAAAGTGTGTAATTTCATTTTTAGGTTGATGGATCGATGACATTTATTACTGAAACAAATTTCACACATCCCTGACAGAATTGCCATGCTTCTACTGGAACATGCATATAAAATTCATATTTAATTTTTAAAATTTTTTGTTTAAAAAAAAGTAATTATATGTTAAAAATTAATAGTTATAAATAAAAACTGGTACATGCATGTTGCAAGATAAAAACCAAATGTATATAAAATTCATTTTTAATTTTTAAATTTTTTTTTTAAAAATGTAATTTTATATTAAAAATTATTGGCTACAAATAAAAATGGAATTTTTAGAGCAATTTTAGTATTTTTATAAAGCAGGGATGTACAACAGATGCATGCAGAGGGGAAGCAGCAAAAGGAGCAACAGCTCCAGTCATCCAGCAAAAATTGGCATCCAAACGACAGCTAAGCACACTAAAATTTTAAATTGAAAATCTATTGCTATTTATTTTTTTGAAATTAAATTTTTTCATAGATAATTATTTGGCTTGAGCAAAATATTCTATGGAGAATAAAATATAGTTTGCAAACAAATTTTTTAGAAGTTCTTAAAATTTTTTAAAAATAAATGTTGTATAAAAATATTTTGTGTAAATTATTATTATTTTTTAACCATCAAATAATTTCTTTTTACATCTAAATATAATATTGATTCAAAATATAGATTTACATTTTGGTTAGCACTTATATTACTTCCAATGTAATTTTTAAAAAAAATTAAAATTTTTTTTCTCCTGATTATATTCCTTTTTTAAGGGGCATATAATCTAGGAGTTTGCCCCGGGGGGCATTCACACATTTCTGCTCAAAGCTGCTCAGACTGTAAATAATGTTCATTATCAGCTGGAAATTAATACTTACCGTATAAAGGTTGCTAATTATTTTGAAAATATGCAATGTGAAGAAAAAACGAAAACTATTTTATATAAAAATTTATTAATAATATAGTATTAATAATATAGTAGGTTTTCAGTACTTGCTTAGAAAATTAGGTTATTTGTTATCTAATAATTGTCTTTTTTTATTTATATACTAAAAAATTTATTCTTAACTTTCATTTTAGTTCAGTTTAATTGTTGGTAATTTAGTAGATTCATTTAATAGCAGTGTATCAACTGCTAGTGTGGAAGAAATGTGTAAATCTATTGGATTATGGATGGATCAGCATTGTTCTTTGGTTTCCCTGAGACCTAGTAAGTTTTTTTTGTTGTTTAATTTAAAGTTATTTTATTTTTAAAGTCAAAAGGAACATAATTCAAAATTTTTTGTTTTATCTTAGTTTAGAAATTTACTGTGTTGTCTTAGATGCATAGGATGTGCAAATTAAAATTAAATTAAAGAAGCATTGAAAAGTTCAAAATTTCAATTTTAAATAAAATAAGTATGCCTTTTGTATTGAGATGATGATGACTTAGACTTTTAAGATGCAGACAAGAAAGGACACACAACCAAATATATATAAATATATATATTTTTATTTCCAATGAGCTGCACAATCGGTCTTGCCGATGAGCAGACCTAGTGCGTTCTCCAGAGGTGGTATCCACTCTTTAAGGACCACCACAATGGTTGAGATACTGTTGGTCATGTTAATTTGGACGTCTAGTTTCTGCCACACTAGATGGCAGCACCGAGACNACATTCCTTATTTTATTTGCATTTTAAAAGCTTGGTGTGAAAATTCACTCATTTATGAAGAAACACTCAAGCACTGAAGATGTTAAGAGGAAATTTGTCTTCAATCAATGTTTGCTTTGAAACTATAAAGAAAAATATGGTATCAACCGAAAAAAACAATAAATTTTACCCAAATTCTTTGTTTTCTTATTGAAAGAAAAGAATATGATAACATTTTCCTTAAATAGTGCATTTTGTGACAAAATTTCCCCTAAATCCTGTAAGTGTTCGCCATTTAGCCATTTGGTGCTAATTATTATGACTTAAAATATTTGTTTCTGTTTATGTTCGAATCGTAAAAAAAAAGAAAAAAAAGTTAAGTTCACAATTTGCTTATATTCTTACTCAAAAAGATGAAATCAAAAGGATGACATATTTGCAAAATTATTTTTTCTTTAATCTAAGGTGAAGCAGATGCTGTATTAGGAAGATTAAAATAATTTAGTAGAGTTTTCTTTTAATAATTATCTTCAGTAACTGAGTCATAATAAATTTTTTATTTTGACCAGCTAAAATAAATCTTCCTGTCTAAAAGGTATTTTTTCCTTCTGAAAATATTTAGAATTTCAGGTCTAAGGAAGCAGGTTTATATACTTAAATTTTGGATGATTTGATATTTAATATTACTTTAGATGATTAGACTGCTGAGGTTCATTGATCTCTGCAAGTATCTGTTTGATCGAGTTTATGAAAATTTAAAAGGGGGTTGAAGGCAAAAAATTTCATTTACTATAAGGTATATTAATTATTAATATTGAATCTTATTGACCGGAAAATATATATGATATTTAAAGTACAGAACCTATGCATGAAATTTGTTTGCATTAACTTTATGTATATGACATAAATGCGAAAGAAAAATTGTAAGAAATGTAAATTGTGTAATTTAATTTTTAGGCACTGTAAGGCTATGAAGGAGTCTATTTTGCATTGATAATTCATTTGCATTATGAATTATTGATTTAAATTTGCAATATAGAACCCCCTATTTATAAGCAAATTTGTGAAATGTATACTAAGTTGTTTGTACAAAAATTAATGGAAATAAGTCTAGGAATTTTGTAATTTATATAAGTGAAGAAAAATGAGAAATCTAATCAGTATGGTATAAAACTATGTGATGATACAAATTCATTTAAATATTTATAATATTAGTTGATAAAATATATTCATGGTATGGTAAAAAATGCATAGATTAGTTACAGTTTTATTTTTCCTTTTTTTAATCAGCAATTAGTTTATTAGAATTTATTTATGTATTCAATTACATTTTATTGAGAGCAATTTTCAAATTTTTTTTTTTTGGATTTATATATAAAGTTTGATAATTAAACTTTTTTTCTTAATTAGAAGTATTAAATGCACTTCGTCTCCTGAGCACAACTACAAGTATACTGTCTGATCCATCTAGAGTACCGGAAGAAGCCATTCAAGCTGTAACAAAAAAGGAAAGTAGACAGTGATTAAAAATATTTCTTGTGCATCTATCATGTCTCAGGGGTTTGTTTTTATATTTTGATTGAATTTTATATTGTTTGGAAATTGGTTATGTGTGATTTTGAGCTCATTTTAACACTTAGTGCTAAATTCCATTATTTTTCTAAGTCATTGCATATAACTTATTTCAATGCATCTAGCGTAAGTATACTCTGATAGCATACATTTTCAAAATCAAGAACTCAGTTTTGCATATTTAAAAAGCATGCGTTTTTAGAAAATTAAACTCCTGGTGTTATTTGCAATATTAGATAATGTTAAAGTTGAATTTTTAAAATGAATATGTTAAGCTTATGAAAGTTAATAGGGACTTCCAAAAATAACGGGTAATTTGAAAAATCAATTAAATAAATACAGGGATATAAAAATATGTGGTTTGATGAATTCTGTTTAGAAAACTAAAGAATTAATTCTCCCTAAGTTTCAAAATTAATTTCAAAGTTAGTAAACAGATGGCACTGGTGGCTGAGGAAAATCATAAAACTATATTTTTCTCACAACTACGATTTGCAACAACAGCACTTTGCAGCCTGAGAACAAAGTTAACAGCAGCATATTTTTCTCAAATTTGTCTACCATAAGTTTTTTAGACCACTAATTGAATACCTAAGTGGTCCTAATGGGTCACTAAATTTCCATTGCTGGTGTAAACCCTAGATACAACTAATCCTGAAATGAGTAAATACTTTTCTTGACAAGTTCACTCATAGATTATCAATTCCCCACAGAAACTTGTAGGATGCATTTAATGTATAACAGCTGTGATGTAATAAAATTGTATTGTCTTTCCATTTTGTAAAGTAAGAACTTTTTCTTGGATGCACTTCACTCTTTAATGTGATATTTTCCCCTCATTCATCTAACGTCATTAAAATCTTGGAATTATAAAAAGAGCAAATTTTAGTTTTTGTATCTTAACTCTCATCAGTCATCCTTCCAAACAGTGTTTCCTTTTCCTTTTTCCGTCAGTGACAGTCTGTTTCAAATGTTTTTTTAAAATTTACTGATGGTTGAAAATTTAGCTCAGAAAAAAACAAATTTGATGAATTTAAATTGCTTTGAATCAAAGCAAGCTATTATGAATTTTGATGTACATGTATGTGTCTGTCATGGAATTGGGGACTGTTGTCGAAAAATGAGCTCAAAGCTTTAAAAGCTATAAATATTGCATGTGATATTATGTGTGTTTAGAGTATATAGATTTATCACCCATCATCCTGCCATCTATTGTTTTTTTTTCTGTCGGCATTTGATAGTCATTTTGTACATAGATCTGTGTGCCAACATTCTAAATATATATGTTTAAACACTATGAATTATTTGATTTATATGCAAATATTTTTTATCCTGCTCAAATTGTTGATGTTGAGTGTCGTTTTTTTATTTTACTGAAGTACAATACTGTTTTTAATTCTGTATGTTTATATCGTGTTCGTTTATGTCTAATATTAGATTTTATTGCCATTAAGTTGAATATTGTCTGTTGTTTGAAATGGAAGTCTTACACAATGATACCATTGTATAGTCCGAGAAATGTTTTTAAGATGTTGATATAAGTTTGTTATGTTTATTATGAGATGATATATCATTATATTACTTGTTACAATACCAAAGAATTATGAAAATTTTGTATTCAGAAAGATATATCCTTTAGGATATGTTATTGTAACTTATTAGTTTTAATAATGTAAAGACTTATTTGTTTTTATACATAGTTGTAAAAATATCAGCTATAAATTTAAAAATATTTTGCAGTTTGTGGCATATAATATCAGAAACTGACTTTATATCAAATATATAATGAATTCTTTTTATTTTCTGATTTCTTTTAAAGCTTAACTAAATCTTTCTTATCCATGGTCTGTTTCATCCCTTATATTAAATCTTTATCTTTTATACTAAATGTATGATTAATTCCTTTTTTTTTCTTTTCTTTAAATAAGGTTTCTCATATTATAGTCATCTTATCTATGGAAAAGTATATTTCTCTTAATGTTTAGTTGTAGGCTAAAAGAGGAGTGAGAAGCAAATTATCTGCGTTTACTATGAAGTCAACATCTTTAGTTTTGAAAGCGCTTTTTTTCTGGGTTTGATAAAATTGTACGAGGAATGCAAAATTGATGATTGCATTTCGGTGTAATCTTTCTAGAAATTTTCTTAATTTTAAATTTTCTACTTAGTTTTGTTTTTTCCTCACAAAACTATCAAGTGACTCATTTATTGTAATTAAATTTATAAATATGATTAACTTTTTAGCATATGCTATGGTATGGTGAAACTTCAAAAAATTATTACTATTTTAATGAATTGAAAAAGTTTTTTTACTATTAAAATTGCTTTATAAGGAGGAAATTTTAGTCAAAAGAAAAAAAAATGCTATTGAAATTACTTTGAATTATCTTTTCTTGTGCATTATTAATCTTTAGAAATATATTATAGTTTCATGAAAAATTCTCCCTTCATTTTTTAAAGACTAGCATTGTTTACATTTATTTCAGACTTTCCAATTTGCATTATTTTTAAATAGTATTTATAAATTTATGTAAATCCATTCTGAATCCTTTTATAAAGAATTAAATAATAATAATAAAAAAATAAATAATTAAATCTAGGGATAAAATAACTAAATTGATCCAAGAATTCCTCAATTTGTTAGAAACATCCCAATAAATTTACATTGGAAAAACACAGCATCTTTTACTTGTTCCCCTTAAGTCTAAAGTTTTTTCTTATATCCTTAATATTGGAACATAATATTAGAACATAGTTTTTTAATGTTTAACATTGTTGCACCTTTTTCAACATACAAAGTTTTATACTTTAGACCTATTCATTAATTTTTATTCTTCAAATTATGCACATTAAGAATACCTTTCCTCTGAAAAGCATTAAGAAAGAAAGGACAATTTTTTAAAAAACATTGAGACCTTGCTATGAGTCATAAAATTCTTTTAAAGTGTTTTTCTAGTAAAAATGAACAAAGGTCTCAAAAATTTAGAAAGACAGGTACAATAGCAAGTAATATTACCAGTGCCAAGACATGCTCATGATGGTACTCTCTGTAGTTTTGGAATTTGTTTATTTGTGCTATATATATTGTTTTTTTTAACCTTATTTCACTACCAACATAAAGATAACCCTATTTCATTTGGATATTGTGTTTTGCTTTATTAATACCTACACATTTATAGTAGATACATATATTTATGTTTTTCAATATTTCCTTTAAATGTTTTTATAACAAATGTATCAATTTTATTGTTAATTGATTTAAACTATGTGTATTGATTGAAATAGATGCTCAAGTTTTGAACATTATATTTTAAACATATTAAAAATTAAGCTGCTAGATGTATTAAAAATGACCAATAGTGCAAAAAATTAATTAAAGATCAAATTAATTAGATAAATAAAGGTGATAGAAATGTACTGTACTGTAAAGGTATATGTACTGTAAAGGTATAAAAATGTAATGATAGAAATGTTTGCTGTACCAGAAGGAACCAGGCTTTTTTATTATTAGTAAGTTCACCAAAAAAAAANAAAAAAAAAAAAAAAAAAAAAAAAAAAAAAAAAAAAAAAAAACGGTGGTTCTAACTGTAAAAGCTTTTATTTCCTTTTTCTTTCTTTCTAAATCCCAATGTGGCATGGTTTATGGCAAAAGCTAACAGATAACCATGCAAATATTTCAATTTGAATGGTCTGGCATGTATCTGTAAACATTGTATTCTAGTTTTTTCAGTCATTAGTAATCTCTGTTGATGAATTTCGTAATTAACTTTGTTGATATAAATTTCATATTTTTTTGATAGTATGCTAGATATATTTGTTTCATTTGATTTTCCTAATTGTTGGTCATTTTTTATTCATTTGGGGAAATAGATTCAATAAATGTTTCATTATAGCTTTTTTTTTTACTATTGATGTTATTCATAATTTTGCAACTTATATTTAATTAACATTTTCGAATATTAAACATCATTCACGGAACATAATTTACAAATAAGGTTACAATGCAATTTATTTAGAGTTGTGTCAAATATTCAGCAAATTAGCAGTATATCGTTTGATTATATAAATGTTTCTTTTTTATCATTGTTCTGTAAATTAGTTTATGTGATGTAAATAAATTTTATATTGTAGTGCTTTTATCTGTTGTATAAAGATATAAAGACTTGTAAAAAATATATATGTACAGTACGTGTGTGAATTGCAATTTAATCACTTAACTCAGAAAATAATATTTTTTATGGAAGTCTGAATTGCGATTTTCTTCTTCTCTTACATTTTACGTGAGAATTAAATGTAGTTAAGTATATTTTATAATAAAATTGTTCTATTTGTAGATGTTTTATTTTTGGAAAAAAATTATAGATTAAAATTTAATATGCCTGAAACTATTTGAATATATGACTTTTTTCCTCATATATTTCTATATCCTAGTCATCTATTGAGAGAAGCTATAATACTTTGATGAATTTGTTAGAAAAAAACTAAATAAATGTTTTATATTATTAGAATTTTTTTTTGTCCAAAATATTGTTTAATTTTCTCTGGGTTTAGATCAGAATTATTGAAATCAGAACTGTAAGTTTGAGTTTTATTATAAATGCTTATTTTTAGGTGCTCTCTATTTAGTTTGAGAACATATTTCACATGTGCAATAAGTTCATAAATTTGGAGCATAATTACTAGAAAATTACAAACTTCAATACCGCAATCTTTTGTAACAGTTCAAACAAGCTATATTCTAGAAATAAATTTATTTAACGAAAAAAAAGATAAAGAAAAAAGTTACTTTTTTTAAAAATATAAAGTAACTTCAAGCGATTCTTAAATTGATTTATTGCCTAACAATATCAAAATAGCCAAAACAACTCTGAATATTTTTTTAAAATTTTTATATGGCATTTTTTTTTCTTCAAGTTTCCATTTTGACAAAAACTACTGCTATTACATTTAAGCTTGAAATAATTTTAAGAAAGATAATGTAATCAAAAACTTTGAAAAATATAAATTTCATTTTAAAATTCTCTATATCAGATACAATCTCTCATATTTGGCTACCAAATCTATTTTCACATGACTGACAAGTTTTCTATTAATTTTGCTCCAAAAATAAACTGATTATAATAATTCTTTTTTATTTCATGTTTATGATGCCTTTTTAAACTTTAATATAAAAATGAGCTTGGATTTGATCAATATTTCTAATTAAATATTGATCAGTTTTTAGTTTGTAATAATTCTAATCAAAGCCCACAATTTGTTTTAATCATGAAAGCGAAATTTTTTTAATATTTTATCTGTTTATAATATATGACAATAGATTAAAAGTCTGATTAGTCAATATACTCTAATAGAAATACTCATTTGTTAAATTTTTATGAGTTATGTTAATTAAAAATACTCATTATTACCATTATATATTTATTAATTAATTTTTAAATGTACTTAAATAAAGAATCAATACTGAAATTTGTATAAAAAAGTTTTTACTGTTGAGTACAAAACATTTGTTATACACACATATGCCAATATGTGTTCAATACTGATTGTTGAAATTGAAATTTGTGAAATGAATGTTGCCAGCTTTTTGTTAGCTGGCAATATATTAAAATATTTTTTAAAAAAATGGCATCCTTATTTTTTGGTTTGGTTTATTTACAAATTGCATAAATATATATGTAAGAAATTAGTGGCTGGGTGGCGCAGTTGGTTTGTCGTCGGCCTTCTGAGCCCAAGTCCGCGGATTCGATCCCCGGCCCAGACACTGGATTTTCGGGATGCAGAAAATCCTCAGTGGCCACGTCGTATGATTATGCGTCATGTAAAAGATCCCTGGAGTGCCTTATTGACTCTTGGCATTTGCGGCAAAATTAAATTCCTAGTGCACTTTAGTATCCAAATAGAGTCTCAATGCTGCCATCTAGTGCGGCAGAAACTAGACATCCAAATTAACATGGCCAACGGTATCTCACCCATTGTGGTGGTCCTGAAAGAGTGGATACCACTTCTGGAGAACGCACTAGGTCTGCTCATCAGAAATAAATTTTAAAAAAAAATATGTATGAAATTTCGCTTAATTTAATTAATTAATTTCGCTAATTAAAATATGCATAAGAATAATAGCTTAATTAATTACCTAAAAACTTTAATTTATGTAATTTTGGAGGCATGATCGCCAATTTAACAACATAGTGGTGGTTGAAATATTTGTCTCCAGGAAAATGAAGCTTTATTAAAGTAAGAATTAGTATATTTAACATGGTGCGTAGCGTTTTTAAAAAGTGTTTAAAGGTGCTTATTTTCGATTTTCGTTTTTTAAAAGCCCTTAAATGTGTTTTTTTCATTGTGAGTTTTTAAAAAGTGCTTATTTTTCTCTTTTTCGAAAAAATGTTTTTTTCTTTACCATGTCCATTTTCGCCACAAAGGCGTGCTTTTCACATTTTTCTATTCAAAGTTTTCACAATTCATTCAACCACAATCTATTTCGGCATACCGTCGGCCCATCTGGTATGAAAGCGCTAATCATTTTACATGTTTAATGAAATACTTGCGAGTCCGCATGTACGTCTACTGAGCAGGGCTCGGTGAGATTATTGCACTCTCATGGGCAACTCTGCTGCATTTTACAAGATATTTTCAATTTCTGGCTTTATTTTCCTCCCTCTGAAATCGAATTGAAAAATCTTTTGATTGTTTTATAATGGCTACTATAATCAACAAAAGAATTCTTTGTCAGAAACTAGTTATTTGATCATGATAAAGTAAAGTCTTCGAAAATTATTTTGCATTTTGTTAATGTATATAGTGCTTAAAATATTTTTGAGTGCTTAGTGAGTACTTAAAAGGTGCTTATTTTTTGTTGAGAGATTTGGCTACTCACCCTGTTTAAAATACTCAAATCTTTAAGTAAAGAAAATCCCCAAAGGGATCAATACTATACACTCTCTCACATCGAGAGTTTTTTGATAGTATGAAAGATATTAAACGGTTGTGACTAGGTGGCCCTTTCAGGGCTGATTGTGCTCCGGAAAAAATCCGGATTTTTTGCTAACAGGGATCCGGAAGTTTCCAGAGATCGAAGGTCCAAACGTTTTAAAAAATCATTGATCACAGAAGTTTCCGGAAATCAAATTTTCAAAGGTAGAACTTAAAAACACAGTTTATTTTATTTGTTTGTTGATTGATTTATTGAAATTACATACATTTTCTGACTTGTGTGCTCAATATATAGGCTTATAAGTCATTGTCAAGTAAAAAATACTGATAGAACAATTCAGAGAAAGACATCACAAAGAATACATCCAGGGTTACGGCGGGATTCGAACCCGCTACCTCCACGCTTAACAGAGCGTTTGGACCGGCGATACCGCTCGGCCAGGGAGGCCCCTTATTTGTTGGTAAGGGAGAGCTAGAGATATACTTTATAAGCTTGCATTCATGATTAATATTCATTTTTTATCAGTAAATAGTTTTTCTAATCATAAACTCAAGAAAGGAAGACATATTTGTAAATTTTAATTACTTCTCCAGGTTATCATAGGTATGTGTACATGGTACAGGTATGTGTAAAATTTTAAATATATTTTAAGTAAGCTAAGAAACATTGAGAAAAATTAAAAAAGCCTGGTTTAAATTTTTTTCTAATTTTTGAATTTAAACTTTTTTTTCTAACTCAAGAAATTTTCCGGAATTTTGACTTGGGCTCACAATCACCCCTGCCCTTTGCACTAGCACATGCCCTTTGCACACGACAACAACACTAGGAGGCCCGCAAGGGCACCCCCAGTAGCCAGAAATTTTAAATTGAAAGAGAATGAATTTATTCCTAACGGACACAGAAGCATGGAGAGGAGATCCCAAATGGGCGAATTATCGAAACATAACATAGCCAAAATAAAGCCAACCTCGCATAATCAATTTTAGATTTGAAAATACCTTGGCAATCGCGAATCGCCTGCAAAACTGTGAGAATTAAACCATGTAATTGAAACATATATGTGGTAAGAAGTTAATAATAAAGAGTTATAAATGGATTTTTGTTTTCGATTAGATGCGGCAGTGAATTAATGAGTACATTAGCATTGAAATAAAAAGTTAGCCGTTATATTGATCGATAAGAAAAGAATAAAATATTTTAAGAATAAAATATTAAAGAATAAAATATTATAATTATAAAGATTAACTTATTGATTTAATTTAAATATAATTCGATTAATATGACAGAAAAGTAAGTTTAAGTAATTAAAGATATTTTAAAAGGTAGGAAATATGTAATGCCAACTGTGGCATCACAGTAATGTAATGAGATTTTTGATAAAAAAAAATATTTGAAAAAGTCAGTGAATTTTATTTGTGAGCTTTCGCAATAAATAACTTGAGGTGTTATATTTGACAAATGGACATGAAACTTAGGATGTTTTTTGAAGCTTTTTTGTCAAGGAAAATGCAAAAGTTCTGAATTGAGTGCCTTAAACAGAAAGCAAACTTCAATTTTAAACTATATTATATCGCTTAAAATAATTAAAGATCTAGGGGAAAAGCGGCATATTATCATGAATGCTGATTCTGAGAAAAAACTAATTTTATTTTGCACTCAGACAGAATTAATTTTTCTTCAGCATTGCCCATCTTCATTGTATAATAACTGTCGGGGGGAGGGAACCGATTTTCCATGTTATTGATTTGTCAAAGTCTGGTAATCCTCTCAAAAATACAACAGATGACGATCCAATGGTATTTTTTGTGAAAAATGGATATGTTCCTTGATCTTGTTTGTTTAGGCTTTAAAACTGAAAAATATTTATTACTTTTTAAATTTTTTTTAAACAAATTATAAATTTGGTGAAATTTTTCCATCTAGATGAAAATTGTTAAATCAACGAAAAATTGTAGTATTATTCCAAACAGGAGCGTCACTACAGCGACTGGGAACTAATCAATTTTGTGCACCACCTGGCAATATTATGTCAGATTTAAGGGGTCATGCTTTTCAGGATCAGTTTTTGAAGTTTTGATGGTTACGTATAAACAAAATTGTCGAGTATGCTTTTCGGCTTAGGATAATAAAACAAGTAAAATGTGTAAGAGAATAATTCGTAGAGGATAAATTTGAATAACAATAAACAAACTTACGCAAGGAATTGAAATTCATAAAAAAAATATAAAATTAACGGTAAGGAAATTTAACTTCACACCTTAAATAAGCTTTCCTTAATTGTAGATTTCCGTTTCAAATTATTTTTATGTATTTCAGACTTTTTAAGGTATTTTATCGATGTAAAATTTGTTTCCAATATCTAACAAACCAGTGGACCAATTTATATGCATTTTCTGCTACTTNTTTTTTTTTTTAGAAAGCTTACCGAGTTTTAGAAAAAAGTAACGATTTCATTGGACATTTCCGTTACATATACTTGTACTTTTTCCCTAAAAAAGTAACGAAAGTACAAATAAAAGTACTAAATTTAAAAAGTAATGAAGTACAAGTAAAAGTACGTACTTTTTACTTGCTCCGGCGGTACAAGTAACGAAAGTAAAAGTACTGCCATATATGGATGATATTCCACTAACACCAAAACATATTTTTGACTGCCCTGCCATTTTAAGATCCATGGCTCAGCTTGGG